CGTCCCCAGCCACCTTGGCGCTCTGTGGAGGGACAGCTCCAAAGGACGATGACCCGTGGAGTCAAGGTGATCCCTGGCAGAAGTTCAAGCCTTCTACTGTTCCACAACAGCAATCTCCTGTCCCTACAGACAGTATGCAGCAGATGGAATCACGCATACAAGCCGCTGTCCTCTCTCGGATTCCTCAAGCAGTTCCGATGGAGCAAGACGATGTACCAGATCGGATCAGTGCTCTGGAAGGTCAGGTCCAGCAGTTGATGCACAAGCAGACTCAGATGGATGGGCAATTCCAGGAGTTTAGCCAGCACCATGCGCAGCAAGTCACAGGCCTCCAAACACAGATGCAGGCTCAGTGCCAACAGTTACAAGGACAGATGGAGACGCAGAATCAAAGTATTCAAGCGATGTTTGAAACACAGCTCTCGCACATCAGAGGTCTCCTGTCCAAACGCCCGCGTGAAGATGGAGAATGATGGGGTGGGCGGGAGTCCTCCAAGCCTTGTTGCCTGCCACCTCTCTGGCGGTTGGTCTGTAGCCTTGGGTGGGCTCTGGTGCCCTTTTATATGGTTTTTGTTATTGGGGTTGCATCGATGCTGCGGCAGGTTCGGCATGGATTCACTGCGAAGGTTCAGATGATTGCCTTTTTGCTTGCTTTCAGTGTTTGCCGGATCGGGGAAGCCTCTCACCCCGGTCCTGATGCAGGGAATACAAATTTTGTTCTGGGTGTCGCAAACCCAACGGGGTTACGTTGCAAAGCAACTTACGTGGCTGAGCATTTGGCCCATGGTGATTTGTGGGCTTTCAGTGAAACGCATCTGAGCCTCAAAGATGTGACTGCTTTCAACTCTGGTTTGAAATTTGCTGGGTCCCCCTTCCAACCTTTGCTTGGGGGCTTTCCGGTGCCATCCATTTCTGACACGGGAAGTTGGCGTGGTGTTGGTGTACTTTCGAAGACTCCAGTTCGGCATATCCCCACGACATGGCCTGCTGAGATTGCCAAGTCATCCAGGGCGGTTGCCTTTACTACGTTGATTGATGATGTGGCTCACAGGAGGCGTAGTGTATGGTGAGCCGGACAGCCATTATTATCCTTCTCGGCTTGCTCATAACGAGGCACTTCTTCAAGCCGTGACGCAGTCAGTTGCCTTTTTGTCTTGTGGCCCTCGTTTTGTTGCCGGTGATTGGAATGTCTCCTGTGATGAATTGCCAGTTTTTGGTACGTTGGCCAGCCTGGGTTTCAGGGACTTGCAAGACCTTGCCTATGAAAGATGGGGTATTGTTCCTCGCCCCACGTGCAAGTCCCGCACAAGGAAAGATTTCTGCTTCTTGTCTCCTGAGTTGCAAGCTCTGCTCCTGAACGTGGAAGTCATTGCAGATGTTTGGCCTGATCATGCAGTCTTGGAAGGCCACTTTCGCCGCCTCAAGACCTGTGTCCCTAAGGATGTCTGGAGAATGCCCACCAATTTCCCTTGGCCTAGCAATTTTCAAGTTCCTGCTGATTTCTGGAGTGCCCATACTGCGGTCCCTGAAACGCGTTACCAAGAGTTATGGTCCACCATTGAAAGCTCTGCTGCTGCCTCTCTTCCTTTCCAGGTTGGTCGTAATGCACGAGGTCGGGCTTGTACCACCACCACCACAGTTGTTCGTGCAGGTAAGTTTGCGCCTATTAGGGTTGGGCGTAGAGGTGACTTCCAGCCGCACTTTCATGGATGTTCTTTTCGGCATGCTCAGTGGGTGAGACAAGCGCGCAGGTTGCAGTCGTTTGTCCGTAGCCTCTCCGACAGAAACATTGTGAGTGAATATGGTGTTCAAGTGTGGGCTGCCATTTTGCGTGCCCCTGGTTTCCAAGGGGGTTTTGCCAGCTGGTGGAAGTTTTGCCAAGACAAGGTTCATGGTGCACCTGATGTCCTCCCAGTATTTCCTCCTGATGCCACTGTGGCATGCCGTATTTTTGAATCGTTTGTCATCCAGGTCCGGTCGCTTGAAACACAGTTGGCTACCAGCTCCCGTCAGTATGCTCGCTTGAGACGTGCCCAGAATCCCAATGTCATTTTCAGGGATCTCAAGTCAGCCCCAGTGCGTGGGGTTGATTATTTGTTGCGTCCGTTGGTTGCTACTGTTGCAGAAGTTCGTGCTGAGGATAGTTGCATTGTTGTGGACCCACCGCAACCGTGGAATGATTCTTTTCCGATCGTGAGCGGGGGATTGCCGTTGGAAATTCTTCATGCCACGGATGATTGCCTTTGGTTGAACTCTCTTTCTGACATCCGCCCGGGGTGTGGAATCTCCCAACTACAGTGTACTGGTGTCAAGGAAGACCTTGAGAGAGCCTTTTGTGATGCCTGGAAAGCACGCTGGGATCGACACCGTGATGTCCCGAGGACAGATGGCAGACAATATTGATGTTTGCCCGTGCCCATTTGCCAAGGTCCCATCTTGATTGGCCTTCCATTACCCCTGAGGTGTTGGGTCATTTGATTTCGTCTAAACATGATTCCTCAGCCAGTGGCTTGGACGGTGTCTCGATTCAAGACCTCAAACGGATGCCTTCGAAGCTCCGTGCTTCAGAACTTTTGTAGTATGTATGAGCAAGCTGAAACAGATGGCACCTGGCCTCCACAACTGCTGATGGGAAAGGTGGCCTGTCTTGCCAAGGTTGATCACCCGCAATCAGTCATGGACTATCGTCCGATTACCATTCTTGGCATGCTGTACCGCCTGTGGGGATCATATCATGCACGTAAAGCCATCCGCATGTTGGACCCTGTGTTGCCTGACACCTTGTATGGAAGTCGCATGGCCTGCTATGCCGGACAGGTCTGGAGCCAACTCTTGTGGGCTGTTGAGGATGCTACTGTTCACGGTATTGCACTGTCTGGCCTTATTGCTGACTTGCAGAAAGCCTTCAATCACCTCCCTCGGTTGGTTGTGTTCGAAGCAGCGGCAATACTGGGAGTCCCCATGAAGGTGCTAGTGGCCTGGGCCGGTGCGCTTTCTCAGTTGGGGCGACGGTTTCAGCTCGGCTCCAACTTGACGCAGCCTGTTTATAGTGTTACAGGTTTGCCAGAAGGAGATGGATTATCCTGTTTGGGTATGCTGGTTGTTGATTTCCTTTTTCACCAGTGGCACAGACACTTCTTTCCGTTGTGTGAGCCTGTCTCATATGTTGATGATTGGACTATCCTTACCACCGATCCGTCTCAAATGAATGGGATTTTTGGTTGCCTTACACGTTTCACGGAAGCACTGGACTTGCTGCTTGATACCCGGAAAACCTTTGTTTGGTCTATCTGCAGCCAGGACGCAAAAGACTTGGTGAGCAAGGTTTCCAGGTTGAAACCAGCTGCCGTATGCTCGGCGCCCATGTTCAAACGACTCGCAAACATACCAACGCTACACAAATGTCCCGTGTGAATTCCTTGCTCCAGCTTTGGCCTCGGCTTCGACTGTCGGCGTCGTCCTATGAGTTGAAAATTCGTGCAATTAGGGTGGCGGCTTGGCCACGAGGCCTTCATGCCATTGCAGCTACATCTGTGTCTTTGCAAGCCTTTTCTAGTCTCCGTGCTGGTGCTATGAAAGGGTTGAATGCGGATGGATTTGTTTGCAATTCGATGGTTCATTTAGGTTTGGTTGAACGCCCAATCACCGATCCCCATTTTTGGACGATCCTACAGACCATTAGGTTAGTCAGAGAGTGTGGGGTTCCTGAAGTTGTGCAAAATGCGCTGTATGAGCTTACTTGTGGCAATGGTGCATTCGCCCGTAATGGCATTTCTGCTACGCTTTTGACAAGACTTCAGATGTTGGGTTGGCATGTTCGGACCGACGGTCAGTTGGAAGATGACTTTGGCCCCTTTTCTTTGTTTTCAGCCTGTCTCGAGGAAGTTCTGTGGAGAATGGAATGGGCTTGGGTTAAAGTGGTGGCAGCCCATGTGTCCCACCGCCAGGGTTTTGTTGACCTTGCATGTATTGACCCGTCCCGAACAAGACAGTGGTTGACCAAGCTGTCTGTGGATGATCGGGCTGCCTACAGGAAACTGCTCAATGGAGCTCATATCACGCAAGATGGGAAACATTATTGCCAGGAAGTCGATACTGACCAGTGTTTGTTTTGTGCTTGTTCAGACTCCCGTTTTCACAGGTTTTGGGGCTGCGCATGTTTCAATGATTGCTGCGATCATGTGACTTCGGCTCTTTGGGAAGCCATCCCTGTCTTGCCAGAAAGTGTGACTTGCTATGGTTGGTCTTTGCGACCTACTACCTATCATGAGTGGTATTCCATGTTGCAGGCCATTTCGCCCACCTCGATTCCGGATATGCCTTGGTTGTCGTCACGGGTTGTACATGTGTTCACTGATAGAACCTGTTGTCACCCTGGTTATCCAGATCTTCGGTACGCTGCCTATTCTGTGGTGCTTGCTGACCCGACGCAGGCCCAACCAGCGTGCATACTTGACAGTGGTCCTTTGCCAGGTTTGCGTCAAACATCCATCCGTGCAGAGTTATATGCTATTCACAGAGCAGTTAAGTTTGCCAGCTTGAGACAACAAAACCTGATGATCTGGTCTGATTGCCTTGCGGTGGTTCGACGATTGCGGAGGATTCTGTTGGGGACGTCCGTCAAAATGAACTCACCTAATTCAGACTTGTGGAGGATGATTGCTGATGATATCCGAAGTGGATGTATGGTTCAAGTCACCAAAGTAGCAGCTCACCAAGATATTCGATGTGCTTCCTCCCCACTTGAAGAGTGGTGCTTTCTGCATAATCGCTTTGCTGACAGAGCCGCAGCCAGGGCTAATGAGCAGCGAAGTCCTCAGTTCTGGTCATTACTTGCACGTCATGCCCAAGCATGTCAAGTTGTTGATGATTGGAACGCATCCATACAGAAGGTACTTTTGAGGGTTAGTCGGAAGTTGTTGCATGGGAGTCAGCCACCACGTCCTGATGTTGTGCCGCCTGCAAGCCCACCTCCCCCACCATGGAAAGGTCTGCCTCTGATGCCTGCCCCTCCTGATGGAGCGGTTCGGTGGTATGGAGCCACTGTGGTGTCCAAGATCGTGCACTGGTTCTGGCAAGCCTTGGCTGATGATCATGGTGCAGCAGTGTGGATGAGCAATGCACAACTGTACATTGACTACGTCTTACAAACTGGTGACGCGGGACCCATACACCTGACAGGTTGGCAGGATAGTGCGGACTTTCCACTCCATGCCTTGCAACATATTGGATTCAAAGAAAGAATACGGTGGTTTGGCAAGGTCCTCCGTGAGATTCTCCGCCACGCAGGGATCTCGGTTGTCTCCAAATACTGCAGGCCTGAGAGCCATATGGTGTGCATGTTTGCTAGTTGCCTCGCCGTACCCTGTGTGCCCAGCGGAGGGAGGCCACTGACAGGTGGATGATGCAGTTTTCACCTGAGCCATTCAGACGGCAGACTCGGGCTTTGGACAGTTTGCCTATTCCTGTGGCGCCCTGCCACTAATTGTTGGGGTTCACCCACGGCCAATCGCGCTGTCTTCGCAGACTAAGGCAGCGTGGCGCACAAAGAGGTACAAAGTGGTGGTTTGGAACATTTTTTATGTTTCCATATATTGGGAATAATGATCCCAATTGACTAATATTTTTCAGAGGGGTTGAAACCACCAACCAGATATATATATATATATATGTATAATAGATATGAATAACCATCAAGAACCATACCATGAATCATAGATAATCATAGATATCCAATTTATAGTATCAGCATAATATATCCCATTTCTATGTTATATGCGACAGATACTAAAAAAACATAAATATTGATAACAGATAAGCTAAATAACAGAGATCAGTCTCAATAGAACATCATAGATATTGAGAACTATACCATAGCTGTAAATCATAAATCAACATAAATCATAGGATATTAACTTATTAACCATAACACCATACATTAACTCTAGATAATGATTGGTCTAAATCAATATAAATCATAGATTTCATCCAATTTCAATAGATAAACCATAGATGAATCCATAGATAAGCCATGAAAGTATACCATGAAAACCATAGAGTAAATCCATAGATATTCATCCCATTTCCTGAACAAAAAAGTGCCATATGATCATGGTTTCCTATTGGATTGTTAAACCATATACCATAAGAATCCATAGATAAACCCCATTTCTAGGCACCTATGATTATCCATGAATAACCCATTTCATAGATAATCATAGATATGAATAACATGGTTAGTCATAGGCACCTATGATTAATTATACCATAAATCATAACCCATAGAAAATCCATAGATAAACAATAGATATACCATAGATAAAGTATAGATTATACCATAAGTATACCATAAACCATAGATAAATCCCATTTCCTCAGTGTATTTTTTCCGCATGGTTTTCTGCAGGCACCCTGCGGGTGCAATGCGACGCCCGAGCAACTCCATGGGGGATCGCCCAGTGTGGCTTGGGCGGGTCTGGGAGCCTAGCTGTGGCCTTGGCGTTGGCTGCTTTGAATGGATGTTTTCTGGTGATTTTCTGGCGATTTCATGGTGATTTATAGGGATTTAATAGGACTTAAACAATTAAAGATGGTGGTATAATGTGATTTTCTGGTGATTTCATGGTGATTTTACTGGGAATTTCAATGAATTTCATTGGAATTTGATCGGATTCTGGATACTTTGGATTGGATCGAGGTTATGGATGTAAGGGGATGAAGGGTGTGGCGATGTCTAACTAATCATGAAAAACATATTCTCGATATATCTCAATATGATTCATGTTTTTAATATAATACATATCATGTAAATACATCAAATATGATTGAGATTTATGATGTATCAAATATTTCAAATATGAATCATTAAAAACATCTCAAATACATCACATATGATTCAGCCAGATGCACGCAATAGGTACATGACGGACGTGGAGGGCAAGCTCTATGAAGACTTCCTACAGGCGGGGCGACTTGGAGCGGTTCCACGAAAAATTGTGTGGTTCTAGCACGATAGTTGTATAATCATTCTAGAATCCTAGAGTAAAAAATATGGAAATATCAAAACCTCCTCATATTCTGTCTACTTCAGGATGACTAAAACATTTCGGCCAGGCGCTGTGTGTTGCCCGGAAGGTTCAAATGGCGTTTAAACATGTTTAAACATTATCCTTCAACATGCTCAAACACCTTCGCAGGGCCAGTGATTTGAGATTTCCCAGACGAAGAGCCCTAAACCCTAAAACCCTAAACCATCCTAAACCCTAAAACCCCAAACCCTAAAACCCTAAACCCTAAAACCTAGGCCTGAAAACTTTGAATCCTAAACTGGAAAACACTGCGTATACGCAGTATTTTCTGCAATCTCTCCTATCATATATATTCGACAGCACGACATTCTCAATGTTAATGTCTGGGCAACACACGGCGTCTGTGGGAAACATTTTTTTGGGTCCCACATCCCAACTTATGAGGCCCAGCTGTGTAACTTCCCGCCCCTAGGGTTAGAGATATGTATGAAATATCCCATGTTTACAACCCCAACTGCACCAAGAACCATTGAAGTTGGTTGCAATATGGGTATGGGTCAATACCTATAGATACATTTTTAGTGGGATGAACATCCATTTATCATCATTTACCAGCTATTTTGATGTGAACTACAGGGGTACAAGGTTTTGACACACTGCCATATATCCCTATCATATCACATGAGATTCCCATAGTGAAATCAGCATTTGGGTTGGTGAAAGCCCCCCACTTGTCCCATGAAGTCCCATGAACCAAATCCCATGAAGAAACCCATGAAATTTGACTCAAAGCCATTCAAAATGCCATGAAAAGCACCATTCAAAATCCCATGAACAAACCCATGAACAAAATGCCATGAAAAGTACCATTCGAAATCTGGAAAGCACCATTTTCCTTCGAAATCTGGAAAGCACCATTTTTTCCCGTGACATTTGTTCAGCATTTTTCGTCCCGAGCTCGCCGAAGCCGCAGGTGAAACGATCGCACCCGGCCAGCGCCATGCGCGGGCAGGAGGTGAAAAATGGTGATCCAAAATGATGGAGATTTCATCATGGTTATATGAATGACTTTATAGGATAGTTAATATGGTTATTGAATAGATGTCATCCATATTAACTAGCCTATAATGTCATTCATATAACCATAGTTCTAATGATCCTATTATAATATATTAAAAATCCTAGGATCATTTATTATAGTTACATGAATGACAATATAGGATAGTCAATATGGCATTTATGATGCTTATTATATAGATGTTAACATATAAACCATGGTTAGATGTCATCATGACCATATATTTTTATTTCATCATGGGTAGTTAATATGGTTATTATATAGATGTTATGAATAAGATTATTAATGATCCTAGGATATGATTGAGCATTATCATTGCTTAATGGTTACTGTAATGGTTATATTAATGACATTATGGTTAAGAGGATTATAATAATGATCCTAGGACAATGGGTAATCATCGCAATAATAGTAATAATAGTAACAATAGTGCTTTTTTTTGAAAGATTTTCATAAATGGTTCATTTTCTAACGGCTTAATGGTGGGAGATCTTTTTGGGGATAACCATTGATTAACCATCAACGGGATCTACAATTGGAGACGGTTCAATGGTTCATGATTAATCGGTTAATCACATATCACATGTCATTTCATGGTGAATTACCCTCTGGTGAACATACAAAAAGCTATGGAAAATGGCCATTGAAATAGTGGATTTTCCCATGAAAAATGGTGATTACAAAAAGCTATGGAAAGATTCACCATGCTATTAATGGGAAAATCCACTATTTCGACTGGGCCATTTTCAATAGCTTTTTGTTAACGTTCACCAGAGGGTAATCGAATTATTCATGAGTTGTAGGGTAGTTAATCAGCATTTCAAAATTGATGGTTGAAAGGGTGAAACAACACTTAAAAATAGTTCATAGTGGTTGATTAATAATGTTATGATGGTTGTGTCTTAACCATTGGTTAATAAGCACCAGTTATCACCAGTTCATAGTGGTAATTTACCACCAATTATATTGGACAACTAGTTTAATTATCCATTAATAATGGTTGATATTGATGAATTGTGGTTGATGGTTTCCATTTTTTACATTCATTATTGATTTGATTATTCGAACATGGTTGATAGTGGTGAACAAAATGTTTGAGAATGGTTGAAAATCAATGGTTAATGTTAATAGTGGTTATAATGCTTATAATCCCATTCCCCATGCACATTAAATACCCCCACTGTATGATCCCACATATGATGTAATGTATATATATATATATATATATACATATTATGTAGATCCCCGGACATCCGCCAGAGTTTCTGGTAGCTGTTTTAACGCACTGAACGGGGGAAGGGATTGCTACTGGCTTCTGAGTTGGGGATAAGCAACATGTGAAACCACCTTATAGAAGAAATGGGTTAATCCAATGGATGTCCCACTGTTTGACCCGATGAATCCAAACGACTATGTCATCCTACATGTGCAGGGTTACCAGGCGTGTACTTGAACAGGTCAGTACCACTAAATTGTCAGTCATCCCTTGCCCCTGATATCAACCAGAAAGAAGTAGTTCCCCAATTGGCACCGCTTCTTTGAAGAATGGCTTCAGTCCTGGCAGCTTGCAAACGGAGGCCCTTCTCCTAATACGAGTTGTGCTGGCCAGGATTGGATGCTGTTCGTCGGGTGTTCCACTTGGCCCCAATTGTCAATGGCTCGTAAGACAACTGCCGCTGGTCAATGCTGAAGCAGCCTCAGCAGTCTCGACTGCATCAGAGCTGGGTGGATACCTGTGCCGCCAATCAGCCCAATCAGCATCCCTTCCTTGTGGCCGCTGGACCACTCTTTGGACCCTGCATAGATGGTGAGCCTTTGCAGCCCCCAAATCAGGGATCCAAAAATGAATAGATCTAACACAGAACCAAGGTTTTTCTCGGAACTGCATCCCATGTTGAACGTGGATTGGACCGGCTCTTTAGCCCCAGCTATGATTGGACAAACTCCAGTATTCTTACGCCCCAACTGCAACGTAGCCCAGTAGCCCAAGTTATGACCATTGGACCATGCCATGTTTTTTTATATGGGAAGACCCTCTGATCTTCCCATAGTAGGTCCCATGATCCCCCAGTACTACCTGAGTATGAAATATTGCCACTATGATTATCTGGTGGTGATTAAGTGGCAAAATCATTGGCAAAATATATGAGAAATCATGGGATCTTACAGGATGTTAGTAGGATGTTAGTGAGAAATATCATGGCTGATTGGTGGTTTGGAACATGACTGGATTGATTTTCCACAGATTGGGAAGAATCATCCCAACTGACGAAATCATATTTTCAGAGTTGAAACCACCAACCAGTTGATGGTTAAAATTCCCATAATGGTTAACCATAACCACTATTATTTACCACCATTAACCATCATTAACCACTAAGCAGCTATAGTATGACCATATCTGGTTGGTGGTTTCAAACACATTTTTTTCCATAATATATGGGATAATCCTTCCCATTGACGAAGTCATATTTTTCAAGATGGTTATTGCACCACCAACCAGATATCTATATCAATAATGTTCCATGATCAATATCCCATTGATATACCCTCTGGTAATTTAACAGTTTGCTATTGATAATGGCCATCGAAATAGTTGATTTTCCCATGAAAAAAATGTGATTTTCCAAATTGTGACCCAGAAATGTCTTGGGCCGATCTTGACAGGTGGCCTGGCGCCCAAGCCGGCGGAATGTGTGCCTTGGGTGCCCGTTGCGACGTTGCGTTTTTTGTTCGGTGCGCGTCACGCTGAGAACATGGCTATTTCATGAATGGTCATAGCAACCCCCAAAAGATGGAGTCATTTCATGATTGGGGGTTGCTATGACCATTCATAGTAAATTCCTTGTAATTCCTAGTAAATTGTAGTATATTCCCAGTAAATTCCTAGTGTATAGGCATAGGTGATTTCATCACTTTTCGAATCGACTGTCGATCTTTTGGGGTCCTTTTTTAATAGTGGATATCATATCATGGCCCATAACATGGGAATATCATGACTATACCACTTATAGCTGCTCGTTGGTGCTTTGAAATGTCTTTCTTTTAGAAAAAAAGTGATGATGATCCTCATTCACCTGCAGGGAAAAATCCAAAGCTTGACTTTAGCCATGGAAAGTGCTAATCGGAAATCATGGAAAGCTATAGTGGTTAGGAAATCACCATTATTTTAAGTTCTAGACTCGGTGGTGATTTTTTTTACATAGCGAACTGGAAAGTCACCATTTCAAATACGCAAATCATCTATGAATGAGCTGTTAAGGTACGACAATGGTTGGGGTATACCCTGTCAAGGCGGTTCTTCCAAGAAAAGTGTGGAGAACGAACTTTCCGAAAACTCGATGGAGAACGGAGCTATATCCAGTGGCCACTTGCCTGGTCACTCGTGTAGGAACCACAAAACAAACCATGCCACTTCGATAATTATAAAAGAACTCTGGTACAGCATATCCTCTGTTAAACCAACAGTTTGCTATTGAAGCCATAGAAATAGTTGATTTACCAATTCAAACATGGTGATTTCCCATCCGTTTTTTGCATGTCTACCAGAGGGTGAGTCCTGTGAATGTTGATTCTGCTCCGAGTTCTGTGCCAAAAAATCGATAACCCCCCAAAAAGATAGAAGTTGGTAAAACCCTACTAAATTTTAGTAGTAAATCACTGCTATCTATCTTTTTTGGGGATGACATTTTAATTCCAGTCATGTCATTCACTCATGTCAAAACGACTCGGCTTCAAGGTGGGCCCTGCCGGACCATCTATTTCATTATAAGACATTTTATTTGATATTATATCTACATATCTGATTATATATAAATATATATATATATATATAAATTTATTATATATATATATCATTATAACTATATATATATATATATCTATTAATACATATGCTTCCCGGCGGATCGAAAACCGTGCTCACGAAAATAGAGTTTTTTTAAAAAATGTGTGTTTTACCACAACGAGGTAACGATTTGTGTCATTGAAAAAGTGACAAATTTGGACGTCCAAATTTGGGTGTTTTTTGGGGAAATGTTGTTTTTTACCACAGTAAAACACACATTTTTGCTTCATTTCGATCGGACAAAATGAGGCATTCTTTTTTTCACTCGAGCTTGTGCAACATGTCTGCAGTCTTCTGGAGCAGGTTCTTGTACTCATTGACGAAGCGCCATTGCCACATTTTGGCATATAACATGAAATCTTTGTGACTGGCACCCACACAAAAATGGCAAGCATTCCAGAGATCTCGGCAGCGTAGTAACATGCAACGTGGCAAGCATTCCAGAGATCTCGGCAGCGTAGCAGCATGTAACGTGGCAAGCATTCCAGAGATCTCGGCAGCGTAGCAACATGTAACATGGCAAGCATTCCAGAGATCTCGGCAGCGTAGCAACATGTAACGTGGCAAGCATTCCAGAGATCTCGGCAGCGTAGGGAGCGTAGCAACATGTAATGTGGCAAGCATTCCAGAGATCTCGGCAGCGTAGCAACATGTAACATGGCAAGCATTCCAGAGATCTCGGCAGCGTAGCAACATGTAACGTGGCAAGCATTCCAGAGATCTCGGCAGCGTAGCAACATGTAACGTGGCAAGCATTCCAGAGATCTCGGGAGCGTAGAAATATGTACTGTACGCACTAGACAGAACGTGAACATCCCCACCGCACCCCCCCACCCCACCCCAACATAACCCCCCACGTCCCATTAGCAAAAATGTGCATTTTATGAGCACAGTTTTCGATCCGTAGGCATATACTTGAATGAAGATTTGAATGAATACATCTGTGAATGAACTATAGAAAAAGGAGTATCCATACATATATTCATATGTAGAGTTACACATGTATATATATATATATTATATATATATGTATATATATATGTATATATATGTATATATATATACACATTATACCATAGATACATCTGTAGAAAGTCTAAATGCACTGTAAATACATCTACTCATACATCTGATTGTGGGTACTCTACAGATACTATTAGTAGATAACTGTTATACCATATACAATATAGATACTGTATCTACACATACCTATACTAAACAGACATATAGTTACATCTACAATACATACCATAGATATTCAACTATAGAGACCTATAGATCAGTATAGCTAGTGTACCTATATATAATATATATATATATATATATATCATATCATATCATATCATATCATATCACACATATATATATATGAAATATATCATATATATATATACATATCATATATATCATACATATCATATATATCATATATATGATATTTATATATATATATATCATATATATCATATATATCATATATACCATATATATCACATATATCATATATATCATATATATCATATATATCATATATATCATATATATCATATATATATATATCATATATATCATTTATATCATATCATATATATAATGTATATATATATATATATATTATATATATTATATATATCATATATATCATATATATATATCATATATATCATATATATCATATATATCATGTATATATACGTATATATATACATCATGTGCAATATTATGTATTTTTTCCTTAGACCTGATGTAGCTGCTATCTATTTAACCGCTTTAAACACCGTGCGTTAGGCCTGGCCCCATTCCCGTTGAACCCGAGAAGATGAGCGAATGGCCTCCCTGGATCCCCAAGTGCCTCGGTGGCGTGCCGTTGGATCTATGGTAAATATAGATGTATGATGAATATATATAGAAAATACTGTATATGTCTATATGTCTATATAAGTATACATATATCTATCTATATGTATACATATATATATATATGTCTAGACATTCATGTAGATTCATGTAGCTATCTTACATGTAATGTAGATGATATCTATGTTTGACTGGGTTCAATTGCAATGTTTTTTTCCCCGCACGAAGGCGGATGATATGAACCACCTGTTCTTCTCAGACAATAGAAATTAGATTTGAATGAACATGGCTTTCAAGATTAATGATTGGTAAATTGATACTTTCTAAGAAGAATGATTGATGTATAGTACCTGCTCAGATTTCATTTCATTCATTCACAAGTCAGCCAATAAAATGTGAATGAAGAGTATCTGCTCATCATCATGAGTATATGTGTAAGTGTATACTTATATGACATGTATCATTATACTTGTAAGATTCTTATGGGCATACCCTGGACTAGCAAATTCTTACTTATTCTTTAAAAAATCCATAAAAAACTATATCTAAAACCCATGCAAAATGTCAAATGATTATACACATCTTGATGTAGCCTAGGGTAAACTAACAGTTCGACGTGGAAAACCCACCATGAATGTAGATCATTTGCCGAACGGGTTTTCCCACAGGTTTTCCACATCTTTTTGTATGTTTACCTTAGGTCACATATATGTCTATAGTATATTAAACATGTTCTACATCTTATGATTATAAATATAGAATTAGTTAGAATTCAGTCATAGTATATAAGTAAACAATATATATATAATCATTACATTAACCATTCGTTGATAATATATGTATCTGGGTAAATTATAACGACCTCACTGTGACCTCACTGGAATCATGGTTAGTAAGGGAAATCATCCCCAAATGGTCGAACTATTCGGGTTAGTGAATTATTATAATTTACCCAGATGTATACATACATGACATTGTTCCACGGTTGGTCGCATCCAAAGTGTCGTTACTGAGGGAGGGCACTTGGGTGCCGCGGCAGCCGCGGAAGGTGCACGAGGACAAATACGATGCCAAGGTGTTGCGGAAGTACCAGGGAAAATTTGGGGGAGTACTTGGTGGTTCATCACACATACTGCCCTCTGGTAAACGTTTACATAGCTATTGAAAATGGTCATTTATAGTGGATTTACCCATTAAAAATTGTGATTTTCCATAGTTATGTTAGTTTACCAGAGGGTAAGTAGGTTATAACCACAGTTATAAGTGGATTAACCCTACTTATCCCACTGAAAAAGCCAGGGATACAACCCACTTGGATTCGTGGGATGAGACACCCTTGTGCCATCCTTCCAATGGAGGCTTCACATGGGGGATCCCCAATCGTCACCATAGGTTTCAATACTACAATAGTCTAATGACTTGGATGATTTGGGGGTACCCCCATGACTTGGGAAACCTTCAAATTACTCTCAAATTGACATGGGGGTGAAACCAACCCTACGTGGGATATAATGGGAAGAGAATGGAATATGCCGCCCCTTCCAAGTAATATGACGACTCTGCCATGTTTGGGGGTTGGAAAATTGCTAAATCTACTGGGCCAAAAATAATCAGATGCGATCTCAGGGTCAAACTGTTACCCTCTGGTAAACTAACATAACTATGGAAAATCATCATTTTTAACGGGAAAATCCACTATAAATGGCCATTTTCAATAGCTATGTAAACGTTTACCAGAGGGTAATTTACTGGAGGGTAAGATGGTGAACGCAATGCCAACAAAATAGAAAGATTGGGTGGTTACTAGGTTTATAATTGAGTTTTTCGAGGGGGCAGTGAGCGCTGTAACGCAGATTGGTACTGAAGTGGTTTTGTTTGATTTCAGGATTCTATTCTTGCTGAAATTACAATGATCCCATTATGTACATCCCATTATACTGCTAGATAGAACCATTATATCAATATGTATATATATATATAGCCCAAGTATATACAATGGTATCATGTTATCCCAATGATTATACTGCCTCTCTTTCTGCCTCGGATGTTTCGCCGTTTCACTTTTCAACAGGTCGATGCCTTCGCCCACAACTTTATGCAGCAGCTGAGACGGAGGCGGTTTCACCAAACTGCCAAGTGGATCTGAGGATGTTTTTTTTGATTTTTTTGGGATTAAATGGACATATTTGACATTAAATCATTTAAATCGGAGATACCAAAGCCATAGTTCATGTCAATGTGGTTAACCCAATGGCTTAGATCTATTTGTTTGTGCTATAGTGAAAAAGTGCAAAATGGACACTGTCTGATTGGGTGGTTTGGAACATTTGGACTGTTTTTCATTCAGTTGGGAATTTCATCATCCCAACTGACGAACTCCATCATTTTTCAGAGGGGTAGGTTGAAACCACCAACCAGTTGATGGTTAAAATTCCCACAATGGTTAACCATAGCCAGCATTATTAACCACCATTAACCAATATTCACCAGCAACCAGCTGTACTTCGATGATATTTACCATCTGGTTCTTTAACATAGCCATGGAAAATTACAATTTTTAATAGGTAAACCATCTATAAATGGACCATTTCCCATGGCTATGTTAAATAACCAGAGGGTAACCTCAACAGCAAGTTGGGAGTTACGTGGCTTGGAAGTTTCGAAGCCGCAAGCCATGCCGCAATTTTGGTTCTTTTTAGGATCACAAAACGCTCGGTGAAAAATTGCTGCTGATAAGCAAGAATAATGGGAACATTTGACCAAGCAAATCAATATCATACAAGCAGCAGATGGAAAGGGAACCAGTTTTTTTTAGAATCATAGAATCAAACATGACCAACGCCTGAGTTCCATCGAATTCTTCAGATTTTGAGTGTTTGTTGGGTTGACCTATGTTGACCTTTGCCAGTGACCGACAAAGGTCAATCCTCCAGTTCTTGGTTCACATCCCCAGTTGGTGAAGATGTAGTGTTTTTTTCCTGCGAATATACCCTCTGGTAAATTAACATAGACCCTGAAAATCACCAATTTTTAGAGGAAACTAATCTTCCAAATCCTATCTACCAGGGTCCAACTGTTAATTTACTGGAGGGTAAACATGGTCAAATCGTAACAGCAGGCTTTCTGCCACGGTACTGTGAAGCCACGGTTGGAAGTTCTCGTCCCAAGTTCACCCTAAACCCAGTTCGGCCGAGGCAGCGAGAGAAGCAACGGAAGGAGGCATGGGGAATTCCTTTAGATCAAGCATGAATATATGTATATATGTATATATATATATGTATATGTTTATATCTATGTATATATATATAACTGGTTGGTGGTGACTGGAACATGACTGGATATATGACTGGATTATGACTTTCCATTCAGTTGGGAATTTCATCATCCCAACTGACGAACTCCATCATTTTTCAGAGGGCTTAGGTATACCACCAACCAGAATGACTAGGCGTTTCCTATCGCAAGACACAGCGATTTCTATGGAAAAAAAACATCGTCAATTTTTTGATCATTTCCAAGGGGAAAGCCCATGGTATTTTCATAGCAACATAAAACCATCAAAGTAACAGGACGTAACCTCTGGTTATGACTAATAGTTCGCCATGGAAAATCCCAACCATAAATGGAGGTTTAGTTCGCTGGGAAAAGCATCTATTTCAATGGACCATCTTCCATATTTTCCATGGCGAACTGTTAGGTTAAATAACCAGATGGTAACAGTTAATAACAGTTATACATCAGGTACCATTCAAACACATTCAAACATTATATTTAATATCCCCATGATGTCCCGTTGGAACTCGGCGGTTCCCCTGGTGACTGGCATCGGTCGAGTCAGGATCGGGAGTGTAAACGTTTGGTTCAAGGTCTTGACATTTGGGAAGGCGGGACGGCTGGATTTCACTGCGAATCATTTGTGGGAATGGTCATGGTGATAGATAGCTGGGAATGGTTTATTACTGTTTTTAAACCAAAAATTGGTATACCCTCTGGTAAACTAACATAACTATGGAAAATCACAATTTTTAATGGGAAAATCCACTATAAATGGCCATGTTCAATAGCTACGTTAAATTACCAGAGGGTAATATTCGTCAGAATTCCATGATGGAATACTGACAAAACATTTGAAATAACAGTAATATTTCAACTAATGTTCCGGTTAAAAAAAGGGGGAATATTCCATGATGGAAACCTGTCAATAAATCCCATGAAGATCTGGCGGATCATAGCCACCAGACATGGATGGCCTTTGTCCATCCGCTGGGCCCCTGGGGTTTTCATCCTTAGATACGTGGAAAACCCATGGGGAAGCCCTCGGAAAATGATGGAATATGATATCATATGCACATGCTGGGTTTCGACATCTTTTTTTTTTGGTTTACTAGGGATGGTATCTTTCAGGTATACTTACTTAAACTAATTCCTACAAAAAAATAGAATGAATAGAAAGTTAAGAAGAATACTATATATATATATATCTATATATCCGACAAGTGGCAAATGTGCTCAACTGACAGGAGGATATGATTGGCTGATTATATAGCATGCAATTATCCACACGATATTGGAGTCAGTGTGTGTTTGAAATACTGGCAGGGTATCTGGTTGGTGGTTTGGAACATGACTGGATTATTTTTCCATATATTGGGAACAATATATCATCCCATTTGACTTTCATATTTTTCAGAGGGGTAGGTTGAAACCACCAACCAGTTGATGGTTAAAATCTCCATAATCGTTAACCATAACCACCATTATTAACCACCATTGTGTGTGTCATCAGGCATAAGCAAAAAACCCATCTCAATGTGTCGTCAGGCAACGTCGTCAGGTCCAGATGGTTAGTGGGGCCATTGTGAAAATAACCGCATTTAAGCATTGAAGTAATGATGGTTTATTTACCAAATGTTAATATTACATAATGATGATCCAACTTTAATGATTATCCAATGTTAAATATTTTCCTAATGATGGTTTATTTACCAATATTAATGATTATCCAAATGTTAAACTACCAATTAATAGTAGTTATAAACATTTTTCAATTTTTTACCATTTGAATAACATTTGGATCGTTGATGCAACACCATCCCCTGAAAAATCAATTAGTTGATGATGTCGATGGCATTGGCTGTACCACTTGGATAACCACGAGTTGATCCTTTAAAACTGCCCTAGTTGTTGATTGGTGAATTTGTTCGGACTTATGCTAATTAATAATAACAACAGTAATAATCATAACAACAGTAATAATAATAATGAATCTATCTATACCCCCTGGTAAACGTTTACATAACTATGGAAAATCACCCTTTTGAATGGGAAAATCCACTATTTCGACTGGGTCATTTTCAATAGCAAACTGTTGACATAACCAGAGGGTATATGATATCATATTGGGATTCTGGGGACCTATTACTACCGCTTTTTTCTTCAGGATTATGATAGCCAGTAGGGAAACTTATCAACCAACTAGAAAAATCCAGATGGGATAGGGCTACTTTGAATGGCTGAACGGGTTTTGAAGGGAAAATCAAAACCTGAATTTAACTGACATACTTGGGAGAAATGCCCCCTCCACGTGGTTTCAGCCTGAGCATACCCACGATAGTTCCGACGCCTTCACGCGCGTTCCAGTGTGCGTGGTTTTTGTTGGATGAAATGCGATGAAATGTGCTGAAAACTTAACACAAACCAGTTTCTGGCTAGACTTTTCCCTTAAACCAATCCATTGATTGCTTATGTCATCGAAAAAACCCTATATTCCCAACATGTTGATGGTGAATTCTCAATGTTTTTTTCGGTGACCATCCACCAACCTCCCCCAACAGTACACATATATTTATATATATAATCATCCTGAGTATATAGATAGAATATATGGGATTTTCCATATTCTAGTTCCATAATTATCGTGATTCTTTTTCAAAAAAAACCGTAGTGTTTCCCAAGGTGAGGCCAGGCCAGTGATGTGAAGTTATCGGTGAGTTTCACCGGTTTCACCCATAGAAAAAACATGGCCAAAAACATGACCAGCAGAAAAAACACAATAGTCATGGTCTGACCTTGACTATGTATATCTATATATATATATGTATATATGTATATGTTTATATCTATGTATATATATAACTGGTTGGTGGTGACTGGAACATGACTGGATGATTTTTCCATATAGTGGGAATTTCATCATCCCAACTGACGAACTCATATTATTCAGAGGGCTAGGTATACCTCCAACCAGATAAATCAGTTCATACCTTTGTCGACTAAAATCCGAACTGTCGCTGGATTTTTCAGGAACATCTTAACCGGAAACCATATGATTCTTTTCCCATGAAATACAGGGCTTTCCGGATAAAAAAATCCCTTACCCTCTGGTAATTTAACGTAGCTATTGAAAATGGCCCTTTATAGTGGATTTTCCCATTAAAAATTGTGATTTTCCATGGCTATGTTAGTTTACCAGAGGGTAAACCAATCCAATGAAACTAAACCAACGAAACCAGTCGTCGTTCACCATGTTCCCTGCAGGCGAATTGCGTCGTCGTCGCATCATGTCGCAGCTCAAAGGAGCGATCCCAGGCTGCCGGATGTTGAACCGGTGAAGCCCCAAAAAAGAAACGAGAAGATCTCCTGGATATTGGAGGTTTCCTAGAACATCTTGGGTAATTTTTGCGGAAATCATAGGTAAATAATAGTGAAATAATAGGGAAAGGTACCCTCTGGTAATTTGTTACCGTTTGCGAACTGGAAAATGGCCCAGTCGAAATAGTTGATTTACCCATTAAAAAGGGTGATTTTCCATAGTTATGTAAACGTTTACCATAGGGTAAAACCACCATTTTCCTATGGTTTTCCTATGATTTTCCCATATATTTGCCATATATTTGACCATAACTATTGGTAACCACTATTAAGATCTATTAACCCATATTAATCCGTATTAATCCATATGAATCCCATGAAAACACCTATGAATAGATATCAACCATCTTCGAACATTTCCTGGATGTTGGAACCAATCCATTGATGGTGGTTTCGTAAGAGAAAAAACATGGGGATCCAACAAAAAACCACCAAAAACCCATGGTTTTCTAAACTTTTAAATGCCTATGTTGGGATGATTTGGGTACGCCCATGATTTTAGGAAACTTATACCTGCACACGATTTTTTTTAAAGGGATTGGGATATTGATATGAGGGATATTCAAGAATCCCATTCTTTTCCGCATGTTTCAATGTTTTATGGCGCAAAATGGCTTCAACCATGGTTAGTATTAGGTTAAATGATGTTACTGTACATAAATAGTTAGATTGTTGAACTCAACCATCAGTTTGGTGTCAATTTCTGGTTTTAGCAAACTGGTGGCTTTAGCCGTGAGGGCCGCCTCACTGGGAATCGCCTGGGTTTTCACAGCCCACTTCCTGACTTGGTGAACTTGATGGTGTACCAGCTTGATATGATCTTCTGGCAGCATCTATGTTGATTAACTGGAGGTAACAGACCCATAATAAGCCATGATGAACCATAATTCATGATAAACATCAATAAACCATGTTATTATGAATAAACCATAAACATAAACAACCGTCATATTTTATAGTTATAATCAGCCATAACCCAAGATATAAACAATTCTCAGTCGCCCTGGTGATCCAGCCATCCAGGCCCCCCAACTCGCAGGCAGCACCAAACTCGCAGGCAGCCTCGGGCAGCCTGACACCCCCGTGCCATGGCAGCCATGGAGCCGCTCGTGGAGCCGATGACGGTGCCAAAAAATGTCGATTTTCGGTGATTAAGACATTTTTGACTTTAGCAACCACCTAACATTTTTGGCGAAAAAAGGCAGGGATGGATTTTCTGTGATCTTTATGAACCCGACACAACTCTTGGGGGCAATGTCATCCCATCAATGGACACCATGAAGGGATTATTCGATTTACCACAGATGTTCTTTTTTATCCCAGGTGATTGCGATATTATTCCCCATGTTGTCATGTTGGGTAATTGGAACACTTTATAGCAATAAATAGAACATCTACAGCTTCCTTGAAAACTCTTAAGGTATCTTAAGGTCAGGGTGCGAGGAGGGAACGCTGCAGCCATTCGCGCATTGCCAACATGCAGTGATGGCAACGCCTGGTCCTGACGAAGTTTTCGCATGCACGTCGTCCCAGCAGGTTGGATGAAAAATCAAAGAGTGGCTGAAGCAATATTTGATCCAGCTTCGGGCCAGCGACATTGCTATGAGAAGACTTCACTACGCTCAGTCCCTAGCTACAGAATCTACAATCTGCCCAAATTACTGCGACCCCAGCCGAGGTGACGAGGTTATTTAGAGAGAATTAGCGAGGTCAGTAACGAGGTTGCTTATTGAGAATTAAGGAGTATGGGCAGTTTTCGGACATGTAGATGGCAGTGACCCATGGAATAAAACTTTTGGAGAGCTGGAAAGTTTATTTTGATGATTCAAGCAGGTGGTTGAGTTAAATTTGTATAGAACGAGGCGGCTGTGTAGTGGAAGTAAATAGATTCCAAATCCACCACCTTTCAGGCTGCCAAAAGTTTGTTTCATATCCATCCGGTGCCTCCAAGACAGCGCGCCAGGGTTTGTAGCAGACAAAACTTTTCAGTGCTGGAAAAGTTTTTTTGCCAGACACCCTCACTTCAGTACTGGGGCTCAAAGACTCGCACGCTCAAAGTTTCAGGGCCATGCCGCTGCGAGTTCTTCTCCATCCTATAGATAGATATATATATATATATTATATGTATATATATATATATATACATACATACCTACAGCCTGAAATTAACGAGGCGAGGGGTTATTTTCGAAACTAGATTTAACGAGGCGAGGCGCTATTTTCTGAACCACATGTAACGAGGCGAGGTGCTAAATGCGCGTAACGATGATCAGACACGAGGTAGACGAGGTAAGAAATAAAGTAATTTGCACAGTACAATCGAAGTGCTTACGATTTGGCATTGAAGGAAGGCAGAATAACATGATTGAAAAATACGTGCGATCTCCCAGCGCATTGTACAAACTTCTAGATTTGAATAGAGAGGTCGATACAGACAAGTCTAGAATTCAGAGCAGCTTAACGTACAATTATCCCAAAGACTGGATTTCAAAGCAATTCATTGGACAGTTTTAAACAGAGAAAGTGTATCAAAGTAAAGCTCCCAAAAAACGAATATAAGTAGAAAATCCAAAGTTTCTGCAGGGAAGTGTTCCAAAGCAGCAAGCTACAAATGTAAACAGAGAAGTCGAGATTTCTGTAGCCAAGTATTCAAGTATTTGACCGGAGAAGTAGATGGAAAAGCCGAGCAAAGCAAATAGATAAGTCTTTCAAAAGCAGGTTCTGTTAAATTTTAACTTTGCAAAGTAAATGAGATGCCTAGAAAAGAAAAGAAGAGCAGTGAGCAGAGTAGAAAATAGTGAAAATTTGTTTTGACAAGGAAAGAAGCTAAGCCTGGAAAGTCGAGATTTCTACTGAACGTCGCGCTGGACAGTCGAGACAAAAAAAAACGGCCGAAAAGAAAGAAACATGTCGAGATTTCCATTTCTAGGTTTAGCAGAATAGTGCAGAGGTACAAGTTTCCATCAAAAAGTGTAGTACCGTTGGTTGTATCACCACCATCTTCCCTTGATGGACAATCTCCGTTGAATTTGCTGGTCAATCCCGATATTCCCAGTAAGATTACAGTGTATGTTTATACAATTATTTATACAGATGTATATTTATATTTTTTTTGCCCACTGCTGCTTGATGTCAACCCCGGATTAATAAACCATGATTTATTAATTAGGGGGTACTCCTGCAATAGTCATAACCTAATACTTAAATGGAGGAGTTAGGTTGACATTGATACAAATACAGTACAGCATGATAAGCCTTAATCTAATACTGATTCATAAACCCACACCAATTATATAAACCTGGTTGGTGGTTTGGAACATGACTGGATTATTTGTCCATATATTGGGAATTTCATCATCCCAACTGACGAAGTCCATCATTTTTCAGAGGGGTTGCTCAACCATCACAGCCAGCCATAGGATGATCCTCCAAGTTGAAAGCCATGACCATTGAGGGAACATGATGATAGACCAATGGAAATAAAGGGCTACCCGGTTTCGAGACATACCCATATATATATATACACGCATTGATACATAGATAGAGGTATAGATAGATGGATGGATGGATGGATGGATAGATACTGTAGATAGATAGATTGATAGATAGATAGATATAGATATAGATATATAGATATATATGGTTTTTCCCAATTGCTGAATTTTTTTGATATGGATATATAGATAGATGGATAGATGGATAGATAGATATGTTTTTTTTTGCCAATATCGATTTATCAATCCCGTCTATCTATTATTGTTTTTTCCATCAATTATTGTTTTTTTTCCATCAATGGTTATAATAATCCCATTCAATGGTTTATAGTTGATTTACCCATTAAAAATGGTGATTTTCCCATCAGTTATGTAAACGTTTACCAGAGGGTAGGACAGTAAACGGACATTTGTCCAATATAGGTATAGATGGAAAATAGCTATAGATAGATGGATCATGATGGATCCATCTATACTATCATAGAATTGGATTATGGGAAATTTTACAGGAAAGCCCTATATTTGATGGTAAAAAACATGGTTTCCTGTAAATTTTCCCTTAAACCAATCCAGTGATACTAGATGAAAATTGCTGATCTGAAAGAACCCTAAACCCATGTCGCTCAGTCCACTGGCTCCTTGCGCGGCTCCGCCTCCGAGCCGCTCTTCTCGCGCCGCAGCTAGGCGGGTCACCGGGTGACATCGGAAGATCACCAGGGACATCTGGGATTTCAGCAGCAAAAATAGGGATTTATCATGAAAGAAACAGGAAAACAACATATGGAAAAATGATGAAAAATGATGATTACAATGGATAAAATGCCAGCCAAAAGTTGTGATTTTTCATATGATTTAAGCAAGGAAAAGGGTCAGGAACGTTAGGAACGTTAGGAAAATTGATGGGGATTTAAGCAGGAAGATTATGGATTTGAACTTTCCGAGACATGATTTACGCACTCAGAACACCATATATATTTCAGTGGATAGTTACTGACAGTTAGTCAGGAACAGCGCGAAATTAAACAACACAAACCATGGCTGGTGGTTTGGAACATGACTGGATGATTTTTCCCGTCATATTGGGAATGTCATGATCCCATTTCACGAACTCATATTTTTCAGAGGGGTGGCTCAAAACCACCAACCAGATTATTATTAACCATCATTAACCATATAATAACCATATATATTAACCATATAATAACCATATATATTAACCATATAATAACCATATATATTAACCATATAATAACCATATAATAACCATATATAATAACCATAAAATAACCATATAATAACCATAAAATAACCATATAATAACCATAAAATAACCATATAATAACCATAAAATAACCATATAATAACCATAAAATAACCATATAATAACCATAAAATAACCATATAATAACCATATATAATAACCATTTAATAACCATATATAATAACCATTTAATAACCATATATATTAACCATATATATATTAACCATATAATAACCATATAATAACCATATATAATAACCATATATAATAACCATATATAATAACCATATATAATAACCATATATAATAACCATATATAATAACCATATAATAACCATATTTTATCCAACCAGATGGATTTAGCCCTTTAGAACTGAGAAACTTCAGCAGGTTACCACCATGATTTCACCAGGAAGGTGTAGCTGGTTGGTGGTGACTGGAACATGACTGGATGATGACTTTCCATTCAGTTGGGAATGGAATAATGATCCCAACTGACGAACGAATATTTTTCAGAGGGCTTCAAACGACCAACCAGTGTAGTATTTGGGGAGTAGGACTCAGGGCTATTCGATGTCTCTTTACAGGCATCTACGACACTTGCACAGGTATTGATGCTTACGGAACCAGATCGTAAAGTTGGTTTATCCACAGTTCGACGGCTTCATCAAAAACTGCAGGATCCAATTTTTGGTGGTTAAATCATTGTTAAATCCCAATGTTTGGTGGTTAGATCGCAGTTTTTGCTGCGTTTTTGTCCAAGTGAGTCGGACCTTCAAAATCCACCCGCGACTCGTCCAGGTGAGGCGCTGAGTTGGGAAGGCAGGAACGGATCGGTAGAAAGATTGAAGCACTCGGTCCATACCTCTGTTCTTGACCCATAAAGACGGGAAAATCTAGAGATTCTCATCCGAAAAAATGAAAGAATATGCTTGTCAGTTGGGATCATCATCCCATTTCCAGGGTTGAACATGAAACATGTTTGACGCTACAAAGTATACATATAGACATATAGATAGATAGGACAGATAGGATAGATAGGATGGATAGGATGGACGGATGGATGGATGGATAGATAGATCGATAGGATAGGATAGGATAGGATAGGATAGGACAGGATAGGATAGGATAGATAGATAAAGAGATAGATACATAGATAGAGAGATAGATAGAGAGAAAGGGAATAGATAGAGAGATGTAGATAGAGAGAACTAGATAGAGATATATAGATAGAGAGATCTAGATAGAGAGAACTAGATAGAGAGATATAGATAGAGAGATATAGATAGAAAGATATAGATAGAGAGATATAGATAGATAGATATAGATAGACATATTTATAGAGATATAGATAGAAATATATAGATAGACATATATAAATAGAGAAATATAGATAGAGATATATAGATAGAGACATATAGATAGAACGATATAGATATAAATGTATTTAGATAGTGATATTTAGATAAACATATTTAGATAGACATATATATATAATAAGGAGGTAGAGAGATATAGATAGATATATATTGATAGAGATATATAGATAGAGAGATATAGATAGAGATATATAGATAGAGAGACATAGATAGAGATGTATATATATATAGAGAAATAGGTATATATATATATATACATAGGTAGATATAGATACTTATAGATAGATATAGATAGTTATAGATAGATAGTTATAGATAGATCTAGATAGATCTAGATATAGATCTAGATAGATAGAGATAGAGATAGATAGATAGATAGATAGATAGAAAGAAGGAAATATATAGAGATAGAGATAGATATAGAGATAGATATAGATAGATAAATAGATGGATGGATGGATGGATAGATAGAGAGAGAACGAGAGAGAGAGAGAGATAGAGATAGAGATAGAGAGATAGATGGATAGATAGATAGATAGATAGATAGGTAGATAGATAGATAGATAGATCGATCGCGATCGATATATCGATAGATAGATAGATAGATAGATAGATAGATCGATAGATCGATAGATAGATAGATCGATAGATCGATAGATCGATAGATCGATAGATCGATAGATCGATAGATAGATCGATAGATAGATAGATCGATAGATAGATCGATAGATAGATCGATAGATAGATAGATCGATAGATAGATAGATCGATCGATAGATAGATGGATCGAAAGATCGATAGATCGACAGATATATCATATATCCCTAGTTTTTTTCTTGAAATTTTTACTCTCCTGCACCCAAACATGGCAACAGGACCCCTCAAATAGTGGGTGTCCATTGCCATGCTTGATTACCAGAGAGTACCTCCATTTATTGGGGGATTCCATTGGTACCATCGATGGTTGGTTGATGGTTTAATTTTTGTAGGGGGTTCAAAAAAATCCGGTGACTGGGGACCTTTGTGCAACCCATTTCAGACGGATACCGGGGATGCAGCGGGGTATTTTCGATGGTTCACCATGTGATTTTTCAGCGGGGGGATACCAGAAACCAGATTACATCTCAACAGAAAAGTGGCATGTGGTAAGTGGTAAGATATTGGCATGTGGTTATGCTAACTTGATAAAAATACTACCAAATTGAAACCGGATTGACTCTACAAATCCCAGCATTTTTAAGCAGTAAATTGACCATTGATTATATATATACACATATTCTGATAGTGATATCCAAGACTATTATAATCATATATATAATATATCATATCCATATTAGTGATTATATATAATCATGATAGTGATATCCAATACATCAGTTTATATCATAGTGGTATATATCCAAGACTACTGTAACTGATGTCAATACTACTATACCCTTCTGCTCCATGGCTTGTTTGGGAGTTCACCGATTTTTCACAGGTGGGCCCCCCCATGGGATACTGCATCCTTGGCTTTGCAGACACCCAAGGGTCAATTGATTGCAGACTTTCTGCGGGTTTATGTACCCTCTAGTAAATTAACATAGACCCTGAAAGTAACCAATTTTTTTTATGGAAACTAATCTTCCAACCCCTATCTGGCAGGGTCTATGTTAATTTACTGGAGGGTACATGGCTCAGAATGACTAGTGACCACTTTTCGTGGATGGTTGATTTAACATGACACACCTAGGACCATGGCAAACTACGTAGTTTTTACACTACACCCCCAAATAGTGGACTGAATTTAATCCTACAAATGCCCAATATAGGTCCAACAGTCTTAATTTTCGACCCAACCCAGTGTTAGATGCCAGTCTACAGTTTAGAACCTGACTATAGATATGTTTATATGGAAAATCAACCAAGAGGACCAAGAGGGGAAGAAGGGTTTCTTTTGGACTGCTGCATAACAACTTGTGTTTTTTCTAAACTTCCCATCCATATTTTGATCAATCCACAGTTCATTGAAATTTACGCAGCATTGGCGGGATGCGTTTTAAATGGTTTTCTGGTTGGTGGTTTCAAACATTTTTTATGTTCCATAGTATATGGGATAATCCTTCCCATTGACTAATACTTTTCAAGCTTGTTAAAACCACCATCCAGAAAACCTTCTTGTGCTCTAGCAGCTATTTCCCAAGCACGTGGTTAATCATGGAGGTTTCTTCCAACATACGCAGTTGATTCTATGTCCGGTGGGGGATGGACCAAAACCAACACCTTTTTTGTTTCTTGATGGACATCCATAGCTATTTTTGTACCAGGATTCCGGAAAATCCTGACCCAAACCCTACCCTAAATTTGGGTGAACATCCCCAAGGCACACGGATCCAGCAGCGCGCCTTTGGCGCGGCGGATCAGTCTCGGTTTCACTCCGCGACCCGCAAACTGGGCAAAGGTGGAAAACACAACAAAAGGCAGAGATTTCATCAAGAGCAGTCATCTTAGTGAAGCAAGAAAAACAAACCATCCCCAATCTCATGATTTTTATGGGTTTTTTAATTAACTATCAAAATAATAGGGTGGTTTGTTTTCCATTGCGCACTTTTGATCGCTTGCCTCGTGTTGACTTTTTGGGATTAACAAAGATGAACATTTCAGCAGCAACCAATGGGTATCCCACCGACTATGTCACAGAGAAGGACTCACGCAACACGAATCGGATTCATGAAACCTACATGATGTCGGGACACAATGAGGGTGGCCGGAGCCACACACGGAAAGAACCTACTCTTTTTGCTTTGCTTGCAAAAAAAACTGAGTTTGCTGTTGGGTTCTGTTCAATCATCTATATAATTCAATCGAAGAGAAACTAAATGTGTTCAAGTTACAGGTTGATTCCATTGGACAGCCGGTTTCACTGTTTCATCACAGGAGAAACTGCCTGTGAAAAGACGATGATCCAGCTGCGCTGCTGCGCTTGGGCCAATCCCCTGTGGCCAGCACCCACATTTTTGGGGCGATTTTTGTGGCTTACAATGTGTGGGATATAGAACCACCATGGTTCAATGTGAGTTTTGATTTCCATTTTCGTGCGTCACACTTCTTGGATTTCTTGGGAAACTTGAAATCTCCGTGTTTTCTTCTCACAAGTTGTAAGTAGGAGCTCAAACTCTCGCGAGTTAGATCCCCCGCAGTGGTGAATTGATGATGTCATGGCAGATTCTCATCGTCACCTTTTGCTGCTTTTTGATAGTGACATCATGTTACTTGGCAAGGGTTTGATACAGGTTCAATGGTTCACAGCCAATTTCTTAGCAGATAAGTTATCACTTAAGTTTGATGATATCGCGACCCGGGCCAGCCATCAGCTCATGGGCCTGCTGGATACATATTGCCTCCATGGCTACTTTGGAGGAGGCTACCCTCTGGCTATTTAACATAGCCATGGAAAATAGCCCATTTATAGTGGATTTTCCCATTAAAACCTCCATTTATGAGGGATTTTCCATGGCTATGTTAAATAACCAGAGGCTATATCAATTCTTGAGCCAAAACCATCCGCTATGATCCACCAACCATTCATCAAGGTTCATCCTGATTCATTCGTCCTGTATCAGCGATGGATGTTGAATGGGTTGGACCGTTGATATTGATACAGATCATAATATATTGTCCATCTTCAAGACTCACCCACCTTATTGGTGTTTGAAGCCTCATTTATGTTGGTTGATTTTCTATGTGTTTGCTTAGTTTTTTTGTTTTGGACGAGCATTTTCGCTTGCGAAATGACAATTTGTGCCGGTTCAAGTCCTTAATTGTAACAGGACATGCGTTTTTTTTCTATTTCCACAGGTACCCTCTGGTAAATTAACACTTGGACCCTGACTGGTTGGTGGTTTGGAACATTTGGATTAATTTTTCCATTCAGTTGGGAATTTCATCATCCCAACTGACTTTCACTCCATCATTTTTCAGAGGGGTAGGTTGAAACCACAACCAGATTATTATTAACCATCATTAACCATATAATAACCATATATTAACCATTATCTTCCCCGAAAAAACATGGCAGGGTCGTCATGTTCCACAGCTGCGGCAGCTCAATCCGCGGCCGCCCGGCGCGAAGCGCGCCCGGGGGCAGCGCCCGCTGATGAGGCGGAAGAGGTGAGACTGTCGGGGAATGGGGAAGATGATGGGAATCTAGCAAACAGAAAGGATACAATGGGTATATATATATATACAATATAGATAATATAATACTTTATATATACTTAGGATATATTATATACTGTATATATGTTATATATATAATATGATGGTAATATAGTTGGTAGAATGTAGTGTATACCACTGTATTTTGATGAATTATAATGACCTCACGTGGTGACGTCACTGGAATGATTTTTTTTGATCCAGACTATAGATGCCATGGCTAAGTGGGTTGGATGACATAGCCATCAAACATAGGGATTTTTTCACGGAACATTTACCACGGCATATTATATTGGGGGATTATCAGAAAATCCATCAACATAGATTTGTATACCCAGTGGAAGGATTGAACAATCATGTGATGGATTACAATGAAAACCATATACCACGTTTTGACCATGGCTCATATAGATACACCCAACAACTAATTCCATCAATCATGCATCAACGGTAAAGCCATAATCACTACAATGGAACTACCCTCTGGTAAACTAACATAACTATGGAAAATCACCATGTTCAATGGGTAAATCCACTATTTCTATGGTCATTTTCAATAGCTATGTAACAAATTACCAGAGGGTAAGTTCCATGAATCCATATTGATCACCATAGAATCCCATTAAAATCCTATTAAAATCCCATATTTTAAATTACCAGAGGGAAATTATGGATCATGCTTGGCCTTGCCACGCTTTAGCACATTCGATATGGGGTTCTTGTCCAACAATATTCGGGGTAGAGGGTGAACCGAGCCATCCCCCTTTGGACAAAAATGGTTCGAATCCCTAAATCATGGCTGGTTGGTGGTGACTGGAACATGACTGGATTATTTTTCCATTCAGTTGGGAATGTCATCATCCCAACTGACTTTCACTCCATCATTTTTCAGAGGGGTTGAAAGTTGAAACTACTTCTTGTTTTTTGCTGCGTTGCATGTTGCCACAGTTCTTCTGCACTTCTTTGGTACGGTATGCCACACTTTCATATGTCCCAAAATCAGTCCCACCATGTCAATTTCATTTGAAAAATACCAGGTTTCTCAATCCTGTCTCAAAATTGTGGATACCCGAATACAAATTTGCGCTCATGCTGTAGGGGTTTGCCAGAAAATCCAGCGCCTCCACATTGATGGTTGATCATCAGTCGGAGTCTTTGGACAAACACAAATTTTTGATCCATTTATAGGGGATACCCTCTGGTAATTTCACATAGCAAACTGGAAAAACACCATTTATTGAAGGTAAATCAACTATTTCTATGGCCATGTTCCAGTTCGCAAACTGTTCAATTGCGAGAGGGTACCTTTCCCTATTATTTCACTCTTATTTACCTATGATTTCCCATTTATAGGGGAATACCATTGTAGAATTTGATCCATGGGGATAGCCACCTAGCCAGGTGGGATGAGCTCCAAGTTGCTCGCTGAAGAGAAGGTGCCCCGTGGGCAGTTTTAATATGTTTTAATGTGGGGCCCTAAGTTTCAATATCACCTTTTTGTAGTTTTGGAACACGGTTAACATGGTTTTGGAACATGTAGACCCAGTGACCCAGTGTTTTTTTTTAGTGGAACTGCATTTTTTGAACTGTGTACCCACAGCTGTGACAGTGAACCAGTACCCATGGATCACGTTCACGTGAAATAACTGGCTTTCTCTCTTTGGATCATTCGGATCAGATCGTAACCGGGGAATGTAACCCACCCTGGTGTGCGTGCAAGTTCCCCAAATTTGCGGGTTATCCTATCCTTATATCCTTCAATGGCTTATAACTATGGTTCATAGTTTTTTGTGATGATTTTCCAAATCTTTGACTTTTGCGTGGGAAACTCAATTCATAGCTCCCACTGGCTTGATCGAAAATAGGGATACCCCAAGCTAGCGCTCCCTCCTAACCACTGGATTTTTCAAAACATGTTTGGAATGGTGTACGGCCATAATCACTACAATGGAACTACCCTCTGGTAAACGTTTACAAAAAACTATGGAAAGATCCACCATTTCTAATAGGTAAATCATCATAAATCATCCATAAATGGAATGGTGTACCATATTTATGATTATTTTTGGACAAATCCAACTGGTCTGGATAAATTCTGGCAGCCTCCAGAGCACTCCATCCCGAGACGTCCTTTCAAAGTTTCCCATCGTAGATGGCGACCCCCCAATATGAAACCAGGTTTCTATGGCTGGTGAGTCATTCGCAATCATGAATGCTGGTTGGTGGTGACTGGAACATGAATGGATTATGACTTTCCATTCAGTTGGGCATGGAAAAAAATCATCCCAACTGACGAAGTAAGTCATATTTTTCAGAGGGGTAGGTTGAAACCACCAACCACTTAGTCATAGTACGATTTGTATACGCAGAATGTCATCATACTTGGCCAACTATGACCGGGAGAAACCTTGCTAAATGGTTGGATAGATTGTGCTAAACCTGTGGAGGATCCATGCTGATGGAGGGCATAGAATCAACAGGGGTGACATCCAGAAGATAGGATGCAACCAATTTATGTGGATGATAAATGGCACCATGGTTTGCAACCCGTTTAGGACAAATCCAAAACATGGCTTGGAAAGTACTCATCCCTAGGATTGGATGGTTTTAGCCTGCAATGTTGACCTGTATTCAGATGTTAGGGATTGATTCTATCGCGATGTAACTTTCCCTTTGAAGCAGCACCGTAAATATGACAATTCTCACTTCAGTGATCTTTTGCTATGATCTATAGATCATGTTCCCAGCTAGAAACCTCCATGGAGGGATTTCCTATGAAACCCATGTAACCCCCATGAAAGCGGAGGAGATGTGGCGTTGTTCTTGTGAACAAAACACGGTGGAACCTCACGGAGTAACCGTTAAACCTCAGCGACAGGAACTGGTGAAGCTGGTGTACTTCGGGGAGGCGCAGCTGGGGGCGGAAACCTGAACCTGACCGACGAGTTTCCTGGGGACACCTGATGTTTATCCTAGGGTCGTGAACAATGGAGATGAAAGATGATTTAAAGGAGGTATTGGAGCTGTAGAATATATAATAATATATATATAATTATATATAATTGTATAACCATGTATAGTATAGTGTAGTGTAGTGTAGTGTGGTATAGTATGGTATAGTATGGTATAGTTTTCAACATATTACCCTCTGGTTATTTAACATAGCTATGGAACATGATCCATTTATGGATGATCTATGATGATTTACCTCTTAGAAATGGTGATGTTCCATAGCTATGTTAAATAACCAAAGGGCAGTTCATTTGAAATAAACCACACGATTTGGCTTGAGCATACTCGCACCAAGCCAGATGGAGCACTACGGCCGGAGTGTGAGTTTTTGCCTTCACAAGATCCCAGCGTTCAGTTTGCTTCAACAAATATGGAGGTTTCCTAAAATGGGGGTACTGGGTACCCCAAAATGGATGGTTTATGATGGTTTATTTCATGGAAGATCCATAAATGGATGATTATGATGATTTAGGGGTACCCCCCATTTTAGGAAACCACCATATAAGAATGGTTGATAAGGGTTAATTGTGAGTAATAGTGATTTATAATGGGTAATGATGATATGATGGTTAACTGGTGGTTAACTGCTAATCAACCCTGGCTACCTGGAACATCCTCATCAAAAATGATAAAACATGGAGGTTTATCGCTGGGAAAATCGAACAAATATGGGATTTTCCAGCAAGCCACGTGTAATGACCAGAGGGTATTCCTATTAAAACTTATCTAAACCATGAATTTCCCATCAATTAAATTACATGTAAAAAACCGGATGTAAAATTAATTTCCCATTTTTTACATGTAAAATTAAATTCCCATCGATTAAATTACCATTAAATCACCCAGATTTTTATGGATATCGGAGGGAGATCTCGATGAGATTGCCATGAAATCATAGTGACCTTGATGCTGGCCTCATGGACACCATCCCATATGCTCCATGGTGCTGGAATATGTATATGGGTATGGATCAATACCTATTAATACCATTTTTAGTGGGATGAACATCCATTTACCAGCTATTTTGATGTTCACCAGGGGTACAAGGTTTTGACCCATCCCCATATACCAACATAAATCCCCCATAAATCACCCAGTTTTGTAAGTTAATACATGTTAATACTAGCACCATGGAGCAGAAAGGGGCATGGACAGCCTATTTTTTCACTGTGGTTTATGGTAGATATAACGAACTAGTATTCATAAAGGGTTATATATAATGGTTTATTATAAACCAACAAACATCACTGGGGGGCCCCCATCCTGTATGGCTCAATTTATTCCCGCTCAATTTATTCCCGGAGCCCCACTGTTTCAATTATAGTAGTTCATGGTCATATCACTTATATGTTAGTGATATCCCCATGTTTGATGGTGATATTACCATCAAACCCCAGCCAGCTGTGAGTTGCTAGTCAGATCTGACTTGCTAATCGTTTCAACGGTATGGAAAACATGCTATTTGTCGGTTGCTTTGTCGGTTGGCTTCAGCCGAATCCCCATAGAACAAATTGCACACGATCGCACAACCAATTCCCGGCTTTTCGTCACTTTTGGTTGCTTTTTCGTCATCGTTAAGCCACATTTTTCGTGGCTTGGCTTCCAGTTTTTTGTGGCAAATCACCTGGGAGGTGAGATCACATGAAGGCATTCGACTGTGGCGCCGGGCACAGGAGCGGCTGTCAATGCTGATTTTTTGGTGTGGTTCTAAACCATTCCAATATACCCATTGTTGTTAAGTAAATTTAATGCTATAACAGGCATTATAAAACATGGTTGGTGATATTTCCCTTACCTTTTGCTCTCCTTTTGCCTTGAATCCCATTTGTTTGTCGGTTTTATCCCGGTTTTTTCACACTGCTCAGTTACAGGAGCGACAGCGTTCCCCACGACCGCGCTCCCGGGAACGGCCGCTGGAACAGACAGGTGGGATAGATTTCTGCGACAGGGATGGTGTGGACAATGAAGGATTGATATGGTTTGATCATGTTTGATCAACAAGTTCTTTAGACATTTACCCTCTGGTAATGACTAACATAGCGAACTGGAACATGGTGATTTATAGTTGATTTACCCACAATAAAAATGGTGATTTTCCATAGTTATGTTAGTTTACCAGAGGGTAACTGTCAAAATTATTTTGGGAAAGCTTGGTGAAAAGGATACAGCTGTCGTTTTTGCAATGCTATGAATGGTGATGCAGTATAAACTTCCCACCGTGTGCTGCCATGCTGGATAAATGTAGCAGCCATTTTAGGTCATTTCAATGGGGAAAACCCATGGGGAAAACACACATTTTTACTGGTTGGTGGTGACTGGAACATGACTGGATATATGACTGGATGATTTTTCCATTCAGTTGGGAATGGAATAATCATCCCAACTGACTTTCACTAACTCATATTTTTCAGAGGGGTAGGTGGCTCAACCATCAACCAGTTTAGGATGGCCTCATTTCACCAGGGCCCTGTTGATCTTTGCTTCGGAGCATCCCGGTTGCGAGCGAGTTGACGAACGTTCCAAGCTCTTCGAAGCGGTGCTGAAATGGTGCAGAATGATCCTGGAAAATCAGCGGATGCTTAGTGTCCGTTTTTGGTTCAATCGCCAAGATGTTCGAATTAATGAATTACAGGGTATTGCAACCAGTTGCTGATTGCTTATATGATCTACATACAAATCATACAACTGGAATCAAATAGAATTGCTGGTAGGCGATCCCAATTGGATTGATTCTCCAGCCGCTTTTCATGGTCAATGTCCCATAAGTTGTTATTTAAATCCCGTATTCATGTGGGTGAAAGTCCCCATGTTGTGTTGTTCAATCCCCAAATCTTTCGTTCAATCCTACTTCTTCTTGGTGGATCCAACATTCTGGTGAAAAATCATCATGCATATCTGCTTGGTGGTTTGGAACATTTGGATTATTTTTCCATATCTTGGGAATGTCATCATCCCAACTGACTTTCACTCCATCATTTTTCAAAGGAGTAGGTATACCACCAACCAGCTATGGTATGACCATATTGGTTATCCAAATTGTGATTATTACCCTCTGGTTATTTAACATAGCCATGGTATAGATGGCCCATAGAAATAGATGGTTTACCTATTAAAAATGGGTGGCTTTTCCATAGTTATGTAAACGTTTACCAGAGGGTAAAACCACCATTTTCCTATGGTTTTCCAGCTATGGTATGACCATATTAGTTATATATCCAAATTGTGATTATTACCCAGAAATGTCTTGGGCCCGCGATCTTGGACCACCAACCAGATATCCCACTGGATCATCGGGCAGCACCGTTCGTCGCAAGGTAGCGCAGCAGCGACCGTCGGGACCGGGGGATCTATCCATGGAACTGGGGCGGTCAAGGGCGGTCAAGCGACTGGTGAGATACCATGAATAAACGGTGCTGGATGTAGATACCATGAATCTGGAAATAGCATTGGAATAAAAGTTATGGAAAAGTGTCATTTTTGTCAACAAAAAGTTTTTTTTTTTGCAACCCCGGATGAGACTAAACCATGGTTTATTAATTAGGGGGTACTCCTCCAATAGTAATTTCATCTGATAACGTCAGTACTTTTTTATGATACTCTCCCAATTAAACAGCCGTTTGGGGTTTATTAATTCAGGGTTGACATTACCCATCTTTACCCGGTAAATAAACAGTTAGACCCTGGAATGCTGGATATAAATTGGAAAGAAGCCATTTTGAGTGGAAACTATAATCTTTCAAGCCATATCTGCCAGGGTCTATGTTAATTTACTGGAGGGTCGTATTTTTAATCAAATCTTTTGCTATCAATGGTAAAATTAGATAAAATTAGTCCTAACCAGCTAAAAATTGAGCAAGTGTGTGTTTTTGCGGCTATCTAAGCTTCACTATGTCAATAAGCATCAAAGATCTGGGTTTACCTTGTAACGACCTCACTGACCTCACTGGAACAAGAGGAGCACCTTGGCTACTGGAGCTGTGGTCGATGGGATTGGGATGTCCAAGCGGCTGGGAGAGACCCGCGGACGGCCGTTCAGAGAGACAACAAACTTCCGACAGCGCAGGAGTCGTTCATTTTTTTTGGTCAGTAGCTGAGGTCAGACGCCTACAACTTTGACTTCACCAAAAACTTTGGATATTATAAGCTATAGGCTATAATTAAGGGTTTCTACAGTAACCAATCAAAAAAACGGGCTTTGACAGATGGAATAAATGTGTCATAAATTGGTAAATTCATGGGATAACAGATAAATTTCCAATGGTCATTTTCATTGACACATGCTATTTTTTTGACACATGGAAAATTGATGGCAGTAAACATAGTGCAGCATATTCGGGTGTCAGAAAATGATGGACGACATTGGCATGGCAACTCTAGGAGAAACATGATCTCACCCATTGGCTTGAATGGCATGCATGATCTCATCAGTTTGGTGTTAAATCGCCATTTCTCTTGACGCGAATGCAATCGTTATTTATCATGCAATGTCATGTTTGTGAATGAATCCAATCTTTTTGGGTAACAATCTCATAATCAGTTCACCATGACTTCCTTCAGGGTTGTGAGGTAATTATTATCATGTACATCATGTGCATTCAATAGCTCTAATTGCTTTATTTCAGCCACACGGGGTTTGTCTCGCACTAGAGTACCGAATTTTCATGGTTTATCATCATTTTCTCTACCAAGATTGCCATTTGGGGGGTACCCCCAACTCATCCATTTTAGTAGGATTATCCATCGTAAATTATCCATTTGGGGTAGCCACACCGACAGTGTAAACTCCATTGATTGCCAGTTGACCTCATGGAGCGCACAGGACAGGGCTTGATGAGGCGCCTCAAGGGGCAAATGGGATTGCATGAAATGGTTAAAAGACCGATATTAACATGGATGATTTGAGGGTACCCCGATTTTAGGAAATGTTCATGTAAAAAAAATATTGGGCATATCTCCATGAGATATACCTGATGATATGATATGATATGATATGATATGGGGATCCAACTAATACACTGTGTGTTGTAAACACTTTTTATGGGGATAAGTGTTATACATATTTTGTGGTGTTTTTTGGGAATGTAGCGTCGTATTTTTTTTCCGAACATTGGGATGATGGGATCCATTGTGGATCCAAATCAGGCTCCATGTTGGTATTTTGACAGGCTCCATGTTGGTATCAATGATATACTGGTTGGTGGTTTCAAAGATTTTTTTTATTTTCCATTTCATATATGGGATATATAATCCTTCCCATTGACTACAGTAATATTTTTCAAGATGGTTTTTCAACCACCACCCAGATGATATCTTTGGTGGAGGTATTTGCCATTCGCCGCACACATACCATGAAAAGTGCAGGGAAAGCACCTCAGGAGGCCAACGGCAAGCCTAACTTGGGCGATTTTTTTGGGCGCAACATGTGGATTCAACTGCTATTTGCTGATGGGTCTTGTAGTGGAAGCCATTGGAAGCCTATCTTTTTTCGAAGAGAGTTTCTTTTTATCCCATTTTATAGCTGATAATAGCTGATCCATTGATCACTTAAAGACTTTAGACTTTGAGGGATAGGCAAAACGGAGCACATCTTCAAATCGCAGAATCGCAACCTGTGACCTGTGAGACCTGTGATTGTCATCTCTGTAACACTGGAGGAATTGAGAACTTACTGGAACCAACCAATATGAATCATCATTAACCATTATTAGTTAACCATATTAGTTTAACATAACATTATATATTGTAGAGTAACAAACTAACCATCATTAAGAATGAATATAGCTGAACATTAGTTAACTAATGAATGCACATTCATTGAACATTCTGGCACCAAACCCATTGTGTTAACTAATTAATGCATTCTGGCACCAAACACTTTCCATGTCAACCAATGCACCAAACACATTCCGTTGAATAATAGTAATTATACCATTTATTTCAACCATTATTCATGATTGAACCATATTAACCATTCTTACCATTAGCTAGCCATTAAGAATGAATAGAACCCAACATCAGGCAACCATTAATCATTGTAAATCATAGAACTTAGCTATTAATTAATCATTCTTAACATGAGCTAACCATCAACAACCAATGGAAGAACCATGAACCACTATTGTTAACGAAGTAACCAGTCATTTATCAATGACATTAATTATATCTAACATTGGTTGACAGTCATTAGTTATGTAACCATTCATCATATAACCATTCTTGACAATTAATTAACTATCCGTCATTTTTATCAGTTAACAATGATTAATCATTCGTTATAATCATTAACTCACCATTCTTAATCTTAGTTAACCACTATAAATGGTTAAGTTACGAGTCTTAAGAATGACTAACATTCGTTAACGGTTAACATAGTCATTTAATGTCATTAATATTCTTAACCTTAGTTAACCATAGTGTCATTCATCACTAACTATAATTATAACCATTAATTAAGTATTCTTAGCCTTAGTTAACCACCAATAACCAATGGACGAACCATGAACCACTATTGTTATTAACCATATTAACCATTCATATACCATTCATCATAAAACCATATTAACCATATTAACCATCAGTTATTGACCAAAAGTTATGAACACCATCATTAATCATTAATTCACCATATTTCTTCCATTCGTAACCTTAGCTAACCATAGTGTCATTCATTACTAACTATAACCATCAAAAAAAACATTCTAAGTTATTAACCATTAATTAACCATTAATTAACCATTAATTAACCATATTAGTTAATCAACCAATAAATCCCCTTAAAATCGCACTTTTTCTTGGTTAAATCCCATGAAACCACCATTTTTCATGGTCAAATCCTATTTTTACATCATTTATAAGTTATTAACCATTAATGAACCATTATAAGTTATTAACCATATTAACCATATTAATCAACCATTTATAAGTTAACCATAACCGTTGAGTCGTTTGTTTTTACCCTCCGGGTCAACTGAAGAAACTCGTCGCTACCGTCGCAACGCCCAGAGCGCCTTGAGCCGTGTCCTGGACTCGCTGAACGAAGCCTATCGGCGCCTGACGCGGCCCGACCAGGCGGTGGCGCTCACCAGCAATTTGGGATGGTTGAAAGCCTATAAATCATGGGACATTTGATGGGAACCCTATTTTTATAGGGTGGTTATAAATGGATGAATGATGGTTGAATGGTGGTTATAAATCCTATAAATAGGTTGGTTATAAATCCTATGAATGGATAAATGTATGAATATAAATGGGATGTTTACCAAAGTTTTCAACTGGTGCAGGATTTCGCTGGCCCATCCACCGTATATTATGTTTAATATTAATGTTAATATGTTCATGTTGGTGAACTATGGGATAAATTAATGTTTAATAGTAATGTTAATATTAGATATGTAATTGATTAATAGCTGGATAACATAGGATTAATACTGATGAATAGTGATTAATCACTGATTAATCACTGGTCAATAGTGATGGATTGTGATTAATAGTGATTGGTAATGGTTAACACCGATTGTTTAACAATTTTTTTGGTTAAGGATAATCATAAGTAGGGCTTATAACAGGGCTTAAGAATCTACTATGGCTGGGTCAAGCATGGATTAGTAATGGTTGATAACCTGCTTTGATGTTCATATTAGTTGCTGAACTATGGTGAACTTCATATTAGTTGGTTAATGAATTGGTTAATATCCATAGTCAACTAAAGCACAGCCATTACTTGGACGACCATCCCACTCATCGTGTTGGTGAACGGGGCACTGGGGGCACTGGGGGCCCCAGTGAACTACCATTTGTAAATGGGAGAATCCAGGAAGAAAGGGGACTTCCGAACCAGGCTTTTTTAATTTCAACGAATCGGCCACGTAGGAAAATCTCGCCGACCTGGTTTTATTTCAAGTTGGTGAAGTAGTGAAATTTATCCAGAAGAATGGTTTGTATATCCTCTGGTAATTTAACATAGCTGGAAAAACGGCAAATATGTGTAGTTGAACGTGTTGATTTTCCATAGCTATGTTCGATTACCGAAGGGTAGCAACCCCAAAACATATATGAAACCCCAAAAACATATATGAAAGAAACTTAACATCCTACTAAAATGATATTAGCACCCCAAAAGGATGGACAAATAACATCTACTACCAGAATAAAGGTAAATTAAACCTGGTCTATGAAACCATATGAAACCGGATAAATTTCCCCAAGTGACCATGTTGGAAGATGTTTGGTGCATATTTGAACAACTCAGCCAGGTGGAAGATGTTTGGTGTTTAGTGGAGGAATTTGCTGTCGAATTGCGGGTTAGACACCCAACCCTGTTGCTGAAAGGACATCCTCAAGCGGGTCGCTTTGGTTAAATCACCATGAAACAAATCGCAGGTGTGCTTCTCACACACATAGATATAATATATTAAATAATATATTGAATACTATATTAAATAATATATTAAATAATATATTAGATAATATATTTACAAATATATTAAACAATATCATAATATATATATATACGTATATTGTACATGTATATAATAATAATAGAATAACAATAATTAATAATAATAATAATGGTAATAATAATGATACTATATATATATATCCATGCATAATAGATAGAGCCTGCCATTGCAGACAAACTGGTCCAGTTCTGATGTGGTTCAACTGATTTTGAAGATTTGGATAAACACACTGATCAGTTGAACCACATTTTATGGGACAAAACATGAGAAAAAACAGAGAAAACCATTTTCAAAAAACATATATAGTTTGTTCATATATTCATAGTTGTTTCTATGTTTTTCCATTTTTGTTTGCCACGTTTTCACGGCTTTTGCCACGTTTTTTCTTAGAGATCCACGGTGCGTTGGCGTTTGTCCCAGGTGGGTCGCGCCTGGACCTCGGAACGCTGGGCGATGCTGAGCCAGGCCTGGTATATGTATCCTGTATCCCTACAATAGTTCATATATCAATGTATATCAGCATTTTTTTGTATACTGTATACACATATATATATATGTTATATATATAATTATATATATATATATATCTATGTTATATGTATACAATTATATATATATATATGTTATATATATATATATTTATAACAACTAACAAGTAGTTTCGCTGGGGTGTAGCATTTGCATCCACCGGGCATGGCCAGGTTCTTGCGAAATTGCGGACGTTGGCAAACATTGTCACCAGCTCAGCATCCCGATCTGCGGTCAATTGCGGACGACTGCTGGGAATCCATCACGACCTTCCCAGACCCCCTTACTGATGGTTGGTTGACGGCAAAAACAGTGGTACTAATTAGTTCAAGCAAATACAAATTATGGATATCTTAACACCAAACATGGATTTAGTCCAAAAATGACCAGCCATTTGTGAGTCCAAAATAGCTTCAAAGAGAGGCTTTACACAGATTTGCTGCTCAAGTCTCTACCGTATTCTCGTTTGTTGAATTCAAGGGTTTCTCCATAGAATGCAATAAATCAATGGTAAATAATAATATGTTCATAATTTTTCATCTATATTTCCCTATGAATTTTCCATTTTTTTCATTTTTGGAATCATCTTACCTATAAAAATCCCATTCTTCGCTCGAGGCGAAGTGGAACTTGGCTTCGCCGGCGCAGATCTTGTCCTCCGATCCCAAGGCGCGCGGAAACTGATCACCTGGGGATATACAATGGGGATAAATGGGGATATATATGTTTATATACATGTATATATAATGAGGATATATATATACATATATATATATAATAAATGAGGATATGTATATATATATATACCAATGGTTATATATATATGATGGGAATATAGTTGCTTACATTATATTTGTATTCCATTCTTTCTAGCTGAATTATAAGGACCGAAAAAACCACGTTGGAGCTGAATGATTTTCCTAGCCATGGAGCTCCGGAACTAGGAATGATGTACTCATCACGGCTTTCGAAAAGAATCATGGTGCACCGTTTTGGGTAAACATACCAAAAGCTATGGAAAATCATAGGAAAACGGTAGGAAATGGTGGTTATACCCTCTGGTAATTTAACATAGCGAACTGGAAAATCACCATTTTCAATAGGTAAATCAACTATAAATGGGTCATTTTTCAATAGCTATGTTAAGTTACCAGAGGGTAGATCATGGTCATAAACAATCAGTAATACTCAGGATGATAGTAGCAAGAACGATACATGTGAGAATGATATATTATGATGATGTTTGTATATTATGATGAATCTGACTTGGACATGAAATAGTCTTGAAATGCCTTGATTATTTGATCCAACTGAAAAAAATACAAGTTTGACGTTGAGGAACAGGAATCATCTAAACGGGGCAGATCTTGGCTGAGAAGCGCAAATTTTCCGAGTCTTTTGCCACAAATATACAAATATGATCATATATGTCCAAGTTACTGAGCCTAAGATTATGTGTTTAAGAAAAGCAAAGATCTGCACTTGGAGAACTTCATCGTCTGCACCCTGTTGGGCCATGATTTTTCCTCATCTCATGTCATTCTATGTTGGGTGATCTTTGCTCATAGCTCAGTGTTGGGTGTCCAATTTTTGGTTGGGTAAATGTACCCTATATTTTTGTTTTTGGATTTTTTGGGTTCAGAAAGTGTTGAAATTGCATGATTTTTTGAGTGGCAACTGAAAATGACCACTTTGGGTCGACCATGTCAAAGGGGGTCAGGTAACTGTGAAATCCGCGGGGGGAAATAAAACTTGGTGGGTCACCTGAATTACTAAGTGGGTTACAACTGCACTTGTGAGGAGGGGGCTAAGCATATAACCCAGTTGAGCCAATAAAGATAAATTACCCTCTGGTTATTTAACATAGCCATGGAAAATGGCCCATTCATAGATGGTTTACCTGGTTTACCTATTATAAATGGTGATTTTCCATGGCTATGTTAAATAACCAGAAGGTAATTAACAATATCTTATAACTCCCAGTTGAGTTAATTGATGTTGATTGGTTCCTGGGATTACACTACCATTGTTGGGGATCCTGACTGTTGGGGAACGTTCCCCAGTTGGACCCAGGCTCTAGCCGAAACCGGCCGGGATGCCCACACAAAGTTGGGAGAGTATTCAAGAAACTGTGGTCTCCATACTAGTAACTGGATCTGAACATATATATATATACATATATATACATACATATATATATATACATACATACATACATACATATATATATATATACATATATATATATATATACATATATATATACATATATATATATATACATATATATATGTATATATATATATATACATACATATATATATATGTATACATATATATATAAACAGTTTCTGATTTCTTTATTGCATATTTGTTTAAATAAGTTCCTTGAAGATTCAAATGCACAGTTTCGGTGCAACAGATTAGAGTTTCACGATCCGCAAGAAAAAAGATCCAAGCTGGAAATGCACTCACTCTCCAGCTTGGAGATGAATTTCCTATCAAGCATGTGTTGGAATTCTTTATTGCCAGCTGAGAGTACCCAGAGTACCCGGGATGGTACCCTCTGGTAAACGTTTACATAACTATGGAAAATCACGATTTTTGATAGGTAAATCAACTATAAAGGGGCCATTTTCAATAGCTATGTTAGTTTACCAGAGGGTAAGTTGTCCATTGAGATGATTAATGATTAATCCCCATTTCTGCTGGCCAAACCCCTCTGTCACTTGTTGAATCATTTGTTCATATGGTCCTGGGGTTGTTTAGTCGGTGATTTGGCTTATTTTCCCAATGGAACATCCACCATGACTGGGGAATCTATAGTGAGTATTTGGTTATTTTTGGGGAACCCCGGATCAGCAAAATCCAAGATAACCATTGATGATTACTAACCACTGATAGGCATTAATAACCATGAATACCCATCACTAGGGATCTATAACAGTTGATTAACCAGCAAATCCAAGTGGTTCGACATAAATTCGCCGGTGAAAGATCTGACCTGCCATCCGACTCTGGGTGAAACGAAAAAAGGCGGTGCAATAGTTCTGTAGTTTGGCCAGAAACTCTGGTAGATATATATATATAATTATATAATATGTACAGTATATGTATATATATATATGTATACTGTATATGTCTATATATAGATCGATGATATATCAATATATATATATACACTGTATATACATAATATATCTATATATATATATATATCATCTATGAATATCTATATAGAATCAGTAGGTACTGGGGTGAAAGAAAGCTCACCAGTGAGAGCTTTGGTGGCACCGAGGTGTAGAGGATACCACCTTGGCTGGTCAGGCGGTATACCGCGATGCGCTAAAGCGTAACAACGCGAGACGGGTGTCTCGGGAGTTTTCATCGTTTCATTTGTTGCCATAAATTGGGATATGTAAAATGGTGATTTTCCATAGTTATGTTAAAAAATTGTGGTAAATTAACATAAACCCTGAAAATAGCCAATTTTTAATGGAAACTAGTCTTCCAACCCCTATCTGTCAGGGTCCATGTTAATTTACCAGAGGGTATAATATAATATCATATAATATCATATAATATGATATAATATGATATAATATGATATAATATGATATAAGATATAACATATGTATGTATATGTACTCGTACTACTAGAACTGTTAACTAGCTAATCGACTTCTTTTGCCGGGTTGACTGGAAAATTGCCATGTAGAATCCCCCCAAAAAATCTTGGCAGTTTCTGCCCAATGATGTTTCATGATAAAAAACCGCATGTCTGGAAACAAAAAAAGCTGTACCGGAACTTCCGCTAGTCAAACGGCCGTGGCAAGCGGGGAAATCCATGGAAATCCCCGAACTAAAGTCAAAAAAAAATGGAGGTTCTGAATGAAAAATCATCCAACTAAATGGTGGATTTTCCAGCAGACCATGTTGACTACCAGAGGGTAATTCCATGTAATTCCCATTTGCTTGGTGAAAAAGTCTCCGACTTGCGACTTGAATCTCCGCGATTTGTTGACTCCTTACAGTGTTACAGCCAGTGTCATGTCTTGAATGTCATTGGTCATTGATTTGTTTTCTGTATGTTTTTCTCTGTGAAGTACCCCGTTGGCATTTCCTTTTTTGAAAATACACAACACTTTTGAATCCAATTGTGTAGTTGATTTATAAACCCCATGAATACTATATGGTTATAAATGGTTATAAATATCATAAACCATAGTTATTGGAGTTATTTGCACCAACTTAGCTATCGTAAACGGGGGCCCCACATTGTAGTGATCTTATCAGCCCAGTGTTCCTGGCTAAAGCGTCATTGTAAAGTCATGTTTGTTGGTTAAATACCCAATGTTTGTCGGTGAAGCGTGTTTAAAAGTTAAAAACCGTTCCAAATGTTGCCCTGATGAAACACACCACTATTTTGCTGGTGAATCATTCGTTAAAATCAGCTCATTCCTGGATTTTTGTTGGTTCTATACCACATATATATATAATATGATAATGTCTACAATAAATAAATATATGTATGTATATATATATATATATGAGCCATATGATTTAGTATAACAATTTAAAACACATCATTTTGGGTGAAATCCAATTTTTTCTTTTGTCAAATCCTCAAGTTACAGCAAGTTGCAGGCCGTGGACTCCGCTGAGGCCATTATCGCGGCTGGTATCATTTCATAGAATCTATCTAATCTATGGTTTTTGGATCTTTTTGGATGTTTATTTTTTTTTAATGTTGTTGTTGATTGGTATGGGAAATTCAATCAATAAAGCGCGTTTGATGGATTTTGTTGGGTAATTTTATGAGATTTCAAGTTGGTGAAACCGGTGATTTGTGGGATATTTGTGGGCTGATCCCTGCTTGAAGTTAGGAATTTCTTGCAAAGTTACTACCGAGTTCGGGGGTAGACAGAATAAGAAATCCTAAGTGTTGAAGGGATAATAATGAAGCCCCAACCCATTATTAATTGATAGGTCGATAGGTGTATTGAAATCCCAGAATAGAAAGAAAGACATTGGGCTTGGGCAATGAAAATAAAAGTCCATTATGGTAAACTTAAACCATGGTTTTGCTCGTAGTAATCTCGCAATCAGATTTGAGTAGTTTCAAAGCAAAACATGGGCTTACAACATTGTGGTTGGTATGAATATGTCGGAACAAGCAGAGAGCTGAATAGTACGAGGTAGTATATTATATAGTGAGATGAATCATCCAGATCATCATCTCGGACAAAAAACCATCGCACGCGTATCTCCATGAAATGACATCGCACCATTTTCGATGGTTAAAATCCCCATGAAACACATGTCCTAACTTCAAATCCCAGTAAAATCACATGAAAAATCTCTGTTTTCCCAGCATAACTCACGGTTCAATTACCAAGTCTTAAAAACTGCCAGGCGCTGGTCGATGCTCGTGTGCTCCGTGCCCCAAAACAGATTAGTGTACTCTATGTATAAAAACGTGACACAGATGGGGAGCTGCGGTCTTAGTTTTCTGTATCAAAAAGGGCCATTTCACACCTCAAAGACCTCGAATGAATGATTTAACCCTGTGGGCATCCAACATGTTTGACGGAAAATCTCCCATTTACAGTGGTTGTGCCCGTTGAAACTTGAAGTCTCACTTACCATGTTGGTTTCCTGAAAGGTCTGGAATCATCAACAAGTTTGTTGTTTTCGAAATGGGTGTGTCTGAATTTTAGGGGAATTCCAATGGTTTCCCCACTCAAAATGACCAATAAGTTGTATGGAATACCCTCTGGTAATTTAACATAGCTATTGAAAATGGCCATAGAAATAGTGGAATTTCCCATATGGAATGGGATTGGGGGAATCATCCTCGGCGGAACTCGTCAGACCGGTTCAATTTCTATCCAGGCAGGGGGCATGGGAAAGGGATTTTTTGAGTGGCCGAAGTCTTCAGATTGGTGAATTACCCGGCCTGGTTATGTCAAAATAGCTATTGAAAATGGTGATTTATAGTGAGTTTTCCCATTGATAGCATGGTGATTTTCCAGTTCGCTATGTTAGTTTACCAGAGGGTATGACAGATTTTTGTACATATTCACGATTTTTCAGTTGGTCATGCCCCCATTACATCCCCGTTGATCCATTGTTGCTGGTAAAGATTCACCATAAATCTCACTTGTTTGGTACAGCATCCAGATAGTTCATATCTCATTCTATTCCAATTTTCTTGGTTAAGTTATGGCCCACATGGATTCCCCCTATGGATATGTTATCCAGATTGTTGGGATCATAACATATTTACATATCCCATTTTTTACCACATATTGTTGGTTATATCATATCCCCATCATATTCTTGGATTTGCTGATGATTTTGATTTTGTCAATCGGAATTCCACCGCTTGGGAAATCTCTCGGGCTATATATGGCTATACTGGTTGGTGGTTTCAAACATTTTTTATTTTCCATAATATATGGGATAATCCTTCCCATTGACTAATATGTTTCAAGATGGTTAAAACCACCAACCAGTATATGTTTTGAAGAAATCTTTGGCTGAAGCAAATCCAAGTAGCCCGATTTGCTTGGTTACGCTCTAGTAAACCAACATAGCGAACTGGAAAATCACCATGTGGAATACGTAAATCAACTGTGAATGAGGCATTTTCAATAGCTATGTTAGTCAGTACCAGATGGTATATCCATATTAATCCCATTATCAACCACTATTCACCCATTATCAGCCACTATTAATGGAAACTAACATTCCACCATTGGATGATAACTCGCGTCGCGTCGCGAAGATCGAGGTATTGCAGTGCGCCTAGTCCAACAGGTCGACAGCGTGGCTCGTAACGGCAACGGCAAGGTGGGAATCGCAGGGGTCGGTTGGAGGGCAGAATGGGATTTGGAGGTTTCCTGAGCCATGGGGGTACCCCCAGTTACCATTTATAGATGGATTTTCCATGAACCCCTCCAGTGAATGGGGGTAGCCTGATTTATGGAAATCCCCATTTAAGATGATTTAATCATGAAAAATGGTGAGCAATTGGGATTTGACCATGAAGAATAGGAGTTTCACCAGTGAATGGAAACTGGATGTGTCTTGAAATGGGGTATACACCCCAAAATAGCAATATGAGTAGGTAAAATGGTGATTAACCAGGGTAATTCTTGTACCATATTTTCAGACAAACCCAATGATCATGTTTGGGGAAACTGGTGATTCAGGTGGTGCGAATGGCAAGTTCACCAGCAAAAAAGGTGCTTCAACTAGGCTTTGACCAACGAGGTTACCAAATGTCTGGGCTAATGGCCATCGCGTGTCAATCAACTTTTTTTTTGTACCATGTGGATGATGGAAATGCTGCTTGCTCGGAATGATCACGATTCATGGTGAAAATGGTTTATCGTTGGTTCAAAGTTCATGATGGATCTTTATGGCGAAATTTCATGATTGTCATTAATTGTCATCACAACAAGCAGCAGCAACATCACCAATAAACCACCATGATCATGATTCAAATCATTAGATAACATATCTATCAGCTTCAGCTGGATGATTCTGATGACCTCACGTCGTGAAGTCACTGGAAAATCGCTAGGTGATTTTTAGGCACCGGGGGCAGACCCCATCTCCAAATGGCCCATAAATATCCCACCGTCCGCAGACCGCAATAAGGCCTATTGATAATTATCAGATTAGGATGAGGAGTTTGAACATATAAGAGGATACTTCAATGATACTTTAGTATCATACTGTCAGATAGGTATCAGTTCGCCACTCGCACCACTTTAGTCATGTGGGTGTGTCTGAAGTAAGGCACACCCAAAACTCCGATGATTTTCCAACATTGAAATTGCCATAGCTAGGGAGGTAATTTCTTCTTTTTCAGCCAAATGTGAACTGACTAAATCACCATTTGTTGCTGCTAACCCCCCCGATGGAAATTGCTGGTTCAATCACCATGTTCTGTTGGTGTTCAGATCACGCTTATATAATAATGTTGTTGATTATATATCCCATAAAATACCCCATATATATATTATACATAATTCTTCATAACTTATATAACTTATATACCTATAATATATATATATAATAATAATAATATATATATACATTTAATTTGTAATAACTTATATAACTTATATAACTTATGTAACTTATATAACTTATATAACTTATGTAACTTATATAACTTATACAATATATACATAATATATATATACCCCAATGTTTGTTGCTTTCTTGCTTCAATCCCCCATGTTCATCGCCGTGTTGCAGGGCGGATGTTCCGGTGCCACACATGCAGCCGCTTGGGTGTCACCAGAGGCGTCGGTTTTAAGTGCTGGTCGTGGTTGGTTTCCAGGGTTGACCTTGAAAATGTGTGGGAAAATCATAGGAAAATGGTGGTTCTATGCGAAATTCATAGGAAAACCATAGGAAAATGGTGGTTTTACCCTCTGGTAAACATACAGAAAACTATGGAAAATCACCATGTTCAATGAGAAAACTCACTATTTCTATGGTCATTTTCAATAGCTATGTTTGACATAACCAGAGGGTATTGTCTGACAATGGGAATAGTGATTGAACCAGCAATGAATCAACAACATTATTATTGATGTGGTATTAATATATATCCAGATATATATCCAGATATATATCCAGTAATATCCAGAATATTGGATTAGCCTATGGTGGGTTATAGCAATGGGATATAGTGGGGAAATAGGGTTTAGGGTGTCCAGATATGGTGGGTTAGCCTATGGTGGGTTATATCAACCATTTCCATTGGTGTCCCATTTTCTTTGTCTGACAATGGGAATAGTGGGGATTGTAGTGGTTGTGGGTATTAAGCATCGCATCTAAATGATGTTCCCCATTGGAATGATACCCTCTGGTAAACGTTTACATAACTGATGGGAAAGATCCACCATGCTATTAATGGGTAAATCAACTATTTCGACTGGGCCATTTTCAATTGCTATGTTTGACATAACCAGAGGGTAACAGTGGCTAATAGTAGTTAATTGTGGTTAATGATGGTCAATGAATGATGGTTTATATCCATTAATAATAAGTGTTAATTGGATTCATATGGATTAATACGGATTGAGATGGATTAATAGATCTTAAGAGTGATTACCCTCTGGTAAACTAACATAGCTATGGAAAATCATCATCTTTAATAGGTTAATCAAGTATAAATGGCAATGTTCAATAGCTATATTAAATTACCAGAGGGTAAGGCTCTGGTAAGGCTCTGGTAAGGCTCTGGTAAGGCTCTGGTTAGCTAATGATGGTTCATGGTAAATGATTGTTCATAATGGTTAGTATCCCTGAAAAACAATGTTTATAAGGGGAGACTAGTGGTTGATGATATGGGATTAATATGGATTAGCCTCTGATTATTTAACATCCATGAATGGTGGTTGATATCCATTCGTAATCAGTGATAATGGGGTGAATATGCATTAAAATAGTTAGTAATGATGGTGGTTAATACTCCATTAGTAATGGTTGATGATGGGTTACCGCGGTTGATAATAGGAGAATAGTCTAGTGGATAATTATATGGGATTCATATGCATTAGCCTCTGGTTATTTAACAATTTGCTATGGAAAATCACCATTTTCACCAGGTAAATTAAATCATCTACAAAGAATCTACAATACTTCATATAAATCTACAGTATGGCTACATATATCTATCACCATCTAATTTACATTAGCCTGCAATGGGTCATTTTCAATAGCCACTAAAAAAAATGAAAACCTCATACTGTGGATGGCCAGCGAAATCCTGCGTTGGGATTATATACAAGGGACGGTTTTTATATGAACCACTGCAAGTAAACCGTCTACCTCATATTAAAAGTTGTGTCCAACTATTCTACAGCTATGACTTGGGCTTGTTATATACAGTATATATATATATACACACACACACTGTATTTTACGGCCACTTAGTGGAAATTCAGATTCTCCAGACAATTTGGGAGGCTCCCTCAAACATCCTCAAACTATTTATTTGGGCCAAAATCTATACATGCTTGTTTCAAAGCAAACAAAAAGGATACGTTCCACTGTTTGTGGTCTGGAATTGGGCCACAGATAGCAACACGCTGGTAAGTTTGGGCAGTATGGTCAAGAGAGTGAATTCGATGTCTGTATCCCAACGGAACATCGCAATAAACTCATTTCTTTATTTGTATATATATATATATAGGAGTAAGCCCAAAAAGATAGAACAGGTGGATTATATGTGATTATATATATATCCTCATATATACATAACTGTTACATCCATTGATAACATTGAATATACACATACACAAGTTGTGTATAGTTACATCTACTCATTGATAACATTGAAAAAGAAAAAAACCGTGGGTCTTCCCAGATGATCCACCGGATTGGTGGCGAATGTATCAGCCAGATATTCATTAGTCAAAAACGTCCCGAAGACATGCGCAAAAATAATGTATATATATATATATTATATATATTATATATATATATATTATAGTAAAATATAACATAATATAATAATTATATATAATATCATTGAGTCTCTAAAGATTTTCTTGAAACAGATGTTCTGAATTGTGGGACTCCGGTGCCAGTCTGACTGGGCAAGTCTCCTTTTGTATGGCACATCAAGGCCAGTGTCAACGGCAAGGTCAACGCCGATGCCTGTGCTGCAACCAACTTGCAAAAAGCGACGCTCACCGCCGTCACCGCCATCAATGCCTGCGTCAATGCCAGTGCAAAAGGTCATGCATTTGCCAGTCAAGATGCCAGGAGTGCCGCTGGTGTCAGATACAGGCAGCGTCAGCCTTGAGATTGCAAATGTCTCTCGAATGGAAGGGCTTCCCTTGGGTGGCATCAGATAGGAAAACCCATGGAAAACCTATGTTGATCACCTTTCAAGTTCCTAAACAATCCCATGTTTGGGTACCCAACCCCTCGATCACCCCAGATCAGGTCCCATCTTGATTTTTAGAGCTTTATTCTTCAGTGAAGAATCTTGAACCGTTTACACGTGTGGAAACACACAGAAGTGAACTTTTATATACGTTCTTTATTCGATGGTATGTACGGTTCACGGTTTCCACAGTTCCACGGCTCACGGTTCCACGGTTCAGGCTCCATGGTTTCACGGTTGAACCCTGAGGGTTTTTTGCGAGTTTGGTTGGTCCGGCGGCAACCTTTTCGCACGAAACGAGGTTCGAGTATCAAAAACTGAGTTTTTTTTTGTGAGTTTTAGAAGTCGGTGTATCCCAAAGGGTTTGTGCGTAAAAGCGTTTGTGTGTAAAGGCGTTCGTGTGTAAAAGCATTTGAGCGTCAAAGTGTTTCTGATTGTTTCTGTGTAACCATCTTTGTAAGCATGAAATTCGACTTGACAGACATTCAAACACAGGCAGTTGTTCCTGAGTAGAACATACTTTCAGGTACCATTGAATCTGGTGCCATCCATCTGAGTTTGGAAAGCACTGTGAAGAGTATTATTTTTGGCGAGGTTGTGAAAATACTGAAAAGAAGGATCCAAAGGATCTATTGAAAACACATGACAAATCAATGCAGATGCATGTTAAATTAAATGTAGTGAAAACCCCGCGAAAGGCAGTTGTGGAAAATGTAGTAATGTAGTCATATGAGTCGCCAGGCTCTGCGAGGACGGACGAAGATCAACACTTGGTGCCAAACCAATAGACCTTGGAGCACTCGTGGCGGCACTTCGCCTGAAGCAAAAAAAGGTTTATTGCAGGCATTCGCCCGTTCGTCCATTGACAAATTCATGATTTCTGCTCTCTTTTGGTGTGGGTGCCCACATTCACCATTACAAACATTTCGGGCACATCCCCCCGCGAATCAACAATGAGTACTCCAGTCCTTGGCGTCCAGGGCTATTGCAAGTTGGACGTTGCACCAGGCTTGTTCGAATCTACGGTCGAAAGGTTCCAATCATAGAAAGAAGGAACCAAAGCCAGCCCAGACTGGCCCTTCCATCCATACTTGTATGTGCCCGAACAGACGAGACCCAACAAAGACATGCCAAGAGTGCTTCGCAAAACCCTGAAAAGTGAGCAATTGGTGGTGTGGTTGTCTCCGTCAAAACTTCCAAGATGGCACCAAAGCGGTTGGCAAGAACAGAAGGCAACACCAACACGTCGAACTGTATAAGTTCGGTGATAATCTTCTTTTGTGAATGGGGAAAATACAAATACCGGTATTCTCTTTCTGTGCATTAGGCAAGTCCCAGATACGCTGCCGGCTTGCGTATATGACCTTGCTTATCCTTAGCTAAGATAGCAAGTTGAATGCTCAGGAAGATGAGTTGCAGGACAGCATAAATCTAGAAAAAATGAGTGACTAGCACTAGCCGACCGCAGGGCAAAAGCACGCAATGCAAGGCGCCGTGTACTCATCTAAGCATAGCGGACCGCAGGGCAAAAGCACGCAATGCCCCATGGTTCAACCGTGAAACCGTGGAGCCCCAACCCAACCGTGAAACCGTGAAACGGCGGAGTCGTGGCGGCCACGGTTTGCCGGTTCACCGCCCGGTTTGCCGGTTGCCGCCAAATTCGTTTTATGGGTATTTTGTACATGTTTCCTACTAAATGATCATTTTAGGGAAACAACAATTCTCATGGTTCTGTGGCGTTCTGCCAGGTGGTTTCGTTGGCGGGCATGGTCTTAACCCATTTGCGTGTGTGAGCCCAGGTGATGATCTATTTCTGAAATGAGATTATACTACCCATAGTAGGAATATGAAAATCTAGTTATTGGGGTTCATTCTAATTGGGGAGACTTATCAACCTTTTTTCTGAAATTCATTTGGTTGTTAATGATTGGCTAATCATGGTGACTACTTGGTCATTTTTGGTGATCAGAATTATTATCTACTACCTGGGGATTATTTATTACCTGGGGATTATTCCACTGAAATCAGGTACTATTGTTTCTATGGTTAATAATCCGAATACTACTACGGGTTATTTACTACCTGGGTTCTTGGGGATTATGAACTTACCCAAAAGCAGGGAAACTTATCAACCAACTAGTATTTTATCAGATGGGACGGTGGTATTTTGAATGGCTCACATGTCCGTGGGAATGATCGGAATATCATGGCTGAAAATGCTGGGAACTATTTGGTTCATCAATTTTTGATATGTTTTGATATGTTAGACTGCTGGTCAATGTTATGTGATGCTATTTGACATTTGCTGGGACACTGCTTGATTTGTAAGACATAGCAGCAGCAACAGCAGCATTTTCATTTACGATTCTGATATACATGGGGGAACCCTTTGCTGCGATGAATTTAATGGGAACATCTTCCAGAAATGTTGTGAATGGGAAACCTCTGGTTATGATGCGATTCAACTTAATTTCTATGGCAACCATGCAAGACAACCACGAGTAGATTCGACAAAGGTTCGCGCATCCAAGCAACACGACGCGTAATTGTTACCCTCGACAAACATGAGAAAGGAACGCAAGTGCTTCGTGGCCTGTCAGGACCTGGCAAATCAGGTTCGGAAGAGCCGCGAATATCACGAGTCTTGCAGCAAAGCAGGGGTTGAACCTTTGGGAAAATTCTTGTCGAAACCGGTGAGTGGTTCAGCTGCTTGCCGCGCGGTTGGAGATCACACCTGGAAAAGGCACCGTTGACGAGTTTCGACAAAACTTTTCCTTGGGTCAGGTGTCAGGCCGGAGGACAACAGGACTCAACAGGGATTGCTGAATTAGAATGCTGGAAGGTCCTCCAAGGTTCATACGTTCTTCAGCCCGATTTTCAACCCCAGCCAGTCTGGAAGTTCCGAGGCGTTTGTGTCTTCCGAGTTTCAACAATACATTGTTTTTGCTGCTTGCAATCCCCACAGTTGGTGAAGTCACATTCCCCATTTATAATAAAACCATATAAAACCATGGTTCACCCCAATGTTCAGATACATTGATAGCTACATTTTTTCCGGTGATTTACCTATTAAACATTGTGATGTTCCACAGATATGTTAAACTATTGGAGGAATATATTAGAATATATTAAAATATATTAAATTATATTATATATATATTAAAATATATTAAAATATATAAACAATATATATTAAAATATATTAAAATATATTAAATATATAAAAATAGATATTAAAATATATTAGAATGTATTAAATATGTCATTATTTATAACTGCATAATATTTATATATATATATATTATGTCATCAAATTTCATGCAAAGATATCCAACATTTCGTGATGTGGGTCTCGTAGAGGTTCTGCATCATGTGACGATGAAATCCCTGAATTCCTTGTGGCTTGTCCAAGTGGTACTTGGTGGTGCACCCCAGTAAGTTGAAGTTTTAACCTTCTTTGCACCTGTACTAAGCCATACTAAGCCATGTATAACTGGGGTTCTTAGTCACTTAAGCCACTACATGTTCTTGTATGTAATCGTCGATTTGCTGAGTGCATGATTCCACATATTTTCACATTGGTTAATCCACCAGAAATAGATTCGACATATGTTCCATTTTTGGGGGGTACCTCCTTCAACAAAAAATCCTTGTCCAATACACAATCCTTCATTTATAGATTGATTTTCCAACTTCAAAGCTCCATATGCATGGTAATTTGCCCATGAAACCATCATTTTTTGTAGGGCATTTCCCAACTTACAACCTCCATTTACGGTGGCCCAGGATCAATCACCCTGGTGCTGGAGCAGAGTGAACGCACCGACTTAGAAGCCCTGGAGAAGGCGGGGATCCCAGGGAGTTTCCAGCCGTGGTTGTTTCAATAAGCCATGGTCATCCATAACTGGACCAATTTGGAGTGCTTAAATTGGATTGGAAAGGCTCCAGCTAGTAAAACTTGGTGGATATTTGGTGGATTTCATGGGCGAAATGCAGGGATGAAGCAAGAAAAATGGAGGAACTAAAAAAGATTTTGGCAATGATTCAGCAAGCAAGTTGGGATTCTACCCACCAAGGTATAAATATGACTTTACTGTCCAAAGATTGTGGAGGAACGAACATGGAGGAGCTTTACTTTATTCCAACCATGCAAAAAACCTACCAACATTGGGAATTTGGCTAACAAACATGAGGAAAGTTTGCCGGTTGAACCAGGAACACGAGGACATTTTTGTGGATTTCGCCAGCCGAGCCAGACGAACCAAACGGGAGTTCACCGGCGGCGGCGTTCGTAACCAATTTTTATATCCAAGGTTTAACCAGCAAGGGTGAGTTCACCAACCGCAGGGTATATAATGGTATATAATGGTATATATATATGCATACACTTAATATATTTATATAATATACGTAATATATATATATATACATATATATAAATATCACATATATATATAAATATCACATATATATATATGTATGTATCATATATCTCTCGTTATGGAACCACCAAGAAGTGACCAAGGCTTACAGCCACATTTTGATCTATTGCACGGCAGCGGCTATAACGATGGAAATATGTGGAGGTTTCAATGGGGCATCCCCAATAGCTGGATGGCTGAAAAAAGGCCCATCAGAACGGATGATTTGGGGGTACCCCCATTTATGCAAACCCCCATCTCGAGGTTTCTGGCAGTTGGGGTGCCCCTTTTCACGATTCCCCCACGCTGTCAGGTGAAAGTCTCTAGATCTTAAGAGATCTTGCCGCACGCCCAGGCACCCACCCACACATATCCATACATTGCCATTCGGAATAGCAGAAAAAACACAGAATTTCCATATAACATCATTAGCCATTACTATGACCATCACGATCACCATCATTGATCACGATGAACTTCTCAATTTCCCATACCTTCTGGTAAACTATAATATAGCTATTGAATAACCATTATATAGCCACTATGAACCACTATTATAACCATTTTACCACAGTATTAAGCATTCTTAACCATTATTTAACACGCAATATCGCGCAGGTCTACTCGGGCTTGGCCAGCGGTTTGTCGTCCTTGAGACGGCGCTTGGGGAAAGAGGTGCGGCGCTTGGGATATGGCAGTGACGGAGCAAGGTTGAAAATGTGTAATATAATGGGAATATGATGAGAAACAAAAAAAAGTGGAATATGTAGACTATGAATAAAACATGTGGAAAGTGTGGAAAATAGCCACATAAATGATGAGAGATGTGGACTATGATGGGTCTTTGAGCAACACAAAAAATTGGGATATATTGGGATATGGCTAGGCTGTGTGGGGTATGAAGATCTATTTTACCTCGGCCATTTTGATGTTTACCTCGGTTGGTTAATGATTAAAGGGTAATACTGCCATATATATATTATATATATACATATACATATATATATATATATATTATATACATATACATATATATATTATATATATTGGGGACTATCATAATCCATTCTGGGAAATCGTATTAGCCAAACGTATGAACACTTTTCAGATGGGCCAGATGGGGAGCTGATTGGTAGCAAGAAGCAACAAGCAATGGTCACATATTTGATTTTGTACCGTAAATATGGATGTAACTGACCACTTGGGACTATGACGACCACCAAATACAAGTCGGGTCGTCCAGTAAACAATGAAACACCATGTGAATGATTTAAGCAGTAAATGATGGAATGAATTTTTGCTGGTGAGCCGTCATGACTATTAACACAAGTATGGATTGCCATGTACGGCCGGGCCCAAGGGTTCGATGGAAACATGGTTGACTCAACGACAGCAACCCTTATCATAGATGCCGAAAATTGAACACTTGGAAACGATGGAGGGCACATCATCTATACTGAAAACACATGAAAACACCTTCCTGTCTTTTTTGGGACAGCTATACTATACTCCATTCTTTCCCATATCCTATGGTTTGTTGGAACAACCCAGGTGGGGGAAAACAACCTCTTCGATATTGAACCCAGCTATTGGAGAAGTTTACCCGCATCCTTTTCTCCATTTATCGCAATGTAGCCCAGCAGTTTTGTTTGGTTTATAAACTCTATGAACTAGTTCAGTAGATTTACCATACACCTTACTTTTCGTAGTTATAATTTATGTTAGAAACCAACTTGGCTACCATGTTACCATGGATCTTCTCAACATTTTATAACTATACTAAAAGTGGCTACCATATTACCATGTTATAAAGCTTGGCCACCATGTTATCATGTGGCCCTTTCTCAACACATCTCAACACGGCTACCATGGATCTCCATGGATCTTCTCCGGTCTTCGCCGGTGAGGCTCAACGCGACTCGGCAACCATGAGACTTGGGAAACTCGCGTTTCTTTTGAAACCACATATATATAATATACCCAATTATACAATTTGCAGTTGTACTTGGGGGAGATTCATGTATTGCATATATATATATATATGTATACATGTAACATTATATATATAATATACATACATATATATACATATATATACTTATGTGTTTATACATATATATATATAGATAGAGGTATAAAAATAGAATCTAGCTAAACCATGGACCACAGCTGAGGTGTTCTGCAAGCCTCGCAGGACGGCTTGGACCACCCTGTTCTCCCGAGCCCTGGGAATCATGGTTTATATATGGGGAATCATCCCATAGCTGGCCTTAAGATTCAGGTGAGTGAAATATTAGAATTTACCCAGATAAAATGACCGTTAAATAGGGAAAACATGGGAAAATGATCATTCACCAATGGATTTAGAATGATTTTTATGGGGAAACTAATCATGGATTCCCCAGATTTAGAGGTAGCCAATTTTCAGACACCCAAATGGTTTGGAGGGCTTACCGGCCCACATGACTTGGTGACCCCACATGAGCTGTGATTGTTGGTGGTTCATCGGAAAGTACCCTGTTTCATCATCTATGAAAGTCAAGGGTATCCGAAAGTTTCTGGGACATTTGGATGTTTTTTTTTTTGGTGTTGTTCTCGAAAATTCCCAATTCCCATGTGCTCAAAGTGATTCAAGTGACCAATCGCCAATTGCTTGTTTGAAAGCGAGTGACCTACCCTACTTGGGATGATGCTTTTTTCAGTGCGTCGCGTCCTCGAAGAGTTCGCTGGGAAATCCCCAGCCACGAAGTAGGCACGGACTGAGAAAATCATCGAACTAACTGGGGGAATGCACCCAGCTAGCGATGGAGCTGAATACTTAAAAAAATGAGCATCAAAAATAGGGTGCATCAAATCATCAAACTATTGGGTAATAATCCCGGTAATAGATGGTAATAGTGAAATGGAAATTCATCAACATACTGTTTGAAAGCTGCTATTTCAACCATGATCTACTGGGTCCAGATGTTAAAATCAGTTAAAATCCGCGTCACCTTGGCCGTGCCCATTGTCAAAGCCGCCGGTGATAGAAAGAACTGGCGAAGTGGATCCCTCCAAACCATTCCAAACCTCCAAATACGGTATGGTAGCTTTCAGCCCCTCCCCAAATGGTTGATGTTTGTCGTTTTTATTGATGGTATACTGGACTTGATATATTGGGGATTATCATAAGCCATGAAGTGGGAATTAATACGGAAACCACGCATTATTTTTGCAGGATTTTCCAATAGGTTCTTGACAATGCGCAACTACGAATGGTGGGATAATGACACAAACATGGGTATGTTTATGATGTACGCATATGTCTTACATACCCAATAGACACACTTTACATATAATGCCAACCCCCGATTCATAAACCCTGGTTTATTACTTAGAGGGCCCCCCAAAAGAGTGGTAGTATGGTACTAAAACAACGGTACCACCTCAATTAAAGAGCCCAGGGGTGAACAAAAATCCGGGGATAACATTGAAAAACATAACCATACAGAGGCAACAATTGAAACATATAGTTGATGATAGGGGTTTGTACTGTCCAATATATTATGGATTCTCACATATTCTCACATATTCTCGCTGAGACCTGAGGAAATCCATTCTTAACCATTATTAATGGAATGACATTTTGGGTTTACCTATAAATATCCCCATTGTTGATGAGATTCCCCTAATGTTCCCTGTTGTTTATGCGCAATCCCCCATGAAAGCACTATGAAATCCCGGCCGTGCAGGACCCTTTGCAGGATGCGGCCAAAGCAGCCTCAAGCGGCTCGAGTCGGAAAAACGGGAAGAAACCAAAGGTGTGCATCGCAGTGAGTGAATGCTTTATAAGCCACATTTGATTGGGGATTTTCCATGTGTGATCCTATATAATTATATGTATATATATATTTAGAATAAACTATGTACATACACATATACATGGAGCTGGGGTAGACCCTCTGGTGTCATAAGCTTTAAACTGGAAAATCAACCATTTAGTTGCTTAGTTCGTTGATTTTCCCTGCTATAAACCAGTCAAAACCAATGCTTGATTACCAAAGAGTACATATCTATATATATATATATATATCTACATATACATTGTATGGACACGTGTTGTTGGGACATATCCAGTAATATATGATGTACATATAATTATATATGTATGGGTTAGTAGCTCAAATGTTGATTTTGGGGAAAAACACATGCCATCCGTTGGTTAGTCATCATGTTTCAAAACAGGTGTACACCATTTTCATACACGTCCGAATGGTTTACAGTACAGCTTACGTGTGTGACAAGAGTTTTGTGAAGTGCATTCTTTGACTTGATTGATGGGGTCATATGGGTTCGAAACCACCAGATATTGTCATGTGTTCCTAAGTTTTGATAGTGATGATTACTACGTGTATTCATAAGATTCATAAGATCATCACAATGTTTAAGGTACCAATGCAATTGGCATCCCTTGGTCAGAATGGATTGCAAGAACCATTCACGGCCATGTCCATTCCACGAGTTTGATTTACATGAAACCATGATAGTCATATGGGGGCTATCACAACACAAAGCTGGCTTTTACATATATAGGTAGGCACAACCCTTTGTCACACTTTTTGGCGTGTTTGTGTCCAGTGCGGATACATTCAAAAACTAATTCATTCACTGGTCAAAAACATGATATGCTAGTTCAGTTTAATTGGGATCACCATGTCCTATCGTGGGAATACCTACCATCCAGTAGCACAATTCCACAATGGTACTATTAATGAGTTTACCATAGAATTCCACCGTTTTTGGCGCGAAAAAAAAACCCATGTTTGTTCAAACGTGTTGCTGAAATCCTGTTTGGTAAACCTCAGCTCCCCACTTTGGCTGGGTATCTTTTGAGTTTGATTTCTTGATATTCGTACATAATTATAATATATATATATATTTATATTCATAGCAATGTTTGTCACTTTGATTGCTCAAAATCAATGTTGTCCCCATATTTGTTTGTTGAGATCCCGTTTCATACCCTTGCGGTCCCTGAAAAACCAACGCTTCCTCCCATTTCAGTTGGTTAAACTCCCTTTTCATTTGTTTTGAATAGACTTGTATAATTTGTTTACCATCATTTGTTTAAGAATGTTATCAAAGTTTTTTTGGCCTTTATATACACACATATACATAATCAATATAATATAGTATATATATAATATAATATAATATAATATAATAGAATAGAATAGAATAGAATAGAATAGAATAGAATATAGTATGTATATAATATATAATATAAAATATAATACAATATAATATGATATAATATTATATAATATATATACAACATTAGAATATATATACAGTAAATATATGTAATATAACATATATATATAATAACACAATATAATACTATATAATATTATAATAGATTTTACTATATTATACTATAATATATTTTACTATATTATATAATTTTATATTATATTATAATATATATATTGTTATCATATATATATACTAATATATATATATATATGTATATATATCTTTATATATATGTACCAATATATATATATATAATACTATAATATATATACATAATATAATATAATATAATATAATATAATTTAAAAACATAAAAAATAATAGAATAAAATCAAATAAAATAAAATATAATGAAATATGATATACTGTAATATGATATAATATGATATACTGTAATATAATATAATATAATATGATATAATATAATTATATATATATATGAGTACATGTTATTACCACTCAGTTGCTGAGCAATCAGTTGTTTCACCACCATTTCTGCCGATTTCTGTCGAAATTGCTAAGGCCTGGGCGTGAGCGTTTCGCAGAGCCACCAGGGCTGGGTCTGTCCCTCAGGTGAACATCCCAATGGTGGAACTCCACGAACTGAATGAAGGCTTTTTCACGAGAAAATCAGCAATAAATGATCATGGGGGTGGGTCAAAACCTATTACTATCAATTTTAGTGAAGATGAACATCTATTTACCAGCTATTTTGAGGTTCCATGTTTCAGTAGAGGTGCCCAGAGTGGCCCTTTTTAGTTTTTGTCATGTCATGGGGATTTGTCAACTGCTAAAACATGGGGATCTGCAGTGAAACAATGTTAAACATGGATATCATGTACTTAAAAAACAGGATGTTAACATGTCTAATGGATATGTACTGTTAATGTTATGGATGTTAACTGAGTACTTAAAAAAAACTTTTGTAAATTGGATAGGAATATATTACAACCGAACCACAAAAAGACAGGGCCTGGGTGTCCGGCAAATCATCTTCTGGTATCAGTTGAAGTTGGCCGTGCAAATCTGGAATGCGACGTGGACGAACCAATACATAGGTGCGAAAAGTGATTTGAAGTGGCCATGTTTGTGTTCCAATTCCAATGTCCTTTGTCATAGTTTTCTATGATGGATGCTTCAAGTATATCGATCCGGATTCAGCATCCGTTAGTGGCAGTTCGATCCAGACAATGCATAATGCATGTGTCAGATATGGTCAGGTGATGTATCTCGACTGAATGATTGAAAGAAGAAACTTTGTTCAACTAACCATGAGTTTTGCCAGCTGGACTCTTTACTTTAAACTTTTTGTTCCAGCCGATTTTTTCCATCACCATCCCAAGGCATCATATATTGGAATTGGTTAAGACCACTGTAGGGTGTATCTCTGGTATATTTTCCACTACCTACAAGAATTACTGCATGAAAATGGGTCCGCCTTCGACAGGATACCCTCTGGTAATCTAACACAATCTAACATAGCCAGACAAAATCACCATGTTTGAGTCTTCTTTTAAGACGGTAAATCAATCCTCTATGTATAAATAGGCCATCTCTACCATAGCTATGATTACTTGAGGGTACCTGGTGGTTTTGCACAGCTTGGGGCTGGTGGTATGAGGCGTCGGTCAAAGAGAAGTTCGCAGTGCATGCGCGATCAGAGGATTTTTCTGGTGGAAAGGGAAGGGATTTTCGCCAGTCCATGGCTGGTTCATGGCATTGGTTGGCGGTGAAAAACCATGACCTTTAGCCATGGCTTGAGATATTCCGATATTCCAGATATTAATGAGGTAAATATCCAATCATAAACCATCCCCAAGTTTGAGGTTGGGATGATTTATACCACATGGACTCCGCGCAGCGCGGACAGCCTGGCCCGCAGGGTTCCTTTTTAGCAACGGAAGTGACTTAGAGTGATATGAATTCTGTTTCAATTTATATTAGTGACACATAAATATGAACACATTATTGTTTTTATTATTCCATATTGAAACAATATTAATATACTATATAAATTCTTTTAACGGTAATTTTAATTGGTGATCAACATTAGCTCTGGTTAGACAGGAATCAGAGCAGTTTTTCTTAGGGAAAAACCTTGGATGGGTACTTTGATACCATGGGAAGAATGACTGGAAAATGTGGTCCTTTCCATGTGGAAACCACACCCAGATATCACTGGATTGGTGGGTTTTTTTCGCAGCCGGAAACCTTGGGATTTTCCACCCAAAAAATGGCGGGTTTTCCTGTTAAAACATCCCTTGAACCAATCCTGAAGTATCCCATGTTCAGACAAACCCATCAATGACGTTCAGCCCCCCGATATAAATGATTATACTGAATTAAGCACTTTCATATTCATATTACTGTATTTTATATTATTCTATTTCAAAGTCTAAGAAACTGGGGTTGGAATGAGATATTCCAAATTTAGATTTTCACTTTTCTAAATTCTGTTTGGACAAGTGTGGTCGCTAATCGTATGGTCAGTTATGAACTGAGTGGATGAGCAAGCGAAGTCATGAATGGTTGGTGTTAGCCCGCTTCAGCAATAGTCCCTTTATGATGAAGATAAACAACCCCCACAAGCCATGTTTGTATGAAACGTGTGTACATTGATACCATGGAGAAAAACATTTCAATTGAATGTACAACGTTACAACGTATTGAAGACACGCTTTTTCAATGAGGTCCAAATCTCATTGATAAGGATGTATTTCCCAAGCTCGGAAAGTAGCATGACTTGACCTGGCTGAAACTCTGGCTGCTTCGATCCAAAACTTGGGTATAGGATGTGGGCCCCCCAAACGATAGCTAAGTTGGTGCAAATAACTCCAATAACCATGTTTTATTATATTTATGACTATAGTTAATGGGGTTTATAAATCAACTTATTATAAGTGGGCCCCACATTCTAGTGTAATTTATCGGACCCTAAAACCCTGGGCGTACTCTCACCGCTTTTTTTGACCCCTACATCTGGGTCAATCTTGGATAGGTAGGCCGGTAGGAAAATCCAAAAAAGTTGTGCTCATGTCCAGATCCCATGCGGATTTTCAGAACACTTGTTTTGCTGAATATATACCCTCTGGTAAACTAACATAGCTATTGAACATGGCCATTTATAGTGGAATTTCCCATTAAAAATGGTGATTTTCCATAGTTATGTTAGTTTACCAGAGGGTAATCCTACATTTGTTGCTTGCAGAACCATCTTCAATAGTGATTGCTACATTTCTTTTCGCCATCAACCATCGTTTCTGGATTCTATCTATTTGTTTAGTGATTAAATCATAGCATTTCTTTCTGGTCAATTCATAGTCAATCCCACTTCTAATTGCCTAACGCCGTCACACAACCTGCATAAGCATAGACAACATATACAGTATTATATATGATATCATGTATCTCTCTATATATATATACCTATATGCATCTATGCATTCATTACATATTTTGCCTATATGATACCAAATATACATACAGAATCATACATACATACAATGACAATTATAGATGATAATATGTTTTCATGCTAAACCAGATAGTAATAACAATAAGAGGCGAGCTCACCAGACCAATGGATCATCTAAGGGATCAAACAGCATCAATTTCTATGGCTGGTTTAGTGACCCTTTGAGGTGCTACCGTGCTATTAAATTTTGGGCTTCACTTTGAAGACCCAGGATAGTTGGCAACGTTGAATATGACATAATATAGATTTAAGTCAACTATCCAATATATATATACTGTATATATAATAATATAATATAATATATACCATAGTTATATAAACGTTGTATAGGTTCATTTTGAACATAGCGATATCCACAATACATAGCCACGCCGGGCAGGAGGAGAAGATCGCTCTAAAGGCCGACAGCTTTGCGCGCCTGCACCAGGTGCGACATTGGCAACTGCCGTGGCAACCCACAATCGAAATGATGGCGTTACCCTCGAGGCAACCAACATGGATGTGTAAAAAAAACCAATGAAAACCTATGGTTTCTCAAGGAACATGATTTACATTCATGGTGTGTTGTCCATATCTTTTTGTATGTTTACAGGAGGGTAACATTTGTGCGAACACAGATGATGACCATGCCGGTCATCCAGCTTTCAGCCCAGAAGCACTTCTCGAACGGTTTTTTGAAAGACGTCGACAAGCCATGGCCTATTTTGCATCATCTTGCAACAGAAGCCACAGAGCGTTGATATCTACCCTCTGGTAAACCAACATAACTATGGAAAATCATTATTTTGAATGGGTAAATCAACTACAAATGGCCATTTTCAATAGCTATGTAAACGTTTACCAGAGGCTATCGATAGAAGACAGTCCCGCAGGAAATGGTGATTTCGTTGCAGTGGAGCCACAGAAAAACACAACATCTGCAGGATGCAACGATGGAGCTGTGCACAACATGGAACTCAATACAGACTCTGGATACCCTCTGGTTATGTCAAAATAGCTATTGAAAATCACCATTTATAGTGAGTTTTCCCATTAAAAATGGTGATTTTCCATAGTTATGTAAACGTTTACCAGAGGGTACATGTCTTTTTTGGGATGAAACCAACAGCCAATCTTAATTCATTGGATAAGTAAGAATTAATAGCGGAAACAGATGAAAATAAACACGTCATTTGAAATTAGTTATTTGAGTGGGATGTTACCAACTCTTATCTCTTTGGTGGTTTCTATCTAACATACCACAAACACCATTAGACTCCATTACACCACCATTTATTCCATTATCCCAGTTACTGTCCCATTAAATCCCATTCAATACCCATTAAAATCCATTGAAAGCCCATTAAAGTCCCCGTACTCACCCTGAAAATCCATTTACCCTCTTGTAAACGTTTACATAACTATGGAAAATCATGATTTTTCATGGGTAAATCCACTATTTCGACTGGGCCATGTTCAATAGCTATGTAAACGTTTACCAGGCCGGGTAAAAGTCTGCTTTTGCCATGAAATCCCCTGAGCTTCCCATGAAATCCTGCCATTTCTTGGGACGTCTCAGGCCACCTTGCTCAGTTGCATCAGCTCCTTCGCAGAACTGGGCACCGGCGATGACAAAGGTGCCGTTTGCTAAGAGCGGTGAGAAACGCCTCTGGTCAACACAGAAACAACGTGAACAAATGGTTAATAGGTTAAGGGGATCAAAATATGGTTAATATATGGTTGATATATGGTTAATATATGGTTAATATATGGTTAATATATGGTTAATACATGGTTAATATATGGTTAATATATGGTTAATCTGGTTATGGTGAATGGTTACCCTCTCGTAATTTGTTACATAGCTATTGAAAATGGCCACAGAAATAGTTGATTTACCTATTAATAGCATGGTGATTTTCCATAGTTATGTAAACGTTTACCAGAGGGTAATAGTTACCAATGGCTAATCTGGTTAATAATCTGGTTAATATAGGATCAATTAATATGGTTAATATATGGTTAATATACGGTTAAGGGGATGGCTAGAGGGTTTCATTAGCTATGTTAAATTACTAGAGGGCAAGATTGGAGGGTTAATAATGGTGAATAATGGTGAATAATGGTGAATAATGGTTTGTAAAGATGGTTAATAATAGTTACCAGTGGTTCGTAATGGTGAATGATAATGATCATGATAACCATGGAACATCACCATGGAACATCACCATTTTTCATGGGTAAATCAACGAACTATTTCTATGGCCATGGCTTCAATAGCAAACAGTTAAATTACCAGAGGATAGTTCGGGATTTAGTTCGGGGATTATACTAATGGAGGTAAAACCATGCCATAACCCATCCCCCAAATCACAATTTTTATAGGTGGTATGTTTACCATTCCCAAATTGGTGGTTTATTATTGTTTTACCTATTAATTACCCAATATACAGTATTGGGGATATTTGGGGATTTTAATAATCCCAGGGGAATATCCTCATGAACCAAGCAGTGGAATGACAAAGGGAGTCTGAACATTGCTCAGGGATTTTTAACTAGTTGATCAAGAAAAACATGAGGGATTTACCCTCTGGCAATTTAACGTAGCTATTGAAAATGGCCATTTATAGTGGATTTTCCCATTAAACATGGTGATTTTCCATAGTTATGTTAAATTACCAGAGGGTAACCACAAAACAATCGGGATGAAACAACATTTAAGGGGTTGAAACAACATTCTCTTGGGGGAAAATCAGGATGAAAATCATTGAACATCATGCGGAACATGGGGCTGGTGAAGGGCGGCAACATATGAGCAATATACTTTAGTCGGTGATGAAAAAACACCATATCTCTCTTTACACATTGTATATTAATAGATATATACATACATATTCGGTGCATATATATATATATATATATACACATACATAACATATATTCGGGGATATAATGGCAATACACACCAACAAGAACGGGGGATTCACCGGATAATCATGGATAACTTATTAATTAGTTTGGTATTAACTGGATCAACCGTTCGGATGAATTTTCACCAAACCAGTTTAAGTTCTTTTGCAGGATATCCAAAATTGATTGGCCATGATTTTTCAGAACCCTTGGGGATCAATCCACAACTTGGCGAATGACGCTGATTACCCTCTGGTTATGTCAAAATAGCTATTGAAAATGACCATAGAAATAGTGGATTTTCCCATGAGTTATGTAAACGTTTACCAGAGGGTATCTTGAATTCACCTTCCTTCAACGGTGCTGCACGATGCGGCTATGACATTATCAAAACGCCAGTGAATCCAGTGCCGGGCAGTGATCATGTTGTGATGTGTGGTGATAAACCACCAATCAGATGGTTGATGAATGTTGATGATATAGCTATTTTTTACTATGTAAATTTCATTTTTACGTGTATATCTATATAACTCATGATATTCTCTTGTGTGTCGGCTCAATACCATCATTAATTGATTGCTTAGGAGTCCTGTTTGATTTTTAAGTGGCTATATAATCATATTATACCACATTATATATACCATATTATATCATATTATACCTTAGCGGTTGTAAACTACCAGCACATTGATTAAACAGATTGACTAAACAGATGATATTCTCAAATTTTCTAATAATAATCCCATTAAAAAATATGGATATCAATGGATATAACTCTAAAGGCAACATTCCCATATTCAGAAAATCAGCCCTGGAGTATGGCTAAGAAATTGTTAGAACAACTATTTCCATTCATCTGGGTAAACTATAACGACCTCACTGCGACCTCACTGGAATCATAGTGAATAAGGGAAATCATCCCTAAATGGCCTTAGTTCAGGTTAGTGAAATATTATAATTTACCCAGATTGATTGATTAGTTATATCCCTATCTTTGTTTCGGCGTAGGCCTTGAGGAACACACCCCTCAACGTGTGCAACGCCTGCCCGGTGCACCCAGCGAACGGATCGCACCACCATGTGGCGCCACATTGGGGTGGAGAACCATTCAAATTGATGGGTATGATACGATATGATACCATTTATTCTGGGTAAATTATAACGACCTCACTGCGACCTCACTGGAAATCATAGTTAGTAAGGGGAATCATCCCAAAATGGCCTTAATTCAGGTTAGTGAAATATTATAATTTACCCAGATTTATGGGATCTTTGTTGGAACTTTATTTTGTTTTTTGGGGGGGAGGGGATTGAGATACGTTTTGTTTTTTTGTTTGGGCCTTGGGACTTTATGGGTCATAATCATGACAATAAATGGGGCTTTAAATCACTTTAATAGTGTCCCAAATTTAAAATGCCATATTTGTTGCTGGTTACACTCTTATGGAGAGTTTGACCATGCTGGGGCTATGATGACTGTCGGGCAATACTTCTCTTAGTGACTGAGTGGATGGATGGATGTACCATAGAACAAATGGGTTTGTCTGAAAACTATGGTCTAGGGTACCCTAAATTTGTTGGTTTCTCAGCATTTCCCCTACTAGAATTGCCATTGGGGGGTGTATCCGCTTTGTGGACGTACCCGAAAAGGGAAGTAAACTTTATTGAATAGTTTGATCACCATTTGCTGGTTCACCCGTATATACATAGCCCCCATATTCACATATACTAATTTGCAACAGCATGAACAATTCGGTCATTGATGATTTTGGATAGTCCCCTTTGTGCATTCACCATCATGGCTGCAGTTCCCAAAGGAGTAGTAGCTGCGATCCTTGCTTGCTTCCCGTTGCTACCAAGCCAAACAAAAACATGGTTTGATAGATAGTCAACACCAGAATCATATGATATATCTTAGTGGATAGGTTTATTCCCAATTAGATTGGTGTTCAAACCTCCAATGGTATCCCATTTGATTTAATAAATACTATCCACCATAATATGTTCCAATAATCCCATAATATCATATATATATATATCATACTATTGAATATATTATATCCATATTATCATACATATCCCAGTCAAACCATTAAACATTGAATATATCATATCCCAGTTTCATAGAATTGGATGATAGGAACCATTTAACCGGCAACCACATCAAATTTGATGGTAAAAACCATGGTTTCCAGTTAAGATTTACCCTTAACCCAATCCATCGACACTTACTCCCTCGACTCGACAAAAAGGTTGGACTCAATCCTGCACGATGCAGAGAAAGCGACGTATCTTGACGCCAGAGACTGGGTGTTTAGGGGTACAACAATGCGGTCATGGTATTTATACATTTTTTTTTAACAATATAGGGTTGGATATATATTTATATGTAAATATATATATACACACACACGTAATCTTTCAATGTTTTTGTATTTTTTTAGCTATTAGTTTTTAGTTATTAAGGTCTTGTATGGAAACTACGTGGATATGATACAATAAATAGATGGCAGCTGGTTGATAACGCTATTTTAACTGATGTTTTGTAGGTATACTATGTGCATGGACAATGAACGATATCGAAATATAACGGTATGTGAAGATGAAACATTAGAATATAATTGTGCCATACTGTGCCTATGATCCAAAACGGTACTTACTTGGTTGATGGTATTGCGCATTGTTAGCATAACGGGGATAGAAAAGGGACACTCACACATGTATCTATCTATTTATATATATATATATATACATAATATCCTTTGAGGATCAAAATAGTGGAGTTTTGTTATTCCAAAGAAATGTCATAGAGTTTTTTTTTTCAGTTTGTTAGTTGATGGGGGGAGGGGCACCCTCCAGTAATCAAACATGGCAATGGACATTCCCCCATTTATAGATGATTTCCCCATTAAACCTCCATTTGTGGGGGATTTCCAGTCAATTGCCATGTTACACTGTTACGGGAGGGTACAAAAAAAATACCACCCATTGGACAACCAATAGGTGCCGGAACCGGCATGCCAACCCATAAATGGAAAAATCACCTTCACCTGCTATGGCTGAACCCCGCCAAAAAACTCAATTCGGTTGAATCTACTCAAACAAATCTATACTGTATTATATTGAACTTTTCGTATTTTTTTCGGTCGTTAACAGACATACTCTGGCCGGGTATATACGATTGTCTGTAAAACAAACATTACTGACATGACTCAAGAAAGTATGGAAGATGCATTTTGGCTTGGCTCAAACCTCGGAGTCATTTCTTGGGCCTCGGGCAAAACTCTTGTTCGTGGACTTCCAAAAAGCTTCAAAATTATGGAATTCCCGAAACTCGACACCATACACTCATAAATATACTCAAGCATAGTAACCTAGTATATAATCACCGAATATATATATATATATGTATATGTATATGTATATATATACACATACATTTGGTGATTATATATAATATAATATAATAAAATATGATATAATATAATATAACATAATATAATATAATATAACATAATATAATATACTATAATATACTATAATATACTATTATATATACTATAATATACTATAATACAATATAATACAATATAATATAATATAAAATAAAATAATATAATGTAATATTATATAATATATATAAAATAATATGATATATTATAATATAATATAATATGATATATTATAATATAATATAATATAATATGATATATTATAATATAATATAATATATTATAATATAATATAATATAATATATAATTTAATATAATATAATATATAATTTAATATAATATAATATAATATAATATATTAAAATATAATATAATAATAATAATATATATATGTACGTCCTCACTAATTTGGTAGGATCGTGCTTGTTCTATCTTTTTGCGGCTGACTATCAACCCTCTGGCAGTCTAACAAGGCTATGTAAAACCAACATTTTTAACAGGCAAAGCTATCTACAACCGGCCGTTCTCCATAACTATGTTAGATTACCAGACGGTATCTATATGTATATGTTTATATAGTCATCCTGGAGCAGATAGAATCTGGAAATGTCGAAACATCCTCATTAAAACTGCAATATGATTGAACACCTATTATTATAAACATATATAAGCCCATTGATTATACATGTAAATCCATTAATTTACAGTAAATGTATCTATAAACATTTATGAGCCCATTAACTATATATACATAGAAACACCCATTAATATCTATAGTAAATGTATCTAAACATATACAAACACATGTATATAAATATACACGTCAAATTCTATTATAGTATATTATATTACATTATATTGTATTGTAAAAAAAATGTAGTTATATTGTAGTTATATACATTAACACAATTATATTACATAATATAATAATATTATATCCCATGTAAATGTTATATTGTTATTACATAATATTATATATATTATTATTGTAAATGTTTCTTGATCCCCAAGTTCCTGTCATCGTGAATTTTGCTCGGCCCACAGGTGGTCTGAACCGGAACCTGAGCCTGGGGAGCCTGGTTCGATCCTGGGATCCTGGGAGCCTGTGATGTGTTGCCATAGTGATTAATAGTGATGAATCATGATATGACTTAATAGTGATGAATAGTGATGAATAGTGATGAATAGTGATTAATAGTGATGAATAGTGATTAATAGTGATGAATCATAGTGATTAATAGTGATTAATAGTGATGTTGGTGGTTTGTTTGTTTTTTCCATATATTCGGAATAATCATCCCAACTGACGAACTCATATTTTTCAGAGGGGTTGAAACCACCAACCAGATAAATAGTGAATCACTATTAGTTCATGGATGGTTAATCACTATGGCAACACTTAGTGATAACTAATCAGCAATAGTGAATTAATGGCATAGTGAACCATGTTTGTTGATAATGACTATCAACAGTGATTAATAGTCTTTACCTGGTGATCACTATTAATCAATACTTATTTGCTGATCGTAGGGTGATAGCTTGACTAATGGTGATAATAGTGACTATATAATTATTTATAATCGAAGGATGATTGATATGAATTAGATAGTGATCACTATGAAAATAATATACTAATAATCAATAGTGATCAAAAGTTATTACTGATTACCAGTGACTAAGAGTGATCAAGAGTGATTTGAATAATGACTTGTTTAGAAAACAAACCACTGCCTAGTAACCATACTTACCTGTTTATAGATGGGACAAGCCACGAAATTGTGGACTTGAACCTCATACCAGGTGATCTTCCACCAGTTTCTAAGTAGATCCTCCGGTTGGATGTTCACCAGGATGATTGACAATTGGCAACTTTTGGGGATATCGATGGATTTTTTTCGCAATGATCTTGATGTTACCATCTGGTAAACGTTTACATAGCTATGGAAAATCACCATATTTAATGGGAAAGTCAACTATTTCTATGGCCATTTTTCATAGCTATTTTGACATAACCAGAGGGTATAGATATAGATCTTATGGAATGACATGTGGGAAAGTTGAACGAAGTCACCGTGCCTTTAAAATGATGGTGAACTTTGTACCCACTGGTAAACGTTTACGTAACTGATGGGAAAGATCCACCATTTTAATGGGTAAATCCACTATTTCTATGGCAATTTTCAATAGCTATATAAACGTTTACCAGAGGGTAGGTGTGTGAACTATTGGAGTTCAGCCAGATAGATCAGATAGGGTTGGGCCTTTGCAGCAACTCTTGGGCAAGGCCAAGGACACCTTGAGCAAGCCGCTTGTAGCACTGACGTTGCATAACACTTGCCTAGACGAGGAGCAACAGCAAGCCGCCCAACACATCCTTCAAAGCCCTGGCTGCGTCCATGCCATATGGTCCCCTGAGAATCGAACCCTGAGGGCCAGGGCTGAGAATGCCGCTCTAAGGGCTGAGAGCGCCGCTCTACGCACCGAACTGCAGGAGATGCGGGGCCTCGGGGCGGAGGCAAAAGCTTCATCTTGGCCACGCTGGTGCAGGTGATTGAGAGGCTTGATGACTTGGATTCGGATGAAAAGATCAACTTGGTGGGGCCCAGCACCTTGCAGCTCTGCCTCTCCATGCTGAACGGGTGCAGGTGCTCTTCGTCCAACTCCTTTGGCGTAAGTACGGGCCGCAAATGGAAAAGCTCAGGCAGGTGCAGGTCATCATCATGACATCCGACATGGCACGTTTAAGACTCTCGGACATCTATGCACAAGAATCAGCGGGAAACTGACTCAACAAAGCTAAGTTGGTGGTGAATCAGTGATCAATACTCCCATCCCCTGATCGGAGGGATGTGTATTTTTATATGGGGAAGGGGCTAAGCCCTGCCAGGCTTCGTTTTGGGATTCTGGAATGAAGCAGATATGTCAGATCGATACACATTAAATACAAATCCACCTATTTCTAATTTAATTTGCTGGAGTGTACATAGAATAATTCTGGGAAGAACATGCCAGTTGATTGGCACTTCTATCACCATTCTTAGTTGGTATACATTATGGAGTTCGATGCTCACAATCCCTGGTTTAATTCCTGTTATCTTGGTTGAGTTGAATCCCATGTTGTTGGTTGCAATGTTGGCTGGATCCCTCATATTTGTGGGTTAGACGGTTAGACGCTAATTTTAATTTCTTCTTGGCCTAATCAGTCTAATCATGTTTACAGTTATGGCCTGAAATACCAGTTATAAGTCAGTGAAATTACCCCATTTAAATTGAATGATAGCCCCATGTATTAACCATGTGTAAATCACTGGTTTCTACTATTATCCCACTATGAACCTCTTAGAATTTAGTTTTCCATTATATAGGATTTATAGGCTATATATACATATATATATATATAGATAGATAGATATTTTCCCATTAATTCCCATAAAAACCATGTAGCTCTAGGGCTGTCCATCGCGCTGCGCGCGCTCAGTGACGGCGAGTCGCTTGCACCGTGGCATGTGGAGTTCACGAGCAATCAACTCAGGCGCGCGACGGCGCAGCTGTTGACGAAACTGAGGCATTAAAATAGCAATTTTTTATTAGTCATGAAATAGGGAGTTATAGTAGCTGGATGTAGCTGGGCTATAGGGCATTGATGGGAATTACAATGAGCGATATTAAGGAAACATGTCAAGTCGCTAGTATGATGAGATGAGTATAATGAACAAAAATTAACGGTCATCCTCAAATCTGGCTGACCAAAAACGGTCTGAAATAAGGTCTCCCAGAATCATACGTAGGGAAAAATGGGGAATACCTCAAAATGGCAAGTTAGATGAGGAACATGATGACTAACCATAGGATTTTTGTGAGAACCTATTTTCAGACAAACAGAAATAATCGCATATGTATATATACAATAGTCAGATATATACTAGTCAGATAGAATCCTGAAACACATTATAGTCAGATATGATGAAAATATATGAAAATTAACCAGACCAACATATATAATCACTCAAAGTCGACCATTTCTCATGGGGGATCCACCATAGCGCGAGCTTGCGCAGGGCGATGCAAGATGCTGTGCAAAGTGGCATTCCAAAGGTGGACTGGGGAAATTTCATGCATGAATTGATGAAACTGGGGTTGTATTTCCAATAATTAGAGGTTTATGCTAGATATATCTATGGTATTATATAGTTACTATAGTAGTAGGGTTTTACATATATATATATATATATATGGATGAGTTTGATCATGACCTCGTCATTGTAACATCACTGGAAGGATGGTCTATTTGGGAATCATCCCCAAATGGCCTCGCTTAAACCATTTTCAAGTTAGTGAGCTATATGAATCAACCAGAATTGATTCAGCCATTATACTGTAGTGAATGAGTGAATTGTTTTTTTGATTTATCATATCCTAAACTGATCGACCGACTCGTGTACAGTAATATTTGAAAAAATGACCTTAGAGAAAACCACTCCAATGCTACATAACCATGGTTTTTATTTGCCCGTGAGTTATTTGCGCACATGTTGCGATTAACATTTGGACAAAATCAATTCAATAATTTAGTTATTTTTGGGATTCCCTTTGTACCCAAAAAAAAATATTCAATTAGTTTCCCTAATGACTGGAGAGGGTGACAAACCATCTGCGTGGAAGCTGCCTGCAGCTGTAGTCCAAAGACGACTTGGCAGCCCAACCAGTGCGTGAAGTTGGTTAATGTGATCAGTGCATAAATTGTGATTAAGGTGATTGCTTGGTTGATTTGACTGATTGATTGATTGATTGATTGATTGATTCATTGATTGATTGATTGGTTGGTTGATTGGTTGGTTGGTTGGTTGGTTGGTTGCCTGCTTGCTTGCTTGTTGGTTGGTTCATTCATTGGTTGATTCATTCATTTGGTTGATTAATGTTTCAAGTTTTTCACCAAACAAAAGTCACACCGCGTTTCAAACGCATCCATACAGTACACATTATATTGACCCCTTTTCCGGTTGTAGTAATTGCTGGAGGCTTCGGGTTTTCGGAACACCGCAACCGCAAAAGATACGGGAAGTGAATAGACATATGGGAAACTGGGAGAATTTCCATCACTCGACTCATGCAATGTGTGGAACAAAATGTGAGAAACATGTTGATCATAACTGGTGGTTTGGAACATGAATTGATGATTTTTCCATAAGGAATGTCATCATCCCAAATGACGAACTCATATTTTTCAGAGGGGTGGCTCAACCACCAACCAGTGATGGATCTACATCGTATTTTCGTTGATTTGCCCTTTCAAATGCCCATGACTGCTTAGAAACGGCTAGTGAAAATGGTCAAACCTCTAAATTCGCAGCTGTCAAACACGGTTATTTCATTTTTTCGGAGTATGTAAGAGGGTGCTGGTGTCACCCCAGTCTCCATGTTGGTTTCTGTGAGTTTCATGGTTGTTGATGAGATGACGTGTTCCTCGAAAAAATCACATTAATATAGTTGACTCTGTCATACCGTGTCAATGTTGCTGGGTAGAAATCCTTTCCGTTGCTTCGTCTTTAATTTTTATCATAGCTGGTTGGTGGCTTGGAACATTTTTCCATATATTGGGAATAATCATCCCAACTGACTAATATCTTTCAGAGGGGTTGAAACCACCAACCAGATAGTGAATTTGAAGGAGGTAGAATACGGTAATGTGCATCCTGAGTTTGGGATATTTTTGATATATTTCACCATCCGGGAATCCACCACGGCCGACTGGGAAATCCCGGTAATACATTGGCATTAAAGTGGGATTGACATGCGAACTAAATGGATGATTTTTCAGCAAACCATGTTGAATGGCCTGAGGGTCTCCTTTTCGTGTGGACCTTAGCCTTGGACAAAGGAAACTGTTCTTGATACGGCACTTTTGATAATTAAAAAAGTCTGCGCACCACATTTATATCCTCTATATCAGCAAGAATATACTTACAGAAAACAGCTTTTAGATGTACCCCTAGATACAAAATTTTCAGATGGTACAAGTATTTGTTTCTGTTGTATACATTTGGGGGTTTCCCAAAATATGGGTAACCCGGGTACCCCCAAATCATCAATTTTCATAGGATGTCTCATTATAAACCATCGATTTTGGGGTACCCCCATTTATGGAAACTTTTTTTTTAATCGTCACAAGATGGATATTTAAAGTTTACCCTCTGGTTATTTGACATAGCCATGGGAAATGGCCCATAGAAATAGATGGTTTACCTATATTAAAAGTGGGTGGATTTTCCATGGCAAACTGTGAATGTCATAACCAGATGGTAAACCTCCATTTTCCTATGGTTTTCCTATGGTTTTCCTATGGTTTTCCTATTAAAACCTCCATTTCCCTATGGTAATCCCCTTGATTCGTAGACTGGACTCAGGCTGGACTCAGCTGACTGACTGAGCTGACTCAGCTCGCAGGTGGCTGGTGCTCAAACGCTGATGCAAGACACCCTCAACGGCCGCTCGGTTTTGCCATCGATTCATAGCGCGAACGCTTTTCGTTCTGAATCGCCACTATTTGGGTATGGATCAATACCTATTAATACCATTTTTATGGGGATGAACATCCATTTACCAGCTATTTTGATGTTCACCAGGGGTACAAGGTTTTGACACACTGCCATCTAGGGGTAGATTAGAATATATTATAATCTTCCATTTTAAATACGAATCAAGTGGAATAAATCTTAAATAATTTTGTGGTTTATAATGGTGATTATAATGGTGGTTTCACTATTGAAGATGGTTCTGCAAGCAACAAAATAGGATTACCATCTGGCTATTTAACATAGCCATGGAAAATCACCATTTTTAATAGGTAAACCCAGGTAGACCATCTATTTCTATGGGCCATTTTCCATGGCTATGTTAAATAGCTAGAGGGTATTATAATCTTCCATTTTGAAAAAACATGGCCTCCATTAGTATTTACATCTAGTCTATATAATCCTTGAAAAATCGTTTATGATCTCTGATTTACGATAAATTCCAGCGCCCTCACAATGAGGTTGTGAATGATGTTTAGAATTCGGGTAACTATCCATGGATTTATTCAGGTGGCTGACTTGTTTTACTTTTCCCGGACCAATCTGTTTATTGTTTGATAAATATTTTTTAATACTCGTCAACCGACTGGATGGGTCCTCTAGTACAACTTAATCTCTTGCCACAATGGGGATGTATTATGTTAAACTAGCGGGCTAAAGTAAACGTGTGCATTGTGTGCATGTAAGATTGGCCATGAACACAAAGCAAGGTTGTAATATTTTGTAATGGACTATGTGATGTATTGGCACATTCTGGTATGAGTCATAGCCGATTTGACATCCTCATGATTCCCGAATTGAAGGGACATTTACAGGATCATAATAGACATGTCTTCGCCTTTGTTCTAGATTTCCCTTGAATCAGAAGGTGTGAATCCCATACGAGTCAGGTAATTCTCACAGGGAACCATGGATTTGAGTCTGAACAAACTGAGGCGTTCGGTTTTTGATGTTCCCTTCAACCAATTCATTGAATGTCATATGATTTGTTGGTGAATGTCCAACGTTTTATCGTTATTTTACTTCACGCAGCAATGTTCTCTAACACTGAAGCAATTCTTAGAAAGACATTTCTTTCCCATCAAAATGGTGAAATTCCACATGTTTCATGGTAAATCCTCATTTTCTCCCCTTTTTGATGGTGAAGATCTCCTCATTTCACGCCTAAAATTTTCGATGGAGTCCACGAAGGATATGCGCAGCTGTCCTCTGCCTTAGGCTCGGCCAAGTGGGCTATCCAAGTGGGCTACAGAACTGGGAATTATACCAGCAATATATGGGAATAAATGGAAATATATATATATAGCCGCTAATCATGGGATAATAGATGATAATAGATGATAATAAATGACAATAGATGATAATAGATGACAATAAATGATTATCTGGGTAAATTTCATCACGACCTCACTGTTCTCCCGAGCCCTGGAACTTTATTTTAGAGATATCATCCCCAAGATAGCCTTAATTCAGGTTAGTGAAATATTATAATTTACCCAGATAGATATAGGTAATACAGAAAGTCATATCCTAAAATGGCCAAACACAATACTAGTGGGTAAGCAATATATAGGTATATCCAGTTTTATTTGGGGGGTAGTATCTTAGTTATCCCCTATTATAGGAGACTTTGATAACCATAGTATGAGTATCTAAAAATAATGCGGAGTGATAGGCGCTGTCCAGTGCTTGATTGGATTACCGAAGGGTGATATGTGATAAGTTAACATGACTTAATTCTGAGAAACCTCTCATAAACAACGTCTCACTTAATTTATATAATGCGGTATAATAGCATGTAATATTAAGCCATATAATACTATATGAATTAAAAGAACATCTTTTAATTTTAATTTCAATGAGTTGTTCAAATGTGACATCATATCATATAAGACACACATGCTGATTTTTTTGTATAATATATATATATATTATACTTATATAATCAGAATATATTATACTATATACACACTATATGGTCTTATATATGGTCCGCTGACCACGCACTAACTAACTGGAGCGAACTTCCAAGCAACACCTATGTTGCTGGTGTGGTGAAACTTTGGTTGCTGCTTCACTGAATGGTGTGTGGGGCTACGCAACATGATTTGGGAAACCAGGATCTGTCACGAAACTGCCCGTCTGAAACACTTTGAATGTTTGTGTAAACCTTGCTTGGGAAGATAAGTAGCGTAAATTTGAGCCATAAGTTACCCAACTTATATATAGTGACTTATATATTTGGCTATACATAGTATCATAATATATAGTATCTCTTCATAGGTCAGAAGAGATAAACAGATATAGTGACCCACTGAAAATCATGTTCTTTACAGATGATCCCATCTTAAGTTTACCACGGCATCGCAAAGAGAGTCCCAGCCAGGCTTGTCCTACACCGTGGAGAAAGCGCTGAGAGCGAACCCGGCAAAGATCCTTGGCGCCGGGCCAGCCCCAAAGAACACATGTCACATTCTGGTGGTTTGGAACTATGTGAAATGCGAAAGCCAACTGATATATTTCACAGACATATATGCTGTGGAATGGATGTTTTTTCACAGACAAAAAGCAAGTGATGGACAATCTGAAGACCGACAATGCAAGTGTTTGAAGCTATTTTGGGATGGCTGGTTGGTGGTTTGTTTTTTTTTGTTTTTCCATTCGCTTGGGAATAATGAATAATAATGATCCCAACTGACTCATATTTTTCAGAGGGGTAGGCTCAACCACCAACCAGCCATTCAGGGTGCCCTTAGCCATGACAGGAAGGGGAAAATCGGCGGTTCACCTCAGTGGGTTAGCTTCACCTCAGTAAGTAGGGTTGGCCATGGTTAGTAGGCTTAGGGCAGGTGATAGTTGGGATATGTTGGGATTGTAACCCCACTTCCTGGCAAGAAAATACTGGTTGGTGGTTTCAAACATTTGGATTATTTTCCATTTCATATATGGGATGTCATCCTTCCCATTGACGAAGTCATATTTTTCAAGATGGTTAAAACCACCAACCAGAATACCAGCTGGTATGAAGCACCAAGTATGTTATGGCTCAGCTAACACTTGGTGATAGGACCTGCGGTGTGATTTTCGTTTCGGGGCGCATTTGAATGTTTTTTGCATCCTCCTGTGCAAGTCCAAGAGCAAAACATGTACCGATCAAAGAATCAATTTTGGTACATGACACTCTGTGACTGGATGGATTGATGAAACCTTGTTGTGATGGGCCTCTCTACAAGCAACTAGAACATGTCAGCTTTCCGCGGTCTGGTGCGCATGACGTATATATTTCCTTGATCTCGGTACAACTAGCTGATTTCCTAAGTTGTCTGGGAAACAGGTGTTGATCTTCAAAAAACGTAAGTTTCAGTTTTGAAATAAACAAAAACAATCTTATATCCTATCAGTTTCAATCGTCATATCTTGAAACTCGTCACTCCTTGTTTTTCAAAAACCCTCTATGAGAATTGTTTTTTCTTTCCAGCAATGAAATCCGAACTCAATAGAAGGTATATATTTCTTGATTTTGTGCAGTGGATTAGAAGATGTTGACTGAAACTGGAAAAATAACCAGAACAATATTGTCGACATTGTTGCTCAAATATATGATTAAACATGTTTTTTTGGTGTCAGAGTTTGTTCTGAGTTCTCAATGTTCTCAAACTTGCGGAATGCAAGACACCAGAATTCGATAGTGTGCCTTTGGAATGGGTTTGCCAAGCTTTGAATTATCTTGTGCCTTGATTAGTTGCTGGTTCCTTTTTATTTTGGTCGAAGATGGTTGAGTCATGTCCAATCCGTTAAACAATGTTAAACCCCTATGTGTGCTCTTTTATCACATAGTTGTTTCCAGATATAGTACTCCAATATTTTTGTAGCTACAACTATGACTAAGAACTATTTCTTTTAACTGAGCAATATAACTAATGTGGGTAAAACCATAATAACCAAATCACATTTTTTTTATAGGTGGTATGGTTACCATTTCCAAAAATGGGTGGTTTATGATTTTCGTTTCCCCGCATGGTTTCTCCCGTTTGACAAAACCCTCATCCCAGGATCCGAGAACACGAGGCCCTGGAGTGTTTGTCAAAGGACTGCGACCTCACTGGACTTAATGGCTTATATATTGGAACGTATCCCTAAATCACCGGAATATTCAGGTTATGTGAACCATTATACTTTGCCCAGATCATCCCAGATCTATAGTAATTAAGCTTTAGTGCAGTCTGAGAGGTGAGAGGACATGAGAAGCACACAGTTATTTTCCATTGAACATCATTAAACTACATTAACTAGACGTTTTTTCACCCGATCTTTGGCTTTCTTTAGGGACGAAATTCTCATGTGAAGAGCCGGGTCAGTTCTCCAGGCCTTGGTCGAGTTGGTGTTGCAGCTGCAGGCCATGCCAGCCATGGGGTGTTCCAGCTGAAACATTGATCAATTGGATCATAAACATTCAAACAGTATTAAACATATGGTGAAGCCAACTATTATCAATAGTATATTGTAGTATGTAATAGTAATATAATAGTATATCTGATCTTATTCATCAGCAAAATATCTATATTTATATCTATACAATAATTACCAAGTGTGGATCATGAACAAACAATTTATGTGATCTTATTGGTTAGCCAGCAAAACATCGAACAGTTCTCACTAGAATTTACTTGTGAGGATACTTGGGTATGGGTGGTGAAAAGCTAGGATTTGGGACCGACGGACGAGGGGTTCTCAAACTGGGGGACCCCCAGTTTCAGACGCCACCATTTTTCTACAGGGTAAACGAGTAAACTCAATAAAAAGACTTCCCAATATCACCATAAATTCGTGTTAAGAATCATCCCAAAGAGTCGTTTTTTTGTTGGGTTTACCACATTGTGATCAATATGAAATAATTCCGCAACAATTGAATTTGCATACGATTTGGTTGGGTGGAGCGCACCACTGCAGGCAATTTGGTGAGGGGATGAATTGTTTTTTTGGGATTTGGGTTGCCAGGAGCTTTTCGCAAATTGGATATGTTTGGTTGATATTTACCCTCTGGTAAATTAACATAACTATGGAAAATCACCATCTTTAATAGGTAAATCAACTATAAATGGCCATTGATGTTAAATTACCAGAGGGTACCTTGCTTTTCATCATGCAAAAATCCCAAGACTTTTTAAAGTTCAATCCTCACTTTTGGCTGGTGACAACGGTAACTGTTTGTTGATAGATCCAATCTTTTTGTTGAATTCATAGGTTGGTTGGTTTCATACATATTTTTGCTGCTAAATATCACATTTTAATACATGTTTATTGCTTTCAATTCCCATGGTCTTTCCACGCTTTGCTGCAACATTTGGATTGACAACCCAATGATTTTAAGGCCATATTGTTCATCATCACATAAATCATGCTATATAATTCTAAATCATAGTCAAAATTCTGCTTTGAATACTGTTTCTACTAAATCATAGTAAACCAATGGTTTCAAACCCTGGTAAACCTTGGTTTCAATCCCTGTTTCATCTGGTCAAATCTGATTTTCGGTGGAATCACAGGGCTTTGAAACAGCGCTCAGGAAGCTTGGCGCGACAGCGGTGCCTTACTCACGGAGAGTCGACAGGCCGGGATGCAAAAATGGCACCCCAAGTCACCTATAAAAAATGGCTAGTATGATGGTACATAATGGGATTTCATGGTATAGAACATGGTATAATGAGATACATGATATATGATGATATCTGGGTAAATTATAACGACCTCACTACGACCTCACTGGAAATCATGGTTAGTATTGGACATGATCCCCAAAATGGCCTTAATTCAGGTTAGTGAATTATTATAATTTACCCAGATGATATATATATATATATGTATTATTTAACATGATATTACTATACCACATGAGATAGTATATTCGCACATGTTGTTGTTGGTATATCGTATGAATTATGTACCATCATATCATATCCCAATTACCCTCCGGTAATTAAACACGGTAATAGGTCGAATTAGCCTTTGGCTGTCTTTTTCTAATGGGATTTTGGATCAATGATGGACATTTCACTGTCAAACGTCTAATTTCACCATTCTGGGTCTGGGTGTTTAACCGCTGTGACCTCGTTGGAATAGCTATTTCAGGTCAAAAAAATGTTATCATTTACCCTGATAGATTTGGAGGTTTCTGAATGGCTGGGGGATCCCAAATTATAACGACCTCACTGTTCTCCCGAGCCCTGGAATCATGGTGTATATATGGGGAATCATCCCCATAGCTGGCCCAACATTTCAGGTTAGTGAATTACTATAATTTGCCCAGATCCATGACTTGGATGCGAACTGGGGTACCATGACTTAAGAAACCTCCAATGTGAGAGGCCCTGGATGTGGCTATGTGGCTAGTGTATCCAAGCCGGTGCATAGCACTGAAATATGATGTAGGAATGGAATGTGGCCGTCCTATTGAGCTCGCCATGTTTGCATTTTGACTGGTATACATCATCATTTTATTCATTGGCTGACATACTGTTTCGCTTTCGTTCTATGGCTTCTCATACTCTTTGTGAAATTCCTTGGATCATGCCATGTCCGAGTTTGTAATCTATCAAACTTCATGTTTGCCGGCTAAAATTCTGAATATCCAGGTCCCTTGAGAAATCTTGGATTGTCCTCCCCAGAATGTTTGTGGGAAAAATGTGAGAATCAACCCAATGATCATCTGGTTGGTGGTTTGGAACATTTGAATTATTTTTCCATATATTGGAAATAATCATCCCAACTGACTAATATTTTTCAGAGGGGTTGAAACCACCAACCAGCTATAGATCTTCCCTTGAACCAACCCATGAAACTTTCAGTAACCACCGGGGGACGTCAGGCTGACCTGGTGGCATTAGAACGCACGCGCACGAGGCATAGCAGGTGGACGATGGGTGGATGATGGGTGGGGAGGGGGTGGTTAAAGCGGGGATTTTCAATGGTTTCATTCCTCATTAGTCTGATGGAAAATTTGATTTCATCCGAATTTGATGTGATAAATTTAGTCATTTTGAAGAAACCAGACATGTTGGCTTGATGGATGTTAATGAGTGAACCAACCCCGTAAACACAGGGAAATCAACCAATCAATGGAGATTTAATCAGCACGACTTGGGACTCATGTTATCAATAAGTAAAACAGATTCAATCAGCTAAGAGTCTATCAACCAGAACATGTGAATTAGCACAACAAATGAAGATGAATTGAACCAATATCAGGGAATTATTTAGCAAAGCAACAATGGGGACAGCACCAGGTTTGTTCATGAGATTCTATGGGTACCCCACAGGTTTTTTTTCCATCCCAAGCATGAAAGTGTAGCAAGCTTCCATTGATTGGGGGTGATTGGGGTTGATCATACCTTTTGGATAACATGTTACAATCACACCTCAATAATCAATGGCCATGACTCAGGAACCGAGAAAAATTGGAGGTACCGATTCCATATATAAGGCCTATTTTTTAGGCCTATGTAAGGGGATATACCCTCAAAATATGGCCATTGAAATAAGGCCTTTGCCCTTCATCATATTTCAATAAGGCCTTCACAAGGCTTTGTTGGTGGCTGTTGTGTGCGGACGGCCACAGCATAGGGAATCCCAGGTTTGGGGATTCTGCGCTTGTCAACACGTTTTTTTTTCCCGCTTGCGTTTGACCATGCTCATGTTTTTTTTTCCCATTGCAGCCCTTTGTTTGCACAAGTTATTCAGATCCAAGACACCATCAGGGTTTCTGGGGCTGCATTTATCATTGTTTAATATTAGTTATTTGTTTGTTACAATCCGGGACTACTGGCAATTATCCCAATGATATCCTCAATTATGATCAATTATATTTTTATATCCTGATGACATCCCCATTGTAGTCATTATGCCAGTTGCAGATCATTCTATCTCATCCAAAACCGATCCAGCTGCAGAACCACCAAACCATGAACCTCAGGCTGGTGGTTCGTGCATATCGCATCGGAGGGGAGGAGGCAGGATTTGCCAAATTCCTCGGCGCAGAGATGTTGGGAGACCGGACCTGCTCGTGGATTTGCCAGTGGATATTGGTTGAATATTGGTTGATTTAGATGAACAGAATACAGGAGAATATATATATACACGTATAATATACACTATACGTATTTATCTATTTGCAGCATACACAACCTGTATAGTCTTCGTTGATACATCGATAGGCATATGCAACGTAAGCGACGTGAATCAATAAGCAAAGGGGAACTTTCATATGTTCTTGTTTTTTTCATGACACACTTCTTGTGTAAACTGTAACATATTACAGTATTTGGTCATCAGATAAACACAACTATCATCATAATCAGATGTGCCAAGTTTGAGCATTGTTGGTACCCCAATCCAGTGGTTTTTTTCGACTTTTTTCCCCAATGGATTACCACTAAAAAAGGGTGTGAAATCCATCTATTTTCTAGGCAAACCCACATGGGTATATAGATTCCTGGTTGGTGGTGACTGGAACGTGACTGGATGATTTTTCCATATATTGGGAATGTCATCATCCCAACTGACGAGCTCCATCATTTTTCAGAGGGGTGGCTCAACCTCCAACCAGATTCCAATTTTTCACTCTGAAGGTCAGTGTTGTTCTCCATTACCCTTTGGTAAACTAACATAATTATGGAAACAAATCACAATTTTTCATGGGAAAACTCACTTTTTCTATGGCCATTTTCAAGTTCGCAAACTGTTACCCTCTGGTGAACATACAAAAAGCTATGGAAAATGGCTATAGAAATAGTGGATTTTCCCATTAAGAATGGTGATTTTCCATAGCTTTTTGTATGTTCACCAGAGGGTAGTCATTACCAGGCCGGGTAACAGCCTTCAGCTCCCCGTGGATCTGTTGATCTGTTGACGAAGAATCACTGGGAATCACTGGACTCGTAGTCCGTTCAACGTTCTGTTGCCCAACGTGATGAAAACAGCCCCAAAAATTACCCAACAAATGGGATTTACCTATTAAAAATGTTGATTTACCCAACAAAAATGGTGATTTTATGGGATTGTATGGGGATTTTATGGTGATTTTATGGGATTTCAATGGAACCCTCTGGTTATTTGTTACATAGCCATGGTATAGATGGCCCTAATCGAAATAGATGATTTTGCGAACTCAACCTCCATTTATGGTTGGGATTTTCCAGCCGGCGAACTGTTAGTCATAACCAGGTGGTAGACAAAACACAATAGTCATGGTCTGACCTTGACTATGTATATCTATATATATATATATCTGGTTGGTGGTGACTGGAACATGATTGGATTATTTTCCCATATATTGGGAATGTCATTATCCCAACTGGCGAACTCGTATTTTTCAGAGGGGTGGCGAAAATCCACCAACCAGATATATATATATATATCATGTTTTTGATGTTATGAGTTTTCTGGCCTTGTTTTGGGGCTCCATGTAAAACCATGATACCCATGTAGTCACTAATAATTAATCATTATATTTGCAGTATGTTCATTCTTAGCCCACTCATCATTATAATTAACTCATTAAACATTGATATTATCCCTGGTTGGTTGTTTGGAACATGTTTTATTTGTCCATATATTGGGAACAATAATCCCAACTAACTGATTTTCATATTTTTCAGATGGGTTGAAACCACCCATCTTAGCTCGCGCTCGCCACATTGAAGCCCTCACCGTTCGGTTGGGTTTGCTTGGGAAAAAGCAGCTGGACGTGTGTACTTTAGACAATTATGATGGATAATAGTGGATCACTTATCAAACTTGTCAATCAACTTTAGACAATTATGATGGATACCCTCTGGTAGCGAACTGGAAAATCACCATCTTTAAGAGGGAAATCAACTATAAATGGGCAATTTTCAATAGCTATGTCAAATTGCCAGAGGGTAATATTCGATCACTTGTCAAACTTGTCAATCAACTTTCGGTCCTAGGTCCACCTTCACCTTTTGCAAGTACATCGGGAATCGTTAAGAATTCACCAGCTGTACTTGGATACTTTTTGGATATTTTTGGCATTTTATGACGTTATTTGAATTTGCTTCAAAGCAGCTGAAGAATCAGGGTATTAAATTGAATCTGGAATGCAGTATATCATAGTATATCCCTATCCCTCACATTCCCAATATATTTCCAAAATTGGTGATGTCTCTATCGCATTTTGTGGGGCAGATGGCAACGATGGTCCTGGCTCGGCTGCTACTGGTGGATGTGGCCTGGTGGATTATGCCTGGAGGGGTGATTTAATCCTTCCTGAACCTTCCTTCGATACACTAAAAAGTGCTCAGAAACAAAAAACGCTCATTTCCCAAAAAAAGTGCTACACACCCTTAAAAAGTGCTCATTTGGTTGTTTCATTTTGTCGGGCACCCCCACATGTTCAAACAGCCGGATCCCCAAGGATTCTTGCAACATACACTGACACAATCACGCTATGCTTAGGATCACGCCGCTTAGGCTCTCCGCAACCAACATCATTCGCCGCTGCTGCAAGTAAGTCATCAAATTCACTTGGATGGGCCGAACTAGACACTTAAGCTATTGAATATCCACATTTGGGAGGCAAGTGTCAGTAGTGCCCGTACACTTTTTGAATTGCGCCCCGATTGCGCGAAATTGCGCCCTGATTGCGCGAATTTGCGCCCCGATTGCGGGGTACCAAGTTGTCCAAAACATCAAAAAATGTCGAAACACAGACAAATGTGTAGAATCAATTCTTTTGAGTTTGGTCCCAATGTGCATCCTCCCCAGGAAGCATAAATTAGGAGATAGATGCTAATTTAGATGCAAAACTCGCTTCCAGGATTGGCTTCCACCAGCTTGAGTATGGGCTACTGTAACTTTGTGGATTTCTCCAAGAGTTTAATAGATACGAAGGTGTAAAATGGGTTTGAACCCCAAAAAGTGCTCATATCCATTGAAACCCCCAAAAAGTGCGCAGACCCTCAAAAAACACTCAGGGATGGCAGAAAGTGTATCCAACCAGGGGTTTGCCAGAAAAAAGTGCTACAATGGAATCTCCAGGTTTAGTTGTTTTCTTTCTATAGATAAACAATAACCACAACCATAACATACCATAATCATGAATAGTTATATCATATATCATGTTATAAATTAATCCTTTAGTTTTTTTTCTATGAATAGAACATAACCAAAACCAACAAAAGATTTGATTTTTGTGGACCACCAAAGATTGACCATGATGTAAACATGGAAGGAGCACTGGGTTATGAAAGTTGTACGCTTGTTGACTGGTTACTGTAAGGAGTTTTAGTCCCTGGTTACTGGGAATTATGAGTTAACCCGTATTCAGGAAACCGTTTTCAAACATCGAGTAGTTCATGAGATGAGATACGGATGGATAAGGGTATCTTCATGGTATCTTAATGGCTCAATTGGCTTATTCAAACATCAAGAATCTTCAAAGGTTGGAAAGTCAGCATCAATAAATTGGAAAATCAACAAGTAAATCTTTTAAAGATTGGAAAGTCAACACCAAGTATATAAATTTTCGAAGATTCGAAAGTTAACATCAGACAATTGGAAAGTCAACATCAAGTAAATCTTCGAAAGGTTGGAAAGTCAACATCAGTAATTTGGAAAGTTAACACCTGTTCATTATGATAAATTGGTATTGTGTCATCAATAAATTAACTTATTTACCATCAACAACTTGCAATATTTTGCGAAAGAGACTCGCGGAATTCACGATTGAGACACAAATGGGCTGGCACAGCATGGTTTTTGCTATTTTCCTGAATTTGTCCTGCTTTTGTAAGGTAAAAACCACTTGAAATGTTTGTGAATTAGGCTGTAGGAGGCTGTAGGTCCTGCCAATCCTGTGACCTAAACGTGTCCTGGCAAGCAGCTGTGACGGGCAAACAATTTTGCTTTGGCTCAATGTTCCACTATGAGAATCCGAATGTCAGCTTAGCTAAGGGAAACCTACCGTGTTACATGCCTAACGCACTTTGCAGCACTTTCCCCATCCTTTTCCCATTTTGGGACCGAACCATGGATTGTATTCCCATGTCTTCCCGCCTTTCATGGGACTTTTGGAGACCATTGGATGATGCTGAACGTATGGAGTCCATTGTTTATATTGCTTCACTGGTTGGCAAAACTCCCAGCAAACCATTGCTGACTTTCCGCAAGTGCATTCCGCAAGTGCAGTGAGATAGAGCACATGAATTCAACAATTTTACACATATCCAGAAGTATATCACCAGTCATTTCCATGGTTTCTTTTGTATAAGCCCACTATACAGTCACTATAAACTGACAATTTCCCATGTTTTTCGATGGGTTTTTCCCATGTTTTTCCCACGGTTAAACATCCATGGTAGATCAACACCCCCGTGGCTCTAAGGAGATGCTCCTGCCACCGGCCAAGAGAAGAAGCTTGTCTGCGATTGACCCCTGTTGGTTGATGATTAGTTCGGGGATTATACTACCCTATATATATATATGTATATATGGTTTATATATATATATGATAATATACATTAATATAATATATATATGTATGTATATATATATACATATGTATGTATGTATATATATATGTACATATGTATGTATGTAATGTATGTAATGTATGTATGTAATGTATGTATGTAATGTAATGTAATGTAATGTAATGTAATGTAATGTAATGTAATGTAATGTAATGTAATGTAATGTATGGTATGTATGTATGTATATATACATATGTATATATATACATATATATGTATGTATAGATATATATATAATATGTATACATAGTAACATATACACATATAATTTGTGTTGGGGATTATCATACTCTATAATATGGGAATCCGGTTTTTAACCAAGCAGTATTTCATGGAATAGAGGGATGTTGAACACTGCTCACTTGGAAAGATCCTTTGGGATAGTTATCACCAGTAGGGATTTAATGATATTTAATGGGCTTCACTGGGAATATCATGGGATTTAATGGGAATCATTGACTAACCAGCAAAAGATATACAAACACGGGATTAAATGGGATTATATAAATGGGATTAAATGGGATTTAGTGGGATTCAATAGGGATAGTAACCATTAAGTATCATTCAGGGATGTTAACCATTTTTTTTGGTTGACATTGTTGATGGCTAATCAATTGTTATCAATTGGATACATATTTATATACATAATGGGGAGTGGTAGCCATTGATTAAATTGATTTCTTGCAGCACCAATGGGGATTTAATGGGGTTCCATGGGAATATCATACAATCGTTTTTTTGTTGGGATTGGGATGTATGTAAATATATATATATATAATGGTTATAGTAATTGGATGTTAACTATTACTGTAGTCATTTAATAGGGATGTTTACCATCAAAGTACTTATATATGGGCCATATTTTTTGTGGATACTGATAAATGATGGCTGGTTGATGATTAGTGCGATGTTTTTTTTACTAACCAGCCATCTAAAGTCAAGATACATTGGGGATCATTGGGGAATATCAGAATCAACGGAATTTTGGTGACATCGACCGGCTGCGATGGTCAGGTGATTAAAAAAACCTTCAGTGCCACCCATAGCACCGTGGTAAGGTGGTAAGCTTACGACAGATTTTGAACCCAAAAAACCTGATTTCAGATTAGAAGCCTACATGATGCAGTGTCACATGAGGGGGATTGTCAAGACAGAGGGGATATGAAGGGATTGTATCCATTTGTTTTTTTTTTGATGTATGGTTTACAACCATTGAGCTAGCTGATATCCCCGTATGTTTGTTTGTATGTTTGGTATGTCCCAGCCAGTGACTTGGACCATTGGATCCCCATCCCATCCTCGTACCCAGGGCACCCCAAATGTTCAGGGCACATAGAAGAAATCCACTACTCAACCAGGGTTCGGGTGGCTATTTCATATTATTGGGAAAGGATATAATGATTATACATTGTACATATCTGTACATATCTGTACATCTTTATGCTGGATCTTTAGCATAGCATAGTGATGTATTGATAGACCAGTGAAATAGCCAAGATACATCACGATGTTTTTTTAATTATATCATAAATCTGTAGTATCATAAATACCAGTGTAATTAAAGCCAGCATAGACATAGTGATAAATATGTACACATATGTACACTATTGGATAGTGATATGTGTAAATATTATTGGGAAAGGATTATCAATAGTGATATCCTTTAGTCATAGTTGGATAGATTTCCAATATTATTGGGGAAATCTATCACTATAAAATACTATAAATGTGTGATTTCCAATACTATAGATCCCATAGTCATAGTGATAGCTTTCCCAGCGGTGAGTCCTGGGATGTTTTTTTCCCCAGGACTCACTGGAGAGATGCCATTCACCATGGACAAGTGGCTTGCTTTTTGACGACGCGGATCGACGGTTCGGTGTGACTTTTTAAAAAAGCGAGATGAGTTGTGGAGATGAAGATTGAACGTGCAGTTTTATGCCCTAGAAACATGTAACATCTAGAACCATCTAGAAACCATCATTCCATAACTGGGGTGACTTCACTAACTTTTATTGAGCTGGTATTTCGGGCCATAACTGTAAAAGTGGAGATAAATTCCAAGAACAGCTTGGATTTGAGAGAGTTCAAACAACAACTAGGGCCTAGGGATGTAGTCCACCAATAATGCGGAATCGAATAACAAACAGTAAATAATCTTACCTTTTCGGAGTGCTGGTCGGAGTTTCAAGTCTTCTTCATGTTACCTTAACTACCTACAACAGACCTCATGTCAACTGGCATGCAACATGAAAGCAGCAGCTTCCGACTCTTTTTACATGCCAAGGCCATGTGTATAGTCGTGGTTTCAGACGGTTGATATTAGTCTCCTTGCCTGACATGTTGGCATGGGTTGCTTAGTGGTTCTAAATGCCTATTGTCCCCATCCCTTCTTGTGAGTAGCACTCCAAGTCACTTGTTTTCACTGGTATAAATCCAAGCACATGAAGTCCATACATGTCCCATTGCATTCTATGATTTTTTCATATATATATATATCAATAATATATATATATATGATAATATATGCAATGTATAATATATATATATTTATTTATTTATTGATTACATATATACATGTATGGATATACAGTATATACAAATGTTCTTCACAAGTATACATTTGTCTATACACAAATCAAACGTGCCAAGATATTCATCCTAAGTAACTTCCAGACCGGCCAGCGCGAAAGCCAGCGCGCCGAGGCCCTATCGTATTTGTCAAGCGGTGATTTCAGGTGCAGCTGACAGCCGATTTAATGTGGGCCCCCCAATGATGTTTGTTGGTTTATAACCCCCATTAACTATAGTTAATTATACTGTAAGTATCATAAAACCATAGTGAATTAGAAGTACCATAAAACCATTATAAACCCCATTAACCATTTTGTTGGTTCATAGTTATTGGAGTATATTAACCGGTTACGCCGTGATCTCTGCGTGGCTCCCCCATGGGATCAAGGAGCTTGTTGAAGCTGGTGGTTGGAAGCTCTGGCATCAAAGGAAGTTCTGTGTATCCAAGGTCACTCTGTTTGATTGGAATCCAGAGGTTCAACCATGTCGACTATGGTGAAGAAGTCGTCAGCGGAAACCCGCCCCCATACTGGATGAAACTACAACGGATCAGTGTGGATCAATTGGAGCCCTGTTTTTCACCAGGCCATGAAATGGCATGAAGCAAATAAGAAGCAGTAGCCATATGAATTGAAGGGTTGGTAACTCATATTATCACTTAAATACATGGTTCCAAGGCAACAATCAATGAACCATCCGCAATTTTGAGCAGGGGTCTCCTCATGTTTGGTGTCCATATTATTTGCTGGGAAATCGATCACTTGGTTTTATTCTTCAATGGTGAAATATGTTCAACCTCAAGTTTGCTGGTGAACCCGCGTCAACCCCCACATTTTTCAGTATTTGAAATCCAATAGTGAATATGGTTTTGACTGAACATGTCTTTGGGGAAAACATTCCAACCCAATGTCTATAATAATATTTTGCCCATTGACTTGCTATATTGTTCCCATTCCGAACACACATATCTTATTGCTTGTGAATGCTGGTTATATAATCCCACAAAAAAGTGACTAAATCCCATGGTTGTTCATCACAATTCCAGCGTTTTTGGGTATGATCATGTCGATATATTCCTTGTTATCCCAAAAAATCCCCATCATACTATACGGCTGCTGTTACGTATATGAATATTATGTATGAATATATATATATATGTATGTATATACAATACATATATACATATATATACTATATATATATACACAATATATATAATATACAACATATATATAATATACAATATATATATATACAATATATATATATATACATACAATATATATATAACATATATATAATATACAACATATATATATATTATACAATATATATACACAATATATATATATACAATATATATATATATACAATATATATACAATATATATATACAATATATATATATACATATACAATATATATATACAATATATATAATATATATATATGTATGTATGTATACACATATTTGTAGTTTAATTCTAGTTATATTCCCCTATTTGTTGGTGAATTCCCCTATGTTTTCCCATGGGTCTCAGAATTTTGCCAGGCTTGGAGCAGGCCGGGCGGGTCAACGCCCGGCGGCGGCGCAGATGGCTGCGCTGTCCTCACGTGGCTGGACTCAGCTGGGGAGTTCACCGAGACATGGGCATAAACCAAGAAATCTTGGCTAATAGTATTGGGTATTGGTTATAGTAATAATATAGTAATAGTATAGTAAGAATATAGTAATAGTATTGGTTATTGGTTTGATTAACTGTGAATGATCACAATATTTATTTGGTTGGTGGTTTGGAACATGACTGGATTATTTTCCACATATTGGGAATGTCATCATCTCAACTGACTCATATTTTTCAGAGGGGTTGAAACCACCAACCAGTACTAATAATATGTGGTATGACCGAAGCTCCAGCAATCTGTGATCATAATATATATATATAGGATCGGATGGGCCACTGCAAAAACAAGATATCACCAGCAATATATGGGAATAAATGGGATTATATAGCTAATCATGGGATAATAGATGATCATAGATGATCATAGATGATCATAGATGATCATAGATGATCATAGATGATCATAGATGATCATAGATGATCATAGATGATAATAATAGATAATCATAGATGATCATAAGTGATCATAAATGATAAGAGATGATAATAGATGATAATAGATGATAACAGATGATCATATGGGTAAATTATAACGACCTCACTGTTCTCCCGAACCCTGGAATCATGGTTTATAAGGGAAATCATCCCCAAATGACCCAACAATTCAGGTTTGTGAAACATTATTATTTACCCAGAATAACGAATACATGTATTATACCCACAATAATGAATAGTGAATAATAATAATAAATAGTAAATAAATAAATGTACAATAACACTTTATAATAAATAGTAAATATGTCTGGTAATACCTGCGAGACCTGGGTAGACAATAATAAACGTTATATATTTATGGTAAATATCATGTATTGGGTGTCATTTATTGGTTAAATATGTTTGGTTGGGCATTTACATTTTACCAGAAATGTATGCTTACCCACACATATTTACCCAATAAACCTTATTATGTACGGTAATACATCAAATGATATAATGTGGGTAAAACAATGCCATAAACAACATTATATCATATAGGGATGGCAAATAAAACTGGAAAATAAAACTGGAAACAGGTTTATGGAAAATATCAATTTTCTATAAATAATCCACATAGAAAAAGGATTAATATATATATATAGGGATGATAGAACAGTTGGACACTTGGAAAAAACCCTCAACTGATATTAAAAAAAATAGGGAAACTGGAACATCTATATAAAAGGAACATATTATGGGAAATTGGAACACACAAACTGATATAATGTGAGTAAAACAATGCCATAAACCAAGGTGGTATAACTGGTATGTTTACCATTCCCAAATGGGTGGTTTATGGATGTTTATGGCATTGTTTTTCTCACATTAAACATAGGAAAGTTGGAAAATCGAAAGTGGAAAATGTTTTGGGAAGCTATTTGAACTTGGCCGGCTGGGGGGGTATTAAAAAGACGGGAAAGATGACCTCTAGCTACTAAGATATAGGGATGATAGAAAAGTTGGACACCTGGAAATTACAGTAAACCTCAAATAGATAGAACATCATTGGAAACCTATAGAATCTTGGGACAGCAGAATCTATATCATCCTGGAAACACGTTTATATCATTTTTTTGGTTGCTATAAACGTCTACATAGATGTGGAAAAACTACCAATTGTAGTTTTCTTCTTGGGGAAACCATTAGGGTTTCCGCATCTATTTAAAAGTTTGCCCAAGGGTAAGTGGCAAAATTATGGGCAATACATTGGAAATAATGAGATATTAACGGATATTCATGGGATGAAATGGAATATCATGGAATATTCCCTCCGGTTATTTGACAGTTCGCTATGGAACATCACAATTTTTCATAGGTACATTTTGCCAAGCATCGAGCTAAATGGAGCATTTTCCAGTTCGCTATGTTAGTCATAACCAGAGGCTACGTGGCAAGAATCAGGAAGAATCCAAAAGACGTTTAAAACACATGGATTGAAACATCGACCAGCGGAGTCGTTTAGGGAAAATCTACAGGAAAACCAAGGCATGGGTTTCTTTAGATTTTCTCTTAAACCAATCACCTTAAACCAATCAAAATAAGCAAAGAATCAACTGATTAGTTGCATTTTTTTAATGTTTTTTTAGTAGGAAAAAACTATTTTGGTTGCCCCAGTAACATGGGAGTTGTTAACCAAACTTCGGAAGAAATGGGAATACAATTGGATAGAGAACAAAGTTGATATGATGTATGGGTGTGTGTGAAAATGATTTGGGGATATCATAGGATACAACTACAGTAACCAACCTTTTTGGATGATACAAATCCAGTTGTAGATTCTCAGCCCCAGACACCGAAAAAAAAGGGTGTCGTCTTTTCATGTTCCCTGTCAAACTAGATGAACATAATTAGTAGGATAGAATTCAATAGTTTCAGTTTTAATTCAACTGTTGGAGGAATCCTTGATCAAACATTATGCCATATTTAAGTTTAGTTTTCACCATCGATCTATAGGTTTTTTGGTCCAATTCCACATTTCAATTCACAACTCCAAGGCCAACATGCGGGTGGTGCTGGCTGGCGAGGTTTCCGTAGGGTGAATGGTGGGAATGGTGTGTGTGGGGAGGCTTTTGGCGGGATCCAGATTAATAATGGATTAATAATGGTTTATACTGGTTTATATATAGTGGTTTATGCTGGATTAATGGTTGTTTATAAGTTTCTAGTTTGATGTCAAAGACTCAATGATTTTAGTTTACAGACAATTACATTCAATCAGTCTATGATTTTAATGACAATCGCCAGAAAGTATTCCAGGAATGTTCATTCAATTATGGCCCGAAATACCAACTATAAGTCAGTGAAATAACCCCATTTATGGATATTTATGGAATGATAACCCAATTTTAGAACCATAAAAACACCTGGTTTCTAGGGTTTTCACTGTTGAATCACCACAGAATCCAGGTATGGCGACAGCTCATGGAGCGGCACTTGAACACCGAAGCCGCCTTCGATCCTTTGAACGCGTGTCTCCTGGCACAACAAATGGGACGTTGTTTTTTTCGCACGTCAAAAACGCTGCAGTTAAAGCCCAGTGGTTTCTATGGTAAAATGGAGTCATAATTCCATAAATGGTGTTATTTCACTGACTTATAACTGGTATTTGGGCCATAACTGTGGGGGAATTAGCAAGAATGAAGTGTTGACCGACAAACATCATGGGGTTGAATTAAGAAAAGAATCGGTTTTGAATCAAGAATAACATGTGGAATTCATGCTTGAAGGTGTTTTTCATCTGCACCGAAAGAGGTTCGTCAACAAGGTCCGACACTGATGGACGGGTCACTTGAAAAGAATGACGGGTAGGACCCTAACCTCAACACTGTGCAAATCTGACTTGGGGTTTCAAGATTGAACAATTTCCGTTGCGTGCGGCATTCTCAACTGATTGAAAGAGCTTTGCTACTTGAAGTGGTTGGTGGTTTCAAAGATTTTCAATTTTCCATATCCTTCCCATTGACATCATGTAAACCAACTATGATATGATAGCCTGGTTGGTGGTTTCAAACATATGGGTTATTTTCCATTTCATATATATATATCAATATATGGGATGTCATCCTTCCCATTGACGAAGTCCATCATTTTTCAAGATGGTTGGTTATTGCACCACCAACCAGTAGCTCTTATTAACCATCATTATATAACCATATAATACCATACATTAACCATATATTAACCATACATTAACCATACATTAACCATATATTAACCATATGTTATTCAAGATGCTTATTGCACCACCAAGCAGTGAAAACCTTCGGCCAGTAGCTCCGAAAAGGTCCTGCGGAATTCACCGGGATTTCATGATGACTGGATGACTGGATGACGATGTCCCAGTCCCGTGAAAAACTTTTACATTCATTATATTTATTGAAGATCTTCAATAAGGTAGTATCACTATCAATAGTAGCAATAATAGCAAAACATATAATTTTTGATGATGATGATGATGATGGGCAGTGAAATGTCCTCATTTTCCGGCGTGGGTGTACCTAATTTTTGATTGTTGAATCCAACCTTCAGATTTCTAGAGGCATTGGGGATGATAGTGTTTTTGGATATTGTTGGATTCATGTTCCATATATCATGGCCAACTTGGGTTAAGGTTTGCAATGATCATAACCCCACATTTTGGCTGAATATTAACAGCTATTGACACCCAATTTGACATACACAATCCCGACAGTGCTTGATTGTTGGATCACACTTTGACACTTCTTATGTTGCATCCCAACTTTTCACACGTCACAGACTTCATTTTGTTGGGAAATGTGTTTTTTGGCCCCGCTAATATTTGATGGATAGCAACCATGTCATGTGTCCTGTCGATTGTCCCTACCACTGAAGTTGCCATCTCTTGATTGCAAAATCATCACAAATCCTCTATGAATGAGCCATTTTCCATAGTTATGTTAAATAACCAAAGGGTACCATTTTTGCTGGTTTAATTCCAGCTTCGGACTCAACCCCCTTGTTGACTGGTCAATGGGTTTTTAATGTCATATTTAACTGATGAATGTTCAATATTTGATGGTTATAAAACATAGTGTCTGTGTTTGCTGTAAAATAAGGGGTTCCCGAATGAATGGTATACTGTATTGTGGCTATATATATACTGGTTGGTGGTTTGGAACATTTTTCATTTTTCCATATATTGGGAATAATCATCCCAACTGACTAATATTTTTCACAGGGGTTGAAACCACCAACCAGTATATATATTCCATGATATATTTATACATATATTTGCCAGTTGTATACCTCCAGAACATGGTTGGTTTGATCCTGAATGAAGCTTGATGATTATTGTAGACTTAACCACAAGATATCCCTAGAAAAAACAATGATCGTTGGTAAAAAAAGCATGGTTTCTCCAATTAAATATTATCCATAGAAAATATCCCATAGAAATTTTATCCATGGTTTACCATAGAAGATAAGATATCCCATAGAAATTTCATCCATTTCGACATGGCAAAATCCTTCATCAGGTATGGACCTTCCTTTGTCGCTGCGCGAGTTCCGCATTGCCGCCAGCTTTCTGGCGCGGGGCGGCGAAAAACGCTGGGAGATTGGTCAAGAGTTTAGGCTCAGAAGCCCTGCTGGTTGATGCGAAAAACTCTTCATTTATCATGATTATTTCACCTATCTGATATGAGAATCCCTAAGAGATCATAGATATTATATGATATGGTATTATAATTTACCTAGAATTCCGATAATTTCAATGGCCATTGCAGGTAGTTAAACTGGAGGTACTGTGCCACATCAAGCCATATTTCGGTGGTATACCCTCAGTACATAGCCCTTACACAGTCCTTACATGCAGGTACCTCCATTTAGGTTCCTGAAATGTCTACTGATAACTGATTGGTGGTTTGGAACATTTGGATTATTTTTCCATATATTGGGAATTTCATCATCCCAACTGACTTCAACTCATATTTTTTCAGAGGGGTAGGTTGAAACCACCAACCAGATGGCATTATATGGGATTTTCATACCTATTCGGGATGATGTTTGGGATCTGATATGGGATCTTTTAAAGGCGATCTCTTGGAGAACCTTATGACGCAACTTATGACGTGCCATGCAGCTTCCACTTGCCTCGTTTTGGTATTCTAAGGTCCCCTACATGGATTGGGAAATCCATTGATTGGGGATTGTGATATTCCTTGTCATCCATGATATTCAAAGATATTCAAAGGATTAAGCACTAGACTTTAAGGGAATATCATGGGAGCTTTCTGCAATAGCTCGTCCATGATGGACGAAGTGAAGCTGGACTTGGAAGAGAGGCTATCCTCAAGCGGCGTCGTAGTGTTCGCTTCACTTCACCACTGCAGTCGCTCGCCAGTTCTCTCTGGCTGGATCACCAACTGGATCCTGACCCCGAGAGGACTGCGGCGTGTTTGCGGATGTAAAGGATCCCTTTGGAGGGAGCAACAATATGTGTCGCACAACGATGGCATCACTTTCTGATCCAGCCCGCCTATTGCTGCTGTTAGCAGCTGAAAAATCAAAGATCGCAATGGACAATTTCCTATAGCAGATGTTCCCATCTAAATGCTCATACAGTTTCTAGTGGATTTCCCATTGCGATTTTTTTGATTGCAGGGTACGTCATAGTATTGTTTCTTGGCAGTTAGTTATTCTCGGTTAAGTTATATCCCTTTGTTGTTTGAAACCCCATTTATGTAATTGTTAGGTGACTATGTGTATAGTGTTATTTGGATAAGTAAACAATAGCACACAGTTCCTTAACAACTAGCCAATCAACATCGGTACAATCACCAAGTACTTCAATTGGGTTTCAAACAAAAAATATGTTTCCAGAGTTGTTAGTGTTTCAAGCGTTGGCTGATTCTATCCATTCCTTCAGCAAGGCATATTTGTATCGTTAGTTATATATATATTATAGATATATTTATACATATTGCCCGTATCTTTTCGCGATGCATCTAGGTCTACATACATGCATGCATGCACATATTACCATACATTAAATTACATCATATCACGTTCACATTTACATTGCATTATCTCAATCCATCCACACGTACAATAAACATATATACTTCTACATCCAAGTCATGGGTGACGACTGGGGATACCCCCCAATGTTTAAGAAAAACCCTCATATTCATATAGGGATTATGATTTCATGATTAATATGAACCATTCATTAATATGATCAATGATGATTAATATATCCTTCATATTGTGAACCAATTAATTATAATGGTTATGTATCCTGGGTTTGGAATCATCGGCTAACGGAGATTTTTCTGGATTCATTGAGTCACCAAGATTATAATCTATGACATGAGGATTATTGATCTTATAGTGGTCATTACCTTTATAATCCCATTATATTGCCATTATAATGCCATTATATTACCATTATATCATCATTATCTTATCATTATATTACCATTATATTACTCTTATATCACCATTGCATTTTCATCATATTCCTATATGTATGATAGTATGGAGATTCATGAATTTATATTGATTCACGATTAATGGATCACGCATTATAATCCATTGTTTTGAATTCTTCCATTATAATCGGTTCTTAATATATTATCATCATACTCCATTAATGGATATTCGATGATACTCTCCGCCAATTCAACATAGCTATTGAACATGACCCATTTATAGTGGATTTACCTATGAAAATGGTGATTTGTCATAGCAAACTGTTAGTTTATCAGATGGTAATCAGTATTATCCCAGTTCATTGGCTAATTATTGATGAATGTTGTCATACTTATTGATGAATGTTCTCCTAACCATTTTTAACCACCAATTGTTGATCAATCCTAGCATTAATTCACCACTGAAAAACCAAATGATATTGTTCACCACTGAATATTGTTCATATAATTCATCTCCTGGGATATTTTTCACCACTGATTCATATCGATTCCCCTCGAGAGCCAGGAGGTAAACCTGGCTGAACGGGTAGCAGGACTGCTCTATGAGGCGCGACGTTAAGGAATGGATGGTGTGATTGTTTGCACTACCCTTGCTACAACCATTTTATTGGTATGTCTAACGGGACTGTAATGAGCGACAACTAACAATATACTGTATATATATAATATTATTATAATATATATTGGGATTTTGTGGTTTTAACATGTTTTAACACCAAACACCAAAACTGGTACAACAGTCATGGTATCATGGGGATGTTTAATGGGGAGGTTTAATGAGAATGTTTCTGGGGAATATCCTGGGATTTAACCAACAATAAATACGGATTTAATCAGCATTACATGGTGATATTATTGGAAAGTATAGACTGGAAATAATCATTGGTATCAAGATGGGGAAATAAATAATGGGAAACACATATTGGACATTCGATGGCTTAACCTACTTAGTCATAGATTAGTTCACCCCACTTACACAGCGGGGAAAAATATGGTCAATCATGGGATTTTGGGCTACCCAATCTTATTAGACAACCCATCAGTGGCATTGGAACAACCAAAACCCACATAGCCAGTATTTTGGGTCATCAATCAGTATTGATGAAGCCTAATTTTTTCTGGCTGAAAACCTCCAAAACCATTATGGAATATTCATCATTTGATGTACCCTCTGGTAAACGTTTACATGGCTATTGAAAATGGCCCAGTCGAAATAGTGGATTTACCCATTGATAGCATGGTGGATCTTTCCCATCACTTATGGGACAGCTTACCCGAGGGTAGACGTTATTTTTCAACATTTGGAGTGTTTGACATCCATCCCATTTCAGAAACCTAAATTGGAGGTACCTACCATATATGTTTGGCCTATGTTTTAGGCTTATTTTTTTGGGGGGAATATCCCCATTGATTTGACATCCATCCCTACTAAAACCGAAAACATTTTTTCAAGATGGAACCCCTCAGAGTCTTGGTACCTGCACAGATTCGCATAAATTCTCGCCATGGTCAAAAGATAGATGGTAGATAGATGGTATCCGAAAAAACGGGTGGATGGCCATTGCTCCATGTTCATCGGGAATTACACCATCTGGTTATGACATTCACAGTTTGCCATGGAAAAGCCACCCAGAACGGTAAACCATCTATTTCTATGGGCCATGGCTTCCATGGCTATGTTAAATAGCCAGAGGGTATAATATATATATATATAAACTTTTCTTTCAGGATTCCCATGCCTGTAAGTCCTTGACCATGGCACAGATGATGACAGACGGGGCTTGGTCAAAAGTCACGACTCGAGGAATTGGTCCTGAATTCTTGGACATACTTGGGATTAAGCCTCTTGGGATTTTGATGGGTCAATTTATTGGGTACTCAAAGAATTAGATGATATTAATTCACGATCATTCACGAACAATATATATAGATACTAGATGATAGATGATATTAATTAATTAATAGATGATACTCAATTCGATGAGATGGTTAATGCAAAACATATAGTAACATCTGACCCAGACGAACATATTTTACTGGATTTTCGCCGGATTTGATTTTTAGACTGCGGTTTGGGAACGGAGCATCATTTTAGTCCGGTCACTCCGGGATTGAAACCGCCGGCGTTTTGAAGATATCAACATGGATTCACTGAGTCATGATTGCTTGGTAACATTCCCAATGTTGCGGACTTGCATTTATCATTCATTTATCTCTGATTTTTTTTACTCGTGAAAGATTGCAAGAGTATAGGTATGCCATGGTATGCCATGTACGTGAACAAAAACTTCTGACAGGTCAGAGCTCGTTGTAGCTTATTCATCAACATCTGTCATGTGCAACTACCGTACGCCGTACGAGTACAGTATGTTCTTTCTTTGATTTCATGTATAAATAGTCTAGTACTGCAGCCATGGAGGTGTGCTCCGCCGTCTCAGGGGAGGAGCTGGCATTCCTTGATCCAGACGAGTTCGAAGGAAAGTCGGCGAAGTCCGTGAAGCAGTGCTTGGCGTGTAAGTTTGGCATCACCAGATTTCGGCAAAAGCTGCTGGAAGAAGGCTCAAATGGCGCTGAGATCTCAGATGATGAGGTCTTTGCATCGGCCTCTGTCAAGGTTCAGCTGGTGATTTTGGATTTTTGGCCACCTGATAAAGAGCAAGATCAACAGCTTGTGTCTGCATCAAGGGACAACGATGCAGTTGCTCTGGAAAAACTGTTGCAACGGCCACGGACTCCTCACGTGATAGATGACGCTGGCCAAACCTTGCTAAATCACGCGGCTGCGAATGGACATGCCGCACCTTTGCAGCTGTTGCTTGAGGCAGGTGCAGACAAAAATGCGACAGACTCAAATGGATGGATGCCTTTGCATTTTGCTGCCTGGGAAGGCCATGTTGACATTGCCCGCATTCTAATTGAAGTTGGGGCCATGAAGGATCAGGTGACGACGAATGGGATGACACCACTTCACCTTGCAGCATTTCGTGGCCACCTTGAGGTTGCTTCCTTTCTTGTACAGTTTGGGGCCAACCGAGATCAGCTGTCAACGGGAACAGGAGCTCAGGCAGGGAACACCGCATTGCATTTTGCAGCTGAGCAAGGGCATCTGAACATTGTCCGTTTCCTGATTGAAGCCGGATCCAACAAGGATCAGCGTACGACAGACCAAGACCACCATGGGTGGACGCCTTTGCATAATGCAGCTCTAGGAGGCCATATTGACATTGTCAGGTTCCTGGTTGAAGCTGGGGTCAACAAGGATCTTGCCACCCGCAAGGGGTTCACATCCTTGCATCTAGCAGTTCGGCAAGGCAATTTGGATGTCGTCCGCTTCCTGGTTGAAGCTGGGGTCGGCAAGCATCAATGCACGGTGGGAGGAACAACACCATTGCGACTTGCAGCTCAAGAGGGCCATCTCGACATTGTCCGCTTCCTGGTTGCAGCTGGGGCCAGCAAGGATCAAGCCAGGAAAAACGGTGAGACGCCTCTGTACTCTGCATCTGAAGAGGGTCATGTTGAAATTGTACGCTGGCTGGTAGAAGTTGGTGCTTCGAAAGACAAGGCGAATGATGACTGGATGTCACCCTTGTGGATTGCAGCTGCAGAAGGACATCTCGATACTGTCCGTGTACTGGTCGAAGCCGGGGCCAACAAGAATCAGGCCACAAAAACAGGCGTAGCACCATTGCACATCGCGGCTGCGGGAGGATATCTGGAGGTGGTTCGGGCACTGATTCAGTCAGGTGCAGATGTTCATTTAACCACAGAGGATGGACAAACCGCGTGGGATTTGGCTTCTATGAATGGCCATCAGGAGGTGGTACACGAACTTAGAGCCAGACGTCCCATGCCATGGCCAGAGGCACCATGAGAGGAAGAAAAATGTCGCGCGGACAGCAGTGCTCGGGAGCTGAGGGTTTGAAAGGGTTGCGGTTGTGTAGATCATCATGAGTCTTGCTTTAAGACGGTTGCCAATCCGGTACCAACGCAAAGAATATGTTCATTTACTCATTTAATTTAGTAAAAATACAATGTTAAATGAACATATTATATATATATAATGATTACGAGTCTGGCTATCTCAACATGTTGTTGTTTCAGTTACTCTGTCCGAAGATATCAATGGAACCAGCTTTGAAGTCTCATGGAAGTTAGCTTTGGAGAGGTCGACTCGTTATTTTTTCCCGCCGGGGCATAAGTTGGTGATGCCTGGAGCCATGACTTTGCTGGTAGGATGCACAAAGGGCAAACTCCATCACAAGCTACGGTCTCAATGGGCGATTAGCGCAAGTGGAATCATCCCAAGATGAAACTTTTTCTGCCATGGGCCGTGGGCGTTGCAGATTGTGGATGTCTTCAATATCCGACCACCCAACCCCAGCCTATTTGTAGAACCCCCAGATGAACGGGTCAACATTCCACCGGAGTTTCGGGTTGTTTATGATTGGGGGTAGGAAGGGCCATGAACCTTTTGTTTTGTTGACCATTGGATCCATACTCAATTACAGTAACCCCAACATGGATAGAATCAACATTTGGATCCGACATCACCAGGAAAAAAAACACACATTCATAATAAATGTTGATAACAGGTTTCTTTGCACATTGGGCACCCCAGCCCAACTGCACCCGCAACTCATGTTGGCTTTTTTTCATGTCCTACTGGCGCAGATTTCTCCATCATACCGCCCATCTGATTTCCCCCATGGTGGCTTCAAAATAAACCAATTTTTGTGGGATAATGGGATTACCCTCTGGTAAACTAACAGTTTGCTACGGAAATTGGCCCATTTATAGTTTATCTACCTATTATAAATGGTGATTTTCCATATCTATGTTAGTTTACCAGAGGGTATTGAGCTGATCCACAAGTTCCGTTTAGGTTTGTCTGAAATAGGATACAACGTGACAACATGCAGACAGAAAACCACTGTCTTATCATCGTTTTGACTATTCAAATGGCAACGTTGTGGCGTGTTCATCTCAGTTTTCAGACGGTTGAACCCTTACCCTCTGGTTATGTCAAAATAGCTATTGAAAATGGCCATTTATAGTGGATTTTCCCATGAAAAATTGTGATTTTCCATAGTTATGTTAGTTTACCAGAGGGTATCTTGGTTGGTCTAAATCCATCGCCAAACAAAAACAACAAGTGTCCCCTGTTTCCCCATCATATTTCCCCATCAAATCCCCATGATACGGCAATCAAATGTTTGGTTTAAAACTCTAAAATCCATAGAGTCCCATCATAGCACCATCCGTTGCTGGTTGAACATGTATTGCTGGTAAAATCACAATAATTTCCCCCATTTTTCCGTGATTGTTGTACCATGTTTGGAGTTTGGTTATTAAATCAAGAAATTATATCACCCCCATTATGGTTACTTATCTCTCATTGTCATGATATTCCCAACTGGTTGCTCATATTTTTCAGAGGGGTAGGTATACCACCAACCAGTATCTCAGTATCTCTCATGATATGCCCCAAAAAACATCTGAAATTCGCATATTGGTACGACAATGATCATTGTTGTACCATTGTTGGAGGTATCACATTGTTGTACACAAGATCACCAGGTCTGTGCAGATATGACCGGCTCCAATGGCGAGGCCTGGCAAAAAGAGTATGCATCTGAATCCACCAATTATGGGATACATATATAATCATATATATATATATATATTATAGTTGAGATATTTCAACAATTGGGATAATTGAGTATGATACAATATATAGTTGTACAGTTGATATAATTGATATAATTTAGCATTTGATATAATTGTATATTTGATAGAATAGAACATAATTGAGTATGATAATTGGTATATGTATATCCCAACTGAGATAGTTGAGTATGATACAACATATAATTGATATAATTTATATAATTGTAACCATATATGTAAGCAACAATTCATAGTTGGTATATGGATGTGTCGACCCCTCGGCATCATTCAGCATCCATTTTTGGGGCTAAGAATCTTGAGCGTAATACCATAAACCGATTATGCAACGGATAAAATATACAGGAACTTCACAATACATATGATGTTTTGGGAGTTTTTTATATTCGCCACGAAAAAAAATTATCAAACTCGAAAATCCAAAACATATGTATTGTGGCTTATTTTTATTCGCCAACTGGTTCAATGAATTTGTTGGATCTTGTTGCCTTGAGATCGCGTAAGTTGGACGGAGATTCTTGGATTTGCAGAGCTGGTAAAAGTCTTCATTGGGGACCAGGAAATCGCCTCGGTCATGTGCTGGGAAAAAAATTGATCGTTTTTTCAGCAAGCCTCGAAGCTGGTGAAAACCAATTAATTTTTTATGACTAAATTGCATTTACTATAAAATGTGAGTACGGGGGTGCTGAGGATCTATTGGTCTCCATATCCCCTATGAATTGAGGATAATCGAGGAGCTACTGAGAGTTTCCCAACCACATGATAGCATACCAGAGGTTACCTAATGTGTTTTTCCAAACCTTCCAAACCTTGGTTTTTTTGCCATTGTGTTTGACACAGATCGTCACGGATAGGGGAGTCATCTCAAGAATGGCCCAGTGTGAATCAACGCCATGACCATCAAAGAATGGGGAAAACACCATTGGTTGTTGGGCGTTCACATTTTCCAGACATACTAAGGACGATGACCATAATATCATTGTATCATTCATGGATTCGTGGTCAATGTTGACAAGCTGCTAAAATAAGACCTCCATATTCAATGCTATATCTTTCAGGTCACCATTGGAATATTTTTTGATGTTCTGCTCACAAGTTTAGAGTCCATTTCTTGCATCCATCACGGTCCATTACTGCTTGGATTATTGTTGGTTCATATCCAATGTTTTTCGTGGCTCCTGAATATGTCATACATGATCCAGGGACATGAATATATGTATGAACCATTATATATATATATATCAATTAATTGTATTATTGAGCCATGCATTTATTCGGATTATTGTTGGTTCATCCCTATGTTCGTAGCTCTCTAGATCCCTAGGGATCGTCATCGCAGGCGACATTGTATAGCCTTCAGAAGGTCTTGGCGCGTGAAGAGCTCAGTGGCCGCTAAGAGGCCTTGGAATCAGAGCTGGAAATGCTACATATCATCGATACAAAAAAATCCTGGCAAGACTTTTCGGTACTTGGGGTTAGTATATAGTAATCAATCCTCCAAAAAGATAGAAGGTGGTAAAATCCTATCCTGAAATTGTGATGAAGCACCCTTTTAGATCTTTGGGGTGGGCTCTTCCTTGGTGCTATCGCGAGCGGGTATTCCCTTTCTCGGAGTTGAGCATGGTTAGAGATCTAAACCACTCTACATCAGAAACAGCGATCAACAGTTTGCTAAAACAGTGGGTTTCTTGAATAGCTAGAAACCCCATTCTGTTGATTGGATTAGAATGGATTAGAGATTTTATCATTTTTGGGCGACATAAAAACTTGTTTGTGTCCCCCATTAAATCACATAAAAGCATCATTTCCTTGGGTGAAACCACATTTTGTCCCATGAAATCGCCATGAGATCACAATTAATTCACCATTAATTCACCAACAAAACACCATTAAATCACCATTAAGTCCCCTCACATCGCCATTAAGTCACATTAAATAACCATTATATATACTGTATAAATCACAATTAAATCACCATGAAGTCTCATTAATTCTCATTCAATCACCAATTTTTTGTGGGTTCTCACCCCAAAAAAATCAACGATCTAAACCAACCCCACGCGGAGGCTTCGGGGCTCGCGGCTGTGGGCAGTGGGGCAAGGCAGCGGAGCTGGCTGCCTATCAGGTGCCAATGACCGATGTGGCTTTTCGGAAAAGGGTGCTTTTATTTTCGGATTTATCATATGAGAACATCCATGGGATTTTTGATGATTTATGTGTTTTTTTTTCTGGAACTAGTCATGTTAAGTTATCCAGTCCCATGGTCGGTCGCAGGATTGGCTGCTGAAATCCATGGATGGGACGGAAATTTTGTTGGGGAATGGTCGGAATGGGTCATTTTTTTTGGGGGGATGATGATGGATGATACCCGGCCTGGTAAACGTTTACATAGCGAACTTGAAGCCATGGCCCAGTCGAAATAGTTGATTTAACCATGAAAAATGGTGATTTTCCATAGCTTTTTGATGCTTTTTGTATGTTTACCAGAGGGTAAGGCTGGAATCCATGCCCGAAGTGAATGGAGCTTTGCTGGGAAAAACATGGAACTACATGGAGGATTTTCCAGCAAGGCATGGAGCTGATTACCAGATATTCCGGGTAATGATGGGACAATGATGTTTGATGTTTGACAATGAATTTGGTTGAGATTTCTGGAATGAACCTATCTTCTGGATATTGAAAATCACCATGGACGTTTAACATACCCTCTGGTAATTTAACATAGCTATTGAAAATCACCATGCTATTAATGGGAAAATCCACTATAAATGGCCATTTTCAATAGCTATTTTGACATAACCAGAGGGTATTCAATAGGTAAAGAATCGAACTAAAATGGGTAATTTTTCTTGTCCACGGCTAAGTGAAATTAGAGGAGGCTACCAAGCAATACTGATTGGCCATAGTACGATACCATATATATATATATATATCCCACCCAAGCTTTGCGTCTTTGATATCCCATTCATCTATATTGGAAAATATTGGATATATATATATAGATAAACCAACAATGGATATCATATCGTAGACTGAAGCAGTGAAAAGGATGGACTTATGGCAGGAATTTTCAGAGCCGAAGGCGGCTGTACGCAGCCAAAAAAAAGTGCATTGAAATGAACAAGAATATGGGATTTAGCCAATCAGATATTGGGATTTAGCCAATTCAAATGTAAAGACATTGGGAATATGGCTTTGCATTCCAAAATGCATTGGGGTTTAGCCAATAAGATGGGGCTGTAACCACGGGACAATTTCGGTTGACCATAATCTACCATAGTCCTGTTGTCCGGCTCAGCAAAACTCTAAGGTTTTCAAATCAAGAGTTGTTTGATCTGAAGCACTTGCGTTTGCACCACAGAACAATCATTGAGGGTTCTTCTGTATTGACCCAGTATTCTTTGAATCTAAGGCTGGAGCAGACCTGAACAACTTCATCCATGCCCATAGGGATCATACTCCACATGCTTGGTGATGCTTAGTGGTTGCCACACAGTTTTGATGACTGGGGGCGATTCAAAGGTCATCTCCCGGGTTCTGTTTGTGGTTTGTTGGCTGCCCCTAGAGATCATTCTTGGCTCCCTATTTTACAGCTTCTATTTGGGTATCTGGTTGGTGGTTTGGAACATTTGGATGATTTTTCCATATATTGGGAATGACTTTCATATTTTTCAGAGGGTTTGAAACCACCAACCAGGTATGTCTTCAGTTTGATTTCTTTTGCTATGAAAGAACCGCCTGTTTGGGGTGGATCAATGGCAAAATCATGTTGTTTCCAAACGAAAAGCCATCAACATTATTCGACATTGAAGATTCTAACGGCCCGCATTTTCAACGCTGATGTGTCTTACTGTTGGCATTTTATCAATAGTCTATAGTGATTTTTTGTGTCCAAAGCGCCACAAGGTAGCCACACAATAGATCTTCAATGGAATTTGCACTACATTTCTCCCTTTATAGGGGATTAATATGGAGGTTTCCATAGATAGGGGTACCCCTAAATCATCCATTACAAAGCATGCAGCTATTGGGGTACCCCCATGACTATGGAAACCCCCATATATTTCCTATTATAGATTCGATATTTCCATATAGTTCCTATAGATTTCCATATATGTCCTATAAATTTCTATATTTCTATATATGTTGTCCTTGTTTTAATTAAAACCCATCGGAAGATTTGCCGCAGTTGAAGCACGCGCCTTTGGCGCCGCCCAGAACTTCCTTACCCGTAGAGGAGGCGGGGACAGAGGTGACTGTGATTTCACTAACGTTTTAAACTGGTCATTGAGTGGATATTAGCATTATCATGTCTTAGCCATATAGATATTTATATATATATATATCTATATACATATATATATATATTATCAGCCATATTTCATCCCATATACAAGTGGAGATATTCCAATTAATCCAACTGGGGATATAAAAAACATTTACGATATGTGGGATGCACCCTCAAGTATTCCATGAATTTTCTGGATTTATATAAACCAATCATTTGCATGGTTTTTTTCATCAACAAAACATGGTGATATGATGGGAATTATCCAACACATTTACCAAGAATAAAGGAAACAATGTAGACTTTTTTGTGCGGATGTTTCTGAATTTTGGCATTTAAACAACAATGAACTGCTGATTTGTCACGGGAATTTTTTGGATGATTTGACCGACCTAAATTGGGCAAAATTCAGGGTGATTTTGCTGGAGAATTTTTACCAACAACAAATGGTGATGTGATGAATGAAGCACCACGATTTCGGCGATTTTTCTTCGGTCTGTCATAGATGACCTTTTAAAATCATGTGATCAATTGCTTGTTTGTGTTTGAACTATGGCTTTGGTACCTGAACATTCACACCCCTAATTCCATTCATTTCCAGAAGAGACAATCAATCCAACGATGAATTGATTAGTCGAACATGGTGTGACAACTGGCAGCAGTGCATCGGATCTCCGGGGGCAATCATAAGGCACTGGTACTTGTAGTAATGTGCCTTATTATTAGTTAACCTCAATTGGATTATTAGTTAACCTTAATTGATGATACCCTATCAACAAGATTATTAGTTAACCTCCAATTAATCAAACCAATAACCCTCTCCATCAACCCAATGATTCTTAGTTAACCTTAATTGGGGAGGGTTTATCATTGGTTTACCACATTAGCAACTCATTATCCACGGATAAAGCCATTTCATTTCCATACTGCGCATAATAGTACTGTAGTAGTTATTAAATGTTATTAGTTGATGATAATAGAGAACAATAAATATCATACAATATAATAACCCTCATTATTGTTTAGTTGATTGAGAGTACTATATAGTATTATTATATACCAATGATAATAGATAACAATCATTATCATAAACATATTAAAAACTATATATATACTGGTTGGTTGTTTGGAACATTTTTTATTTTTCCACAATAGTTGGGATGATGATCCAATCTGACTTTCATATTTTTCCGGGGGGTTGAAACCACTAACCGGTTACTCGTATTATAAACATATAAAAACTATATATATATATATAAACCCATCATATGGAACTCAGTTTCTGAAAAGATCCACCAGGGACCAGGCTTTGTCGCCCGCAACGGAGAAGTTTTCTATGGATTTCGCTACAAAAAGCCATGGATTTCACAAGAAACATGTGGGTTGCTATCTTTTTGTAGTATAAAGTTGTAGATAGTTGCTATTACAATAATCTATTATTGTAAAAATGTGATAAACATAAATATATGTGGTGAAGTTTGGAAATCAGTTGGATACGACCACACACTTGTTTTTTTTGATACGAACACAGCAAGCAGAGGGACGATGTACTCCCGCCCCAGTATGGTAGGGCCTCTAAGATCTGGCAAGAAAGGGTCTAATATGGTGCCACCATCATTGTAGACCCTTTGGTCCTCATCACTGTAGACCCTGTAACCATTGACGGTGGAAACAGCATGTTAGACCTAGAGATTCACGACTACGACGGCTCAAGCAATTTCATTCTAGACCCTATCAGCGTTGACCAGATAAAATTGATAAGACATGTGCATTGTCGGTTAAGCTGGCCGGCGGAAAGCCATGTCATCTGAATTACAGAACGGCCCCAAGGGTTTACAATGAACAGCTGGAATGTCACATAGACCCCAAATCCTGGGGCCCCAAGTCAATTCCCAAGGTCCCTGGCTGGTAGTCGTGGGATACCAATGCTGTTGAGGCAGAAAATCAACACTTGTATTTCAATGCATGTGACCGGGTCTTTCTGAGGTATCTACCAAAGGAGGCATCGGCATGAGATGTGCCGCCGGGCTATGGATGTGATTTATCGCACCTCTGGGCCTTCGCGATTCCGTGTCGCTTTTGCATTCTGGTATGGGAAGGACGGCGACATCAACATGCCGCGCTATGCCGTTGAAGGGCTGATGTCGGCGGCTCTGGTTGGGAAGCTCGAGGCCTCAACTGATGAAAAATGTTTGGGTTGTTCTGATCAATCAGTTTGTTTTGCGACACAGACTGTCGGCACCAGATGTGTTAGCTCAGGATCAAATTTTATCCCATGCGGAACCATGCTGAACCCCCCATTTTAGGATCAGGTTGAAACAGTCTCGCCTTTGTTGGGCCTATGCTGATGGCCGATGTTGGGCTTGTGTTGGGCCTATATTGAGCTTGGGTTGAACCTATATTTGCTGACTTTTGGGCCTTCCAAAAAAAATTGGAAGACACAGTGGGAATAAAAAAGAACAACCACGTATTCCAGAGGAAAAATGCTTCCCCACCCCCCGGAGATAGTTGTTTGTCTACGGTGAGCTTGTTGTCAGGCCATGCCGGCCCACGTTGACCCTACCGTAGTCCTGTATTTAGCCCTACGTTGGGCACATGTTAGGCTAATGTTGAGCCTGTCGACCCTATGTTAGTGCAATGTTGGACCTCGGTTGAAGTCCCTTTAGCAGAACTACGTATGTTGTTGGGCCTACGTTGGGCGCAACGTTGAAGCTGAGTTAGGCCCATGTTGAGCCAACAATGGTAATTTAGCGGATTGCTCGGTCTTCCACAGCAGTGAAAGACACAGTTTTTGACATCAAAACTGCAATCCCCACCCTGCAACCCCAGGATACACTTTTGGGCTATGTTGCAGCACCCAACAATAGACAAAATCACGGCTATGTTACTTGTTTGTCGGGCCTATTTTGCCTATGTTGAGGCAGTGTTGCGCGTAAGTTTGGGCAATGTTGGGCCTATGATGGGCCTATGTTGGCCTTATGTTTGCATTTCGCAATTTTCTGGACCCTTAAAATAAGCAATGCAAAACAGAAGCATGCAGCAAATTGCTCGCTCCACAAGCCCAACACCAGACTTTTGGAGGATATTGAATCCAATGTTACATGGCTTCAATCCATATTGCAGCTCTGCCAGCCTATGCTAGTCCTATGTTGTGCTCATGTTGGCCTAAGATTGCTTCTCTCAGTCCTATGCTGGGCTCATGTTAGGTGCAAGGTTGATGCAATGTTGAACCTACGTTGGGCCTATATTGCCTCCGTTTGATCCAATGTTAGGCTATGTTGGGCCGCTGCGCACCATGCCCAGCCTGCAGACCGTAAAAGAGCTGGAGTTCTTTCGAATGACCAAGGAAAGTGGCTTATCCGGAAGCACTTGCCTGACACATGGTGGCCGGCCGTCCCTGATAGAATCCCCCAAAAAACTTTTCATCAAGCTTTGAGGAGGATACACCTGCGCAGTTGGTACTTGAGTGACGCAGAGAAATGCAAACTTGTAATCTACCCTGTGGAGAAAAAACAGGGGAACAAAGTTCTTGGAAACAAGGCCTCCTTTACAACCTGGCAAGCAAAATGGTATCACAAGGAAGTACCACCTACAGAAGCCTCGCCCATCTACCAATTCCAACCTGCAATCCAGACTGGCCCGAGGCCGTGAAAGTTTCTGCCGCAAACACCAAAAAACAATTGGCGGCCCATTTGTCCACCAGCTGCCATGAATGCAGACATGGAAGAAGCCAGCAGCAATGTGAGTTTATGAAAAGACAAGCCGACAATTTGTGACTTTGTCTGCTTTCCTTGTCACGTGTACAATGTGTTTCCAGGATATTTGACATGATTCGCATGCATTTGCATGCAGTACACACTAGAAATTTCTTAAGCATGACAAAAGCCTTGGAGAACAAAGGGCGGCCTTTAAAACGAAGGATGAATCGCTATTCCACTTTTTTGAAATATATACATTTTGGCGATGACATAAAGTTTTCATATTGGCATGAGCACACTGATGCCATTAGATGCCCATGTCCATCCCTGGTCAGTGTAAAAATGCAACGCAGGCCAAGCTCTTGACCTACCAAGCCCTGAGCACCCCCAAATGCATCGAGCTGCTTCCTGCTTCCTGCTTGTTGCCAGAATGTGAGTTCCAGCGCCGCTTGACGAATGGTGTGAGTGTGGTGCATCTTGCCGATTTGGTGCGCCTCCGTGCGCTTAAGGCGCACGGAGGCGGCTGGTTCCTCGATTGCAACACTGTCTGGGTAAAGGCAGCGCCAGGTAGTGTCACATTCGAGCTCGGCCACTGCGTTGGATCGCTCCGCGCCGCCTGCCCGCGCGGGTCGGCGGAAGCGGTCAAACGCTATTGGATGGTCAAGTACCTGACCCAGCAGGGGGACCAGGCGTACTTGGCATCGCCATTCTACTTTCCAGAGTGACTTGACCAGCAATTGGATTTTCAACATATCTGAGGAACAAACGCTTTTTTGTGCCTGGAATGCAGAGGCTTCAGGAGTTTGGCTGACATGGGGATATGGTGGTTTTAGAGTTTGGTGCATCCCATTTTCTTCGCCTTAGTCGCCAAGCTTTACATGCAAAAGATCGCAGGGGGCTCTGGTTCCAGCTTTGGGCTAAAGTTCGACTAAAATACGCTTTAGCACCCTGGGTATGTTTGGCTTGTGATTGCGGACAGGGATAAGCACGGCCTCCATTGAATGCTACAACATGCCAATCTGAGATAAGCAAAAATTTGTAGCTCGGGTCAATTTGTACAATGTTGGAGACAGCCAACATTGCTTAGGAACATGCACGGTGTGCCTAAGACACCATTTGTGTCCAACATTGCTTAAGAACAAGCACGCATGGTGTGCCTAATAAAGGCCTTGCCAGTTCAGTAGTTCTGCTTAGGAACGAGCACAGTGTGCCCAAGAAACCCTTTCTTTCCAACGTGGCATAGGACCAACCATG